TGACACCTCGCCCGGACTTGCTCACCGAACTCGAGCCGTCACCGGTGAAGCATGTCACATCGGCTTTGGGGCAGCGAGCAGAGGTGAAAGGCTTGGGCAAGGCCATGTTCAAGGGTGCTGATGGGAAGATGGTGGGCCTCAAGAACGTGCTTTGGGTGCCCAGCCTTGCTGCAAACCTGATTTCCGTGCGGCGGTTGGCAAAGGCCGGCATGGACACGAACTCGAAGGGAGCCAAGACCTACACCGCAAGGCTTGGCGATCGAATTCTTTGGGACCTTCATGAGGACAGGGATGTCTACAACGAGATGTGGCAGATCCCAGTGGTCCCTATGCCTAAGGAGAGGCAAGTGGCAGCAAGCATCAGCACCAAGGATGGAGCGGTCGGTAGCGACGATGGCGCGAACGGTCGCGCTAAGGAGAATGAGCTCAAGAAGAGCAAACCTGGAGGGACCAGCAAGTTCAGTGAACCTAAGGAGAGTGGTGCAGCAACCAAGGAGCAGCAAAAGGGTGAGGAGAACCCAGAGGCAGCAGCGGAGGAGGACTACGGAGAGAGTATGTGGGGCGCTATTGCGAGCGCGGCATTCTCCAATCCAACTTCGGCTACGGGGGAGTGTGATTGGCTCACCTTGCATCGGCGCATGGGGCATGTGGCCCTGCCCATCTTGCAGCAGCTAGTGAAGAATGAGATGGTTGCTGGCATACGTGTGAAGGGGGAGCCCGATGAGGTGCTTGGCTGCCCGACGTGCATTCAAGCCAAGTTCACCCGGTTTCCGTTCCCTAGTTCGGAGGCAACGGCAAAGGCACCGCTTGATGAGGTGGTGATGGACGTGGTGGGCCCCCTGAAGCTTGGAGCTGCTGGAGCTGAGTATTTTCTCACCATTGTCGACGTCTACACCCGCATGACTTGGGTGTACGTGCTGGCCAAGAAGAGCGACGTGGCTGAAACGTTGAAGACGGATTGGTTCCCGATGGTGGAGCGGCAACAAGACCGTCTAGTCAAGTCAATCCGCACCGATCGAGGGGGAGAGTTCCTGAGCAAGGAGTTTGGGTTGTGGCTGAAGAAGAATGGTATTCGGCACTCCCTCACCATGCCATACTCCCCTGCAATGAACGGCATCGCCGAGCGAGCGAACCGCACAATCACGGAGGCGGCACGCGGGTTGCTCATTGAAGCCGGGCTACCCGACTATTTCTGGCCTGATGCGGTGCGGAGCGCGTGTGTGGCCAAGAACAGAGCCTTGACTCATGTGGGAGCAGACAAATGGGTGCCCTATGTGGAGTGGCTAGGAAGGAAGCCAAAGGTGGATATGCTTCGGGTGTTCGGGTGCATGTGCATGGCGCTCATGCCTAAGCATCTTCGGCACAACAAGCTTGGTGCCAAGGCGGTGTGGGCCGTGCACTTGGGCATGGCTCAAAACAGCAAGGGATGGCTTCTTTGGGACCCATTCACCAAGAAGTTCTTGGTGAGCAGGGACTGCAAGTTCATGGAGAACTTCATGTACAAGGATTGGAAGGCGGAGAATGAGGCGAAGATAGGCGTGCGGTTTGGGGAGGTGAAGAGTTCCGGTTTGGAGCATGTGGAGCTGCCTTTGGAGCTGAGCAGCGGCAGCACAACCACAAGGCAATCCTCCCTTGTGAATGGGGGAGAGGAGGCCAATGATGCAGAGGAAGAAGAGGAGGAGGTGCAGCAAGTGAGCGAGCGTGCACCGTCACTCCCTTCCCGTACTACGAGTGCTCCACGGATTCGAGCCACACCGCAGCAACGCCAAGGCCTTCAAGTCCCTGCAGCTGAGGAGGAAGGAAGGGGGAAGAGGAGAGTTCAACCCCCTAATAGGCTGACCTATGATGCGCCGGGAAAGCAGGGCAAGACAGCCCTGGCCGGAGCGGCAATGATGGTCGGAGACGACGAGGAGAGTGACTACGAGGAGTGTGCCTTCGCGTTCTTCTCTCCGGTGGAGATGCCGGGAGAACCAGCAACTCTCAAGGAGGCTTTGGAGAGTAGTGATGCTGAGGAGTGGAAGAAGGCCATGGAGAGTGAGCTGAAGAGCATCGAGGAGAATGACACGTTTGAATTGGTGGAGCTACCGGAGGGGCGTACGGCGATAACGTCCAAGTGGCTCTTCAAAATCAAGTCGAATGCCGACGGCAAGATCGAGCGCTACAAGTCTAGGCTTGTATCCAAGGGGTACCAGCAGAAGGAGAAGGTGGAATTCAAGGAGCTGTTTGCCCCTGTGGTGAAGCCGACGACGCTGCGAACCCTATTCGCGGGAGCCGCCATCAAAGGATGGGTAGTAAAGCAAATGGACATCGTAACGGCATTCCTTAACGGCATCCTTGAGGAGGAGATTTTTATGGCGCAGCCAGAGGGGTTTGATGATGGTAGTGGCAGAGTGTGGAAGCTGAAGAAGGCCCTCTATGGGCTGAAGCAGGCCCCTAGGCAATGGTACATGAAGCTGCGCGAAGTGTTGGAGGGGATCGGCTTCACTCCCTCAACGGCCGATCACTCCTTGTTCATGCTTGGCGAGGGGGAGCAGAGGAGTTTCATGGTGGTTTATGTGGATGACATCCTCATTTTCTCACCCTCTTCTGACCTTGTGAAGGAGGTGATGCTGAAGCTTCAAGACAAGTTCAAGTGCAAGGCCCTTGGTGACGTGAGCTTCTACCTTGGGCTCCACATCGAACGAGATGTGGAGAAGCGGTGCATGCGGGTGCATCAACGAAAGTACCTGGAGGCATTGGCTGCCAACTTTGGGCAGAGTGAAGGCCATGTGGCTACACCCTTTCCCTCTGGGTTCAAGTGTGTGAAAGGACCAGAGGAGGAGAGCGTTGGTGAAGAGGAGAGGCGCCGATTTCACTCGTTGGTGGGCAGCCTCATGTATGCGGCGGTAAACATCCGACCGGACGTCGCGTTTGCTACCGGGCAGCTGGCTAGGGTTGTGCAATGCCCTAATGAGGAGCAGGTAGCAGCTGGAATGAGGGTGGCCAAGTATCTTGGCCAAACACCGACCGTTGGGCTGCAATACTCGGCGGCGGCACAAAGGCGCCAAAAGGGCGCGGATGGTGTTGAACCCGGGCGTTTGTTCCTCACCGCCTACTCGGATGCTTCATATGCATCAGAACCAGAGGACATGACAAGTGTGGGAGGCTTCATATGCTGTGTTGGTGGAGGCCCAACTGCTTGGGAGAGCAAGAAGCAGGTTGACCAAGCTTTGAGCTCGGTGGAGTCCGAGTACATGGCACTCTTCCGTGCCGTACGGGAGATTGTGTGGCAGCGGCATTTGTTGGCTGAATTGGGGGAGGAGCAGCAAGGACCTACCCCACTGTACTGTGACAGCCAGGGTGCTATTGCTCTTGCTAAGAACCCTGTGTTGCATGGACTCACGAAGCACATGAGGGTGAAGTGGCATTGGACGAGGAGCATGGTAACCGCGGGTGAAGTTGAGTTGCGCTACGTGAAGACCACGGGGCAGCCGGCTGACATGATGACCAAGAGGCTGGTGGAGCAGCAGCATTGGAAGTGTTGCAAGCTGGCTGGGATGGCTCTGAACTGAGAGAGCAACATATCCTAAGGCCAACAATCCGAGGGGGAGTTTGTTGGTGCAACCCTACGGTTTGCACTCGGCTTGTTGTCCGTGTGCGTGAATGTGTGTGTGTATGGAATGGTATGAGGGCATGGGATAATATATATTTCATGCTTATAATTGTGTGTGAATGTTGAGTCATGATGTCGAGTGTGTGTGTCGAGTCAATAGCGAGTTATCGCTAGACGCGTGTTACGCGGTCGTTTGTGTCTCGCGCGCGGTTTCTATTTTGTCGTGCGCGGTTTCTATTTTGTCCTGTGTCGAACGTTCGGCCTGTCGCAGGTGTGTGCAGCAGACCCATCAAGAACTCAAGGATGAGTTTGTGATGAAGAGCCCGAGCCTTGGTGTCAAGCCTCAAGTGATTTCGAAGCTTGCCAAAAGGGTACACCTCAAGATATTGAAGATAGTTACATTACTTTGTGTAGTGTAACATTTCACTTGGTGTAGGCCCTAGTGAAGGGTAGTTTCGAGACCCTTCGTGGTTGGGGACAGTGTGGCACTGTTCCACATCACTGTACCTCGGCTCTTGGGGTTTGTAGGAGCTGGGAGTCATTCCCAACTCGTAACTCTTCCTATCTTGTGTTCTAAGACTATAGTGGCTGCCATAGTACCGTTCGTTCAAACCGACGCTGTGTCGTCAATTCTTCATCAAATCGTGCAATCTAAATTGCTAATTGTAGACGACGTGAAGACGCTCCAGATCCAATTTGAATCAAGTCATTTGCAGCTGTGAGCAGAACGCTATCAACGTTTGAAGCCGCTGTGCAGAAATCCGTCTGTGCTCTCTATCTTTCGTTTTAGGCACATTCAAGCCTATTGTGTCTATAACAGTGCGTTCTTCCTTTCCCCGTTCCATGCTTCTCTCTCCCATGTGCGTTCTTCCTTTCCCCGTTCCATGCTTCTCTCTCCCATGTGCGTTCTTCCTTTCCCCGTTCCATGCTTCTCTCTCCCATGTGCGTTCTTCCTTTCCCCGTTCCATGCTTCTCTCTCCCATGTGCGTTCTCCCTTACCCCGTTCTATGCTTCTCTCTCTCTCTCTCTCTCTCCCATGTGCGTTCTTCCTTTCCCCGTTCCATGCTTCTCTCTCCCATGTGCGTTCTTCCTTTCCCCGTTCCATGCTTCTCTCTCCCATGTGCGTTCCTCCTTACCCCGTTCCATGCTTCTCTCTCCCATGTGCGTTCTCCCTTACCCCGTTCTATGCTTCTCTCTCTCTCTCCCATGTGCGTTTCTCCTTTCCCCGTTCCGTGCTTCTCTCTCCCATGTGCGTTCTCCCTTACCCCGTTCTATGCTTCTCTCTCTCTCTCTCTCTCCCATGTGCGTTCTTCCTTTCCCCGTTCCATGCTTCTCTCTCCCATGTGCGTTCTTCCTTACCCCGTTCCATGCTTCTCTCTCCCATGTGCGTTCTCCCTTACCCCGTTCTATGCTTCTCTCTCTCTCTCACATGTGCGTTTCTCCTTTCCCCGTTCCATGCTTCTCTCTCCCATGTGCGTTCTCCCTTACCCCGTTCTATGCTTCTCTCTCTCTCTCTCTCCCATGTGCGTTCTTCCTTTCCCCGTTCCATGCTTCTCTCTCCCATGTGCGTTCTCCCTTACCCCGTTCTATGCTTCTCTCTCTCTCTCTCTCCCATGTGCGTTCTTCCTTTCCCCGTTCCATGCTTCTCTCTCCCATGTGCGTTCTTTCTTTCCCCGTTCCATGCTTCTCTCTCCCATGTGCGTTCTTCCTTTCCCCGTTCCATGCTTCTCTCTCCCATGTGCGTTCTTCCTTTCCCCGTTCCATGCTTCTCTCTCCCATGTCCGTTCTTCCTTTCCCCGTTCCATGCTTCTCTCTCCCATGTGCGTTCTCCCTTACCCCGTTCTATGCTTCTCTCTCTCTCTCCCATGTGCGTTTCTCCTTTCCCGTTTCCATGCTTCTCTCTCCCATGTGCGTTCTTCCTTACCCCGTTCTATGCTTCTCTCTCTCTCTCTCTCTCTCTCTCTCTCTCTCTCTCTCTCTCTCTCTCTCTCTCTCTCTCTCTCTCTCTCTCCCATGTGCGTTCTCCCTTTCCCCGTTCTATGCTTCTCTCTCTCTCTCTCTCCCATGTGCGTTCTTCCTTTCCCCGTTCCATGCTTCTCTCTCCCATGTGCGTTCTTCCTTTCCCCGTTCCATGCTTCTCTCTCCCATGTGCGTTCTTCCTTTCCCCGTTCCATGCTTCTCTCTCCCATGTGCGTTCTTCCTTTCCCCGTTCCATGCTTCTCTCTCCCATGTCCGTTCTTCCTTTCCCCGTTCCATGCTTCTCTCTCCCATGTCCGTTCTTCCTTTCCCCGTTCCATGCTTCTTTCTCCCATGTCCGTTCTTCCTTTCCCCGTTCCATGCTTCTCTCTCCCATGTCCGTTCTTCCTTTCCCCGTTCCATGCTTCTTTCTCCCATGTGCGTTCTTCCTTTCCCCGTTCCATGCTTCTTTCTCCCATGTGCGTTCTTCCTTTCCCCGTTCCATGCTTCTCTCTCCCATGTGCGTTCTTCCTTTCCCCGTTCCATGCTTCTCTCTCCCATGTCCGTTCTTCCTTTCCCCGTTCCATGCTTCTTTCTCCCATGTGCGTTCTTCCTTTCCCCGTTCCATGCTTCTCTCTCCCATGTCCGTTCTTCCTTTCCCCGTTCCATGCTTCTTTCTCCCATGTGCGTTCTTCCTTTCCCCGTTCCATGCTTCTCTCTCCCATGTCCGTTCTTCCTTTCCCCGTTCCATGCTTCTTTCTCCCATGTGCGTTCTTCCTTTCCCCGTTCCATGCTTCTCTCTCCCATGTGCGTTCTTCCTTTCCCCGTTCCATGCTTCTTTCTCCCATGTGCGTTCTTCCTTTCCCCGTTCCATGCTTCTCTCTCCCATGTCCGTTCTTCCTTTCCCCGTTCCATGCTTCTCTCTCCCATGTGCGTTCTTCCTTTCCCCGTTCCATGCTTCTTTCTCCCATGTGCGTTCTTCCTTTCCCCGTTCCATGCTTCTCTCTCCCATGTGCGTTCTTCCTTTCCCCGTTCCATGCTTCTCTCTCCCATGTCCGTTCTCCCTTTCCCCGTTCTATGCTTCTCTCTCTCTCTCTCTCTCCCATGTGCGTTCTTCCTTTCCCCGTTCCATGCTTCTCTCTCCCATGTGCGTTCTTCCTTTCCCCGTTCCATGCTTCTCTCTCCCATGTGCGTTCTTCCTTTCCCCGTTCCATGCTTCTCTCTCCCATGTCCGTTCTTCCTTTCCCCGTTCCATGCTTCTTTCTCCCATGTCCGTTCTTCCTTTCCCCGTTCCATGCTTCTCTCTCCCATGTCCGTTCTTCCTTTCCCCGTTCCATGCTTCTCTCTCCCATGTCCGTTCTTCCTTTCCCCGTTCCATGCTTCTTTCTCCCATGTGCGTTCTTCCTTTCCCCGTTCCATGCTTCTTTCTCCCATGTGCGTTCTTCCTTTCCCCGTTCCATGCTTCTCTCTCCCATGTGCGTTCTTCCTTTCCCCGTTCCATGCTTCTCTCTCCCATGTGCGTTCTTCCTTTCCCCGTTCCATGCTTCTCTCTCTCATGTGCGTTCTTCCTTTCCCCGTTCCATGCTTCTCTCTCCCATGTCCGTTCTTCCTTTCCCCGTTCCATGCTTCTTTCTCCCATGTGCGTTCTTCCTTTCCCCGTTCCATGCTTCTCTCTCCCATGTCCGTTCTTCCTTTCCCCGTTCCATGCTTCTTTCTCCCATGTGCGTTCTTCCTTTCCCCGTTCCATGCTTCTCTCTCCCATGTCCGTTCTTCCTTTCCCCGTTCCATGCTTCTTTCTCCCATGTCCGTTCTTCCTTTCCCCGTTCCATGCTTCTTTCTCCCATGTGCGTTCTTCCTTTCCCCGTTCCATGCTTCTCTCTCCCATGTGCGTTCTTCCTTTCCCCGTTCCATGCTTCTCTCTCCCATGTCCGTTCTTCCTTTCCCCGTTCCATGCTTCTTTCTCCCATGTGCGTTCTTCCTTTCCCCGTTCCATGCTTCTCTCTCCCATGTCCGTTCTTCCTTTCCCCGTTCCATGCTTCTTTCTCCCATGTGCGTTCTTCCTTTCCCCGTTCCATGCTTCTCTCTCCCATGTCCGTTCTTCCTTTCCCCGTTCCATGCTTCTTTCTCCCATGTGCGTTCTTCCTTTCCCCGTTCCATGCTTCTTTCTCCCATGTGCGTTCTTCCTTTCCCCGTTCCATGCTTCTCTCTCCCATGTCCGTTCTTCCTTTCCCCGTTCCATGCTTCTTTCTCCCATGTGCGTTCTTCCTTTCCCCGTTCCATGCTTCTCTCTCCCATGTCCGTTCTTCCTTTCCCCGTTCCATGCTTCTTTCTCCCATGTGCGTTCTTCCTTTCCCCGTTCCATGCTTCTCTCTCCCATGTGCGTTCTTCCTTTCCCCGTTCCATGCTTCTTTCTCCCATGTGCGTTCTTCCTTTCCCCGTTCCATGCTTCTCTCTCCCATGTGCGTTCTTCCTTTCCCCGTTCCATGCTTCTCTCTCCCATGTCCGTTCTCCTTTCCCCGTTCTATGCTTCTCTCTCTCTCTCTCTCTCTCTCCCATGTGCGTTCTTCCTTTCCCCGATCCATGCTTCTCTCTCCCATGTGCGTTCTCCCTTACCCCGTTCTATGCTTCTCTCTCTCTCTCTCTCCCATGTGCGATCTTCCTTTCCCCGTTCCATGCTTCTCTCTCCCATGTGCGTTCTCCCTTACCCCGTTCTATGCTTCTCTCTCTCTCTCTCTCTCCCATGTGCGTTCTTCCTTTCCCCGTTCCATGCTTCTCTCTCCCATGTGCGTTCTCCCTTACCCCGTTCTATGCTTCTCTCTCTCTCTCTCTCTCTCTCTCCCATGTGCGTTCTTCCTTTCCCCGTTCCATGCTTCTCTCTCCCATGTGCGTTCTCCCTTACCCCGTTCTATGCTTCTCTCTCTCTCTCTCTCCCATGTGCGTTCTTCCTTTCCCCGTTCCATGCTTCTCTCTCCCATGTGCGTTCTCCCTTACCCCGTTCTATGCTTCTCTCTCTCTCTCTCTCTCCCATGTGCGTTCTTCCTTTCCCCGTTCCATGCTTCTCTCTCCCATGTGCGTTCTCCCTTACCCCGTTCTATGCTTCTCTCTCTCTCTCTCTCTCTCTCTCTCTCTCTCTCTCTCTCTCTCTCTCTCTCTCTCTCTCTCTCTCTCTCTCTCTCCCATGTGCGTTCTTCCTTTCCCCGTTCCATGCTTCTCTCTCCCATGTGCGTTCTCCCTTACCCCGTTCTATGCTTCTCTCTCTCTCTCTCTCTCCCATGTGCGTTCTTCCTTTCCCCGTTCCATGCTTCTCTCTCCCATGTGCGTTCTTCCTTTCCCCGTTCCATGCTTCTTTCTCCCATGTGCGTTCTTCCTTTCCCCGTTCCATGCTTCTCTCTCCCATGTGCGTTCTTCCTTTCCCCGTTCCATGCTTCTCTCTCCCATGTGCGTTCTTCCTTTCCCCGTTCCATGCTTCTCTCTCCCATGTCCGTTCTTCCTTTCCCCGTTCCATGCTTCTTTCTCCCATGTCCGTTCTTCCTTTCCCCGTTCCATGCTTCTCTCTCCCATGTCCGTTCTTCCTTTCCCCGTTCCATGCTTCTCTCTCCCATGTCCGTTCTTCCTTTCCCCGTTCCATGCTTCTTTCTCCCATGTGCGTTCTTCCTTTCCCCGTTCCATGCTTCTTTCTCCCATGTGCGTTCTTCCTTTCCCCGTTCCATGCTTCTCTCTCCCATGTGCGTTCTTCCTTTCCCCGTTCCATGCTTCTCTCTCCCATGTGCGTTCTTCCTTTCCCCGTTCCATGCTTCTCTCTCCCATGTGCGTTCTTCCTTTCCCCGTTCCATGCTTCTCTCTCCCATGTCCGTTCTTCCTTTCCCCGTTCCATGCTTCTTTCTCCCATGTGCGTTCTTCCTTTCCCCGTTCCATGCTTCTCTCTCCCATGTCCGTTCTTCCTTTCCCCGTTCCATGCTTCTTTCTCCCATGTGCGTTCTTCCTTTCCCCGTTCCATGCTTCTCTCTCCCATGTCCGTTCTTCCTTTCCCCGTTCCATGCTTCTTTCTCCCATGTCCGTTCTTCCTTTCCCCGTTCCATGCTTCTTTCTCCCATGTCCGTTCTTCCTTTCCCCGTTCCATGCTTCTCTCTCCCATGTGCGTTCTTCCTTTCCCCGTTCCATGCTTCTCTCTCCCATGTCCGTTCTTCCTTTCCCCGTTCCATGCTTCTTTCTCCCATGTGCGTTCTTCCTTTCCCCGTTCCATGCTTCTCTCTCCCATGTCCGTTCTTCCTTTCCCCGTTCCATGCTTCTTTCTCCCATGTGCGTTCTTCCTTTCCCCGTTCCATGCTTCTCTCTCCCATGTCCGTTCTTCCTTTCCCCGTTCCATGCTTCTTTCTCCCATGTGCGTTCTTCCTTTCCCCGTTCCATGCTTCTCTCTCCCATGTGCGTTCTTCCTTTCCCCGTTCCATGCTTCTCTCTCCCATGTCCGTTCTTCCTTTCCCCGTTCCATGCTTCTTTCTCCCATGTGCGTTCTTCCTTTCCCCGTTCCATGCTTCTCTCTCCCATGTGCGTTCTTCCTTTCCCCGTTCCATGCTTCTTTCTCCCATGTGCGTTCTTCCTTTCCCCGTTCCATGCTTCTCTCTCCCATGTGCGTTCTTCCTTTCCCCGTTCCATGCTTCTTTCTCCCATGTGCGTTCTTCCTTTCCCCGTTCCATGCTTCTCTCTCCCATGTGCGTTCTTCCTTTCCCCGTTCCATGCTTCTCTCTCCCATGTCCGTTCTCCTTTCCCCGTTCTATGCTTCTCTCTCTCTCTCTCTCCCATGTGCGTTCTTCCTTTCCCCGATCCATGCTTCTCTCTCCCATGTGCGTTCTCCCTTACCCCGTTCTATGCTTCTCTCTCTCTCTCTCTCCCATGTGCGATCTTCCTTTCCCCGTTCCATGCTTCTCTCTCCCATGTGCGTTCTCCCTTACCCCGTTCTATGCTTCTCTCTCTCTCTCTCTCTCCCATGTGCGTTCTTCCTTTCCCCGTTCCATGCTTCTCTCTCCCATGTGCGTTCTCCCTTACCCCGTTCTATGCTTCTCTCTCTCTCTCTCTCTCTCTCTCTCTCTCTCTCTCTCTCTCTCTCTCTCTCTCTCTCTCTCCCATGTGCGTTCTTCCTTTCCCCGTTCCATGCTTCTCTCTCCCATGTGCGTTCTCCCTTACCCCGTTCTATGCTTCTCTCTCTCTCTCTCTCCCATGTGCGTTCTTCCTTTCCCCGTTCCATGCGTCTCTCTCCCATGTGCGTTCTCCCTTACCCCGTTCTATGCTTCTCTCTCTCTCTCTCTCCCATGTGCGTTCTTCCTTTCCCCGTTCCATGCTTCTCTCTCCCATGTGCGTTCTTCCTTTCCCCGTTCCATGCTTCTCTCTCCCATGTGCGTTCTGCCTTACCCCGTTCTATGCTTCTCTCTCTCTCTCTCTCTCTCTCCCATGTGCGTTCTTCCTTTCCCCGTTCCATGCTTCTCTCTCCCATGTGCGTTCTCCCTTACCCCGTTCTATGCTTCTCTCTCTCTCTCTCTCCCATGTGCGTTCTGTCTTTCCCCGTTCCATGCTTCTCTCTCCCATGTGCGTTCTTCCTTTCCCCGTTCCATGCTTCTCTCTCCCATGTGCGTTCTTCCTTTCCCCGTTCCATGCTTCTTTCTCCCATGTGTATTCTTCCTTTCCCCGTTCCATGCTTCTCTCTCCCATGTGCGTTCTTCCTTTCCCCGTTCCATGCTTCTCTCTCCCATGTGCGTTCTTCCTTTCCCCGTTCCATGCTTCTCTCTCCCATGTCCGTTCTTCCTTTCCCCGTTCCATGCTTCTTTCTCCCATGTGCGTTCTTCCTTTCCCCGTTCCATGCTTCTCTCTCCCATGTGCGTTCTTCCTTTCCCCATTCCATGCTTCTCTCTCCCATGTCCGTTCTTCCTTTCCCCGTTCCATGCTTCTTTCTCCCATGTGCGTTGTTCCTTTCCCCGTTCCATGCTTCTCTCTCCCATGTCCGTTCTTCCTTTCCCCGTTCCATGCTTCTTTCTCCCATGTGCGTTCTTCCTTTCCCCGTTCCATGCTTCTCTCTCCCATGTGCGTTCTTCCTTTCCCCGTTCCATGCTTCTTTCTCCCATGTGCGTTCTTCCTTTCCCCGTTCCATGCTTCTCTCTCCCATGTGCGTTCTTCCTTTCCCCGTTCCATGCTTCTCTCTCCCATGTGCGTTCTTCCTTTCCCCGTTCCATGCTTCTTTCTCCCATGTGCGTTCTTCCTTTCCCCGTTCCATGCTTCTCTCTCCCATGTCCGTTCTTCCTTTCCCCGTTCCATGCTTCTTTCTCCCATGTCCGTTCTTCCTTTCCCCGTTCCATGCTTCTCTCTCCCATGTCCGTTCTTCCTTTCCCCGTTCCATGCTTCTCTCTCCCATGTCCGTTCTTCCTTTCCCCGTTCCATGCTTCTTTCTCCCATGTGCGTTCTTCCTTTCCCCGTTCCATGCTTCTCTCTCCCATGTGCGTTCTTCCTTTCCCCGTTCCATGCTTCTTTCTCCCATGTGCGTTCTTCCTTTCCCCGTTCCATGTTTCTCTCTCCCATGTGCGTTCTTCCTTTCCCCGTTCCATGCTTCTCTCTCCCATGTGCGTTCTTCCTTTCCCCGTTCCATGCTTCTCTCTCCCATGTGCGTTCTTCCTTTCCCCGTTCCATGCTTCTCTCTCCCATGTGCGTTCTTCCTTTCCCCGTTCCATGCTTCTCTCTCCCATGTGCGTTCTTCCTTTCCCCGTTCCATGCTTCTCTCTCCCATGTGCGTTCTTCCTTTCCCCGTTCCATGCTTCTCTCTCCCATGTGCGTTCTTCCTTTCCCCGTTCCATGCTTCTCTCTCCCATGTGCGTTCTTCCTTTCCCCGTTCCATGCTTCTCTCTCCCATGTCCGTTCTTCCTTTCCCCATTCCATGCTTCTCTCTCCCATGTGCGTTCTTCCTTTCCCCGTTCCATGCTTCTCTCTCCCATGTGCGTTCTTCCTTTCCCTGTTCCATGCTTCTCTCTCCCATGTGCGTTCTTCCTTTCCCCGTTCCATGCTTCTCTCTCCCATGTGCGTTCTTCCTTTCCCCGTTCCATGCTTCTCTCTCCCATGTGCGTTCTTCCTTTCCCCGTTCCATGCTTCTCTCTCCCATGTGCGTTCTTCCTTTCCCCGTTCCATGCTTCTCTCTCCCATGTGCGTTCTTCCTTTCCCCGTTCCATGCTTCTCTCTCCCATGTCCGTTCTTCCTTTCCCCGTTCCATGTTTCTCTCTCCCATGTCCGTTCTTCCTTTCCTCGTTCCATGCTTCTCTCTCCCATGTGCGTTCTTCCTTTCCCCGTTCCATGCTTCTCTCTCCCATGTGCGTTCTTCCTTTCCCCGTTCCATGCTTCTCTCTCCCATGTGCGTTCTTCCTTTCCCCGTTCCATGTTTCTCTCTCCCATGTCCGTTCTTCCTTTCCCCGTTCCATGCTTCTCTCTCCCATGTGCGTTCTTCCTTTCCCCGTTCCATGCTTCTCTCTCCCATGTGCGTTCTTCCTTTCCCCGTTCCATGCTTCTCTCTCCCATGTGCGTTCTTCCTTTCCCCGTTCCATGCTTCTCTCTCCCATGTGCGTTCTTCCTTTCCCCGTTCCATGCTTCTCTCTCCCATGTCCGTTCTTCCTTTCCCCGTTCCATGCTTCTCTCTCCCATGTGCGTTCTTCCTTTCCCCGTTCCATGCTTCTCTCTCCCATGTGCGTTCTTCCTTTCCCCGTTCCATGCTTCTCTCTCCCATGTGCGTTCTTCCTTTCCCCGTTCCATGCTTCTCTCTCCCATGTGCGTTCTTCCTTTCCCCGTTCCATGCTTCTCTCTCCCATGTGCGTTCTTCCTTTCCCCGTTCCATGCTTCTCTCTCCCATGTGCGTTCTTCCTTTCCCCTTTCCATGCTTCTCTCTCCCATGTGCGTTCTTCCTTTCCCCCGTTCCATGCTTCTCTCTCCCATGTGCGTTCTTCCTTTCCCCGTTTCCATGCTTCTCTCTCCCATGTGCGTTCTTCTTTCCCCGTTCCATGCTTGTCTCTCCCATGTGCCGTTCTTCCTTTCCCCGTTCCATGTTTCCTCTCCCATGTCCGTTCTTCCTTTCCCCGTTCCATGCTTCTCTCTCCCATGTGCGTTCTTCCTTTCCCCGTTCCATGCTTCTCTCTCCCATGTGCGTTCTTCCTTTCCCCGTTCCATGCTTTCTCTCTCCCATGTCCGTTCTTCACCTTTCCCATGTTCCATGCTTCTCTCTCCCATGTGCGTTCTCCTTTCCCCGTTCCATGCTTCTCTCTCCATGTGCGTTTCTTCCTTTCCCCGTTCTATGCTTCTCTCTCCCATGTCCGTTCTTCCTTTCCCCGTTCCATGCTTCTCTCTCCCATGTCCGTTCTTCCTTTCCCCGTTCCATGCTTCTCTCTCCCATGTGCGTTCTTCCTTTCCCCGTTCCATGCTTCTCTCTCCCATGTCCGTTCTTCCTTTCCCCGTTCCATGCTTCTCTCTCCCATGTGCGTTCTTCCTTTCCCCGTTCCATGCTTCTCTCTCCCATGTGCGTTCTTCCTTTCCCCGTTCCATGCTTCTCTCTCCCATGTGCGTTCTTCCTTTCCCCGTTCCATGCTTCTCTCTCCCATGTGCGTTCTTCCTTTCCCCGTTCCATGCTTCTCTCTCCCATGTGCGTTCTTCCTTTCCCCGTTCCATGCTTCTCTCTCCCATGTGCGTTCTTCCTTTCCCCGTTCCATGCTTCTCTCTCCCATGTGCGTTCTTCCTTTCCCCGTTCCATGCTTCTTCTCTCCCATGTGCGTTCTTCCTTTCCCCGTTCCATGCTTCTCTCTCCCATGTGCGTTCTTCCTTTCCCCGTTCCATGCTTCTCTCTCCCATGTGCGTTCTTCCTTTCCCCGTTCCATGCTTCTCTCTCCCATGTGCGTTCTTCCTTTCCCCGTTCCATGCTTCTCTCTCCCATGTGCGTTCTTCCTTTCCCCGTTCCATGCTTCTCTCTCCCATGTGCGTTCTTCCTTTCCCCGTTCCATGCTTCTCTCTCCCATGTGCCGTTCTTCCTTTCCCCGTTCCATGCTTCTCTCTCCCATGTGCGTTCTTCCTTTCCCCGTTCCATGCTTCTCTCTCCCATGTGCGTTCTTCCTTTCCCCGTTCCATGCTTCTCTCTCCCATGTGCGTTCTTCCTTTCCCCGTTCCATGCTTCTCTCTCCCATGTGCGTTCTTCCTTTCCCCGTTCCATGCTTCTCTCTCCCATGTGCGTTCTTCCTTTCCCCGTTCCATGCTTCTCTCTCCCATGTGCGTTCTTCCTTTCCCCGTTCCATGCTTCTCTCTCCCATGTGCGTTCTTCCTTTCCCCGTTCCATGCTTCTCTCTCCCATGTGCGTTCTTCCTTTCCCCGTTCCATGCTTCTCTCTCCCATGTGCGTTCTTCCTTTCCCCGTTCCATGCTTCTCTCTCCCATGTGCGTTCTTCCTTTCCCCGTTCCATGCTTCTCTCTCCCATGTGCGTTCTTCCTTTCCCCGTTCCATGCTTCTCTCTCCCATGTGCGTTCTTCCTTTCCTCCCCGTTCCATGCTTCTCTCTCCCATGTGCGTTCTTCCTTTCCCCGTTCCATGCTTCTCTCTCCCATGTGCGTTCTTCCTTTCCCCGTTCCATGCTTCTCTCTCCCATGTGCGTTCTTCCTTTCCCCGTTCCATGCTTCTCTCTCCCATGTCCGTTCTTCCTTTCCCCGTTCCATGCTTCTCTCTCCCATGTGCGTTCTTCCTTTCCCCGTTCCATGCTTCTCTCTCCCATGTGCGTTCTTCCTTTCCCCGTTCCATGCTTCTCTCTCCCATGTCCGTTCTTCCTTTCCCCGTTTCCATGCTTCTCTCTCCCATGTCGTTCTTCCTTCCCGTCCATGCTTCTCTCTCCATGTGCGTTCTTCCTTTCCCCGTTCCATGCTTCTCTCTCCCATGTGCGTTCTTCCTTTCCCCGTTCCATGCTTCTCTCTCCCATGTGCGTTCTTCCTTTCCCCGTTCCATGCTTCTCTCTCCCATGTGCCGTTCTTCCTTTCCCCGTTCCATGCTTCTCTCTCCCATGTGCGTTCTTCCTTTCCCCGTTCCATGCTTCTCTCTCCCATGTGCGTTCTTCCTTTCCCGTTCCATGCTTCTCTCTCCCATGTCGTTCTTCCTTTCCCCGTTCCATGCTTCTCTCTCCCATGTGCGTTCTTCCTTTCCCGTTCCATGCTTCTCTCTCCATGTGCGTTCTTCCTTTCCCCGTTCCATGCTTCTCTCTCCCATGTGCGTTCTTCCTTTCCCCGTTCCATGCTTCTCTCTCCATGTGCGTTCTTCCTTTCCCCGTTCCATGCTTCTCTCTCCCATGTGCGTTCTTCCTTTCCCCGTTCCATGCTTCTCTCTCCCATGTGCGTTCTTCCTTTCCCCGTTCCATGCTTCTCTCTTCCCATGTGCGTTCTTCCTTTCCCCGTTCCATGCTTCTCTCTCCATGTGCGTTCTTCCTTTCCCCGTTCCATGCTTCTCTCTCCCATGTGCGTTCTTCCTTTCCCCGTTCCATGCTTCTCTCTCCATGTGCGTTCTTCCTTTCCCCGTTCCATGCTTCTTCTCCATGTGCGTTCTTCCTTTCCCCGTTCCATGCTTCTTCTCCCATGTGCGTTCTTCCTTTCCCCGTTCCATGCTTCTTTCTTCCCATGTGCGTTCTTCCTTTCCCCGTTCCATGCTTCTCTCTCCCATGTGCGTTCTTCCTTTCCCCGTTCCATGCTTCTTTCTCCCATGTGCGTTCTTCCTTTCCCCGTTCCATGCTTCTCTTCTCCCATGTGCGTTCTTCCTTTCCCCGTTCCATGCTTCTCTCTCCCATGTGCGTTCTTCCTTTCCCCGTTTCCATGCTTCTCTCTCCCATGTGCGTTCTTCCTTTCCCCGTTCCATGCTTCTCTCTCCCATGTGCGTTCTTCCTTTCCCCGTTCCATGCTTCTCTCTCCCATGTGCGTTCTTCCTTTCCCCGTTCCATGCTTCTCTCTCCCATGTGCGTTCTTCCTTTCCCCGTTCCATGCTTCTCTCTCCCATGTGCGTTCTTCCTTTCCCCGTTCCATGCTTCTCTCTCCCATGTGCGTTCTTCCTTTCCCCGTTCCATGCTTCTCTCTCCCATGTGCGTTCTTCCTTTCCCCGTTCCATGCTTCTCTCTCCCATGTGCGTTCTTCCTTTCCCCGTTCCATGCTTCTCTCTCCCATGTGCGTTCTTCCTTTCCCCGTTCCATGCTTCTCTCTCCCATGTGCGTTCTTCCTTTCCCCGTTCCATGCTTCTCTCTCCCATGTGCGTTCTTCCTTTCCCCGTTCCATGCTTCTCTCTCCCATGTGCGTTCTTCCTTTCCCCGTTCCATGCTTCTCTCTCCCATGTGCGTTCTTCCTTTCCCCGTTCCATGCTTCTCTCTCCCATGTGCGTTCTTCCTTTCCCCGTTCCATGCTTCTCTCTCCCATGTGCGTTCTTCCTTTCCCCGTTCCATGCTTTCTCTCTCCCATGTGCCGTTCTTCCTTTCCCCGTTCCATGCTTCTCTCTCCCATGTGCGTTCTCCTTTCCCCGTTCCATGCTTCTCTCTCCCATGTGCGTTCTTCCTTTCCCCGTTCCATGCTTCTCTCTCCCATGTGCCGTTCTTCCTTTCCCCGTTCCATGCTTCTCTCTCCCATGTGCGTTCTTCCTTTCCCCGTTCCATGCTTCTCTCTCCCATGTGCGTTCTTCTTTCCCGTCCATGCTTCTCTCTCCCATGTCGTTCTTCCTTTCCCCGTTCCATGCTTCTCTCTCCCATGTGCAGTTCTTCCTTTCCCCGTTCCATGCTTCTCTCTCCCATGTGCGTTCTTCCTTTCCCCGTTCCATGCTTCTCTCTCCCATGTGCGTTCTTCCTTTCCCCGTTCCATGCTTCTCTCTCCCATGTCCGTTCTTCCTTTCCCCGTTCCATGCTTCTCTCTCCCATGTCCGTTCTTCCTTCCTTCCCCGTTCCATGCTTCTCTCTCCCATGTGCGTTCTTCTTTCCCCGTTCCATGCTTCTCTCTCCCATGTGCGTTCTTCCTTTCCCCGTTCCATGCTTCTCTCTCCCATGTGCCGTTCTTCCTTTCCCCGTTCCATGCTTCTCTCTCCCATGGTCCGTTCTTCCTTTCCCCGTTCCATGCTTCTCTCTCCCATGTGCGTTCTTCCTTTCCCCGTTCCATGCTTCTCTCTCCCATGTGCGTTCTTCCTTTCCCCGTTCCATGCTTCTCTCTCCCATGTGCGTTCTTCCTTTCCCCGTTCCATGCTTCTCTCTCCCATGTGCGTTCTTCCTTTCCCCGTTCCATGCTTCTCTCTCCCATGTGCGTTCTTCCTTTCCCCGTTCCATGCTTCTCTCTCCCATGTGCGTTCTTCCTTTCCCCGTTCCATGCTTCTCTCTCCCATGTGCGTTCTTCCTTTCCCCGTTCCATGCTTCTCTCTCCCATGTGCGTTCTTCCTTTCCCCGTTCCATGCTTCTCTCTCCCATGTGCGTTCTTCCTTTCCCCGTTCCATGCTTCTCTCTCCCATGTCCGTTCTTTCCCTTTCTCCCGTTCCATGTCTTCTCTCTCCCATGTCCGTTCTTCCTTTCCCCGTTCCATGCTTCTCTCTCCCATGTCCGTTCTTCCTTTCCCCGTTCCATGCTTCTCTCTCCCATGTGCGTTCTTCCTTTCCCCGTTCCATGCTTCTCTCTCCCATGTGCGTTCTTCCTTTCCCCGTTCCATGCTTCTCTTTCCCATGTCCGTTCTTCCTTTCCCCGTTCCATGCTTCTCTCTCCCATGTCCGTTCTTCCTTTCCCCGTTCCATGCTTCTCTCTCCCATGTGCGTTCTTCCTTTCCCCGTTCCATGCTTCTCTCTCCCATGTGCGTTCTTCCTTTCCCGTTCCATGCTTCTCTCTCCCATGTGCGTTCCTTCCTTTCCCCGTTCCATGCTTCTCTCTCCCATGTGCGTTCTTCCTTTCCCCGTTCCATGCTTCTCTCTCCCATGTGCGTTCTTCCTTTCCCCGTTCCATGCTTCTCTCTCCCATGTGCGTTCTTCCTTTCCCCGTTCCATGCTTCTCTCTCCCATGTCCGTTCTTCCTTTCCCCGTTCCATGCTTCTCTCTCCCATGTGCCGTTCTTCCTTTCCCCGTTCCATGCTTCTCTCTCCCATGTGCGTTCTTCCTTTCCCCGTTCCATGCTTCTCTCTCCCATGTGCGTTCTTCCTTTCCCCGTTCCATGCTTCTCTCTCCCATGTGCGTTCTTCCTTTCCCCGTTCCATGCTTCTCTCTCCCATGTGCGTTCTTCCTTTCCCCGTTCCATGCTTCTCTCTCCCATGTGCGTTCTTCCTTTCCCCGTTCCATGCTTCTCTCTCCCATGTGCGTTCTTCCTTTCCCCGTTCCATGCTTCTCTCTCCCATGTCCGTTCTTCCTTTCCCCGTTCCATGCTTCTCTCTCCCATGTGCGTTCTTCCTTTCCCCGTTCCATGCTTCTCTCTCCCATGTGCGTTCTTCCTTTCCCCGTTCCATGCTTCTCTCTCCCATGTGCGTTCTTCCTTTCCCCGTCCATGCTTCTCTCTCCCATGTGCGTTCTTCTTTCCCCGTTCCATGCTTCTCTCTCCCATGTGCGTTCTTCCTTTCCCCGTTCCATGCTTCTCTCTCCCATGTGCGTTCTTCCTTTCCCCGTTCCATGCTTCTCTCTCCCATGTGCGTTCTTCCTTTCCCCGTTCCATGCTTCTCTCTCCCATGTGCGTTCTTCCTTTCCCCGTTCCATGCTTCTCTCTCCCATGTGCGTTCTTCCTTTCCCCGTTCCATGCTTCTCTCTCCCATGTGCGTTCTTCCTTTCCCCGTTCCATGCTTCTCTCTCCCATGTGCGTTCTTCCTTTCCCCGTTCCATGCTTCTCTCTCCCATGTCCGTTCTTCCTTTCCCCGTTCCATGCTTCTCTCTCCCATGTGCGTTCTTCCTTTCCCCGTTCCATGCTTCTCTCTCCCATGTGCGTTCTTCCTTTCCCCGTTCCATGCTTCTCTCTCCCATGTGCGTTCTTCCTTTCCCCGTTCCATGCTTCTCTCTCCCATGTGCGTTCTTCCTTTCCCCGTTCCATGCTTCTCTCTCCCATGTGCGTTCTTCCTTTCCCCGTTCCATGCTTCTCTCTCCCATGTGCGTTCTTCCTTTCCCCGTTCCATGCTTCTCTCTCCCATGTGCGTTCTTCCTTTCCCCGTTCCATGCTTCTCTCTCCCATGTGCGTTCTTCCTTTCCCCGTTCCATGCTTCTCTCTCCCATGTCCGTTCTTCCTTTCCCCGTTCCATGCTTCTCTCTCCCATGTGCGTTCTTCCTTTCCCCGTTCCATGCTTCTCTCTCCCATGTGCGTTCTTCCTTTCCCCGTTCCATGCTTCTCTCTCCCATGTGCGTTCTTCCTTTCCCCGTTCCATGCTTCTCTCTCCCATGTGCTTTCTTCCTTTCCCCGTTCCATGCTTCTCTCTCCATGTGCGTTCTTCCTTTCCCCGTTCCATGCTTCTCTCTCCCATGTGCGTTCTCCTTTCCCCCGTTCCATGCTTCTCTCTCCATGCTTCTTCCTTCCCCGTTCCATGCTTCTCTCCCATGTGCGTTCTTCCTTTCCCCGTTCCATGCTTCTCTCTCCCATGTGCGTTCTTCCTTTCCCCGTTCCATGCTTCTCTCTCCCATGTGCGTTCTTCCTTTCCCCGTTCCATGCTTCTCTCTCCCATGTGCGTTCTTCCTTTCCCCGTTCCATGCTTCTCTCTCCCATGTGCGTTCTTCCTTTCCCCGTTTCCATGCTTCTCTCTCCCATGTGCCGTTCTTCCCTTTCCCCGTTCCATGCTTCTCTCTCCCATGTGCGTTCTTCCTTTCCCCGTTCCATGCTTCTCTCTCCCATGTGCGTTCTTCCTTTCCCCGTTCCATGCTTCTCTCTCCCATGTGCGTTCTTCCTTTCCCCGTTCCATGCTTCTCTCTCCCCATGTGCGTTTCCTTTCCCCGTTCCATTCTCTCTCCCAGTCGTTCTTCCTTTCCCCGTTCCATGCTTCTCTCTCCCATGTGCGTTCTTCCTTTCCCCGTTCCATGCTTCTCTCTCCCATGTGCGTTCTTCCTTTCCCCGTTCCAATGCTTCTCTCTCCCATGTGCGTTCTTCCTTTCCCCGTTCCATGCTTCTCTCTCCCATGTGCGTTCTTCCTTTCCCCGTTCCATGCTTCTCTTCTCCCATGTGCGTTCTTCCTTTCCCCGTTCCATGCTTTCTCTCTCCCATGTGCCGTTCTTCCTTTCCCCGTTCCATGCTTCTCTCTCCCATGTGCGTTCTTCCTTTCCCGTTCCATGCTTCTCTCTCCCATGTGCGTTCTTCCTTTCCCCGTTCCATGCTTCTCTCTCCCATGTGCGTTCTTCCTTTCCCCGTTCCATGCTTCTCTCTCCCATGTGCGTTCTTCCTTTCCCCGTTCCATGCTTCTCTCTCCCATGTGCGTTCTTCCTTTCCCCGTTCCATGCTTCTCTCTCCCATGTGCGTTCTTCCTTTCCCCGTTCCATGCTTCTCTCTCCCATGTCCGTTCTTCCTTTCCCCGTTCCATGCTTCTCTCTCCCATGTGCGTTCTTCCTTTCCCGTTCCATGCTTCTCTCTCCCATGTGCGTTCTTCCTTTCCCCGTTCCATGCTTCTCTCTCCCATGTGCGTTCTTCCTTTCCCCGTTCCATGCTTCTCTCTCCCATGTGCGTTCTTCCTTTCCCCGTTCCATGCTTCTCTCTCCCATGTGCGTTCTTCCTTTCCCCGTTCCATGCTTCTCTCTCCCATGTGCGTTCTTCCTTTCCCCGTTCCATGCTTCTCTCTCCCATGTGCCGTTCTTCCTTTCCCCGTTCCATGCTTCTCTCTCCATGTGCGTTCTCTTCCTTCCATGCTCTCTCCCATGTGGTTCTTCCTTCCCCGTTCCATGCTTCTCTCTCCATGTGCGTTCTTCCTTTCCCGTTCCATGCTTTCTCTCTCCCATGTGCCGTTCTTCCTTTCCCCGTTCATGCTTCTCTCTCCCATGTGCGTTCTTCCTTTCCCCGTTCCATGCTTCTCTCTCCCCATGTCCGTTCTTCCTTTCCCCGTTCCATGCTTCTCTCTCCCATGTGCGTTCTTCCTTTCCCCGTTCCATGCTTCTCTCTCCCATGTGCGTTCTTCCTTTCCCCGTTCCATGCTTCTCTCTCCCATGTGCGTTCTTCCTTTCCCCGTTCCATGCTTCTCTCTCCCATGTGCGTTCTTCCTTTCCCCGTTCCATGCTTCTCTCTCCCATGTGCGTTCTTCCTTTCCCCGTTCCATGCTTCTCTCTCCCATGTGCCGTTCTTCCTTTCCCCGTTCCATGCTTCTCTCTCCCATGTGCGTTCTTTCCTTTCCCCGTTCCATGCTTCTCTCTCCCATGTGCGTTCTTCCTTTCCCCGTTCCATGCTTCTCTCTCCCATGTGCGTTCTTCCTTTCCCCGTTCTCATGTTTCTCTCCTCCATGTCCGTTCTTCCTCCTTTCCCGTTCCATGCTTCTCTCTCCCATGTGCGTTCTTCCTTCCCGTTCCATGCTTCTCTCATCCCATGTGCGTTCTTCCTTTCCCCGTTCCATGCTTCTCTCTCCCATGTGCGTTCTTCCTTTCCCCGTTCCATGCTTCTCTCTCCATGTGCGTTCTTCCTTTCCCCGTTCCATGCTTCTCTCTCCCATGTGCGTTCTTCCTTTCCCCGTTCCATGCTTCTCTCTCCCATGTGCGTTCTTCCTTTCCCCGTTCCATGCTTCTCTCTCCCATGTGCGTTCTTCCGTTCCCCGTTCCATGCTTCTCTCTCCCATGTGCGTTCTTCCTTTCCCCGTTCCATGCTTCTCTCTCCCATGTGCGTTCTTCCTTTCCCCGTTCCATGCTTCTCTCTCCCATGTGCGTTCTTCCTTTCCCCGTTCCATGCTTCTCTCTCCATGTGCGTTCTTCCTTTCCCGTTCCATGCTTCTCTCTCCCATGTCCGTTCTTCCTTTCCCCGTTCCATGCTTCTCTCTCCCATGTGCGTTCTTCCTTTCCCCGTTCCATGCTTCTCTCTCCATGTGCGTTCTTCCTTTCCCCGTTCCATGCTTCTCTCTCCCATGTGCGTTCTTCCTTTCCCCGTTCCATGCTTCTCTCTCCATGTGCGTTCTTCCTTTCCCCGTTCCATGCTTCTCTCTCCCATGTGCGTTCTTCCTTTCCCCGTTCCATGCTTCTCTCTCCCATGTGCGTTCTTCCTTTCCCCGTTCCATGCTTCTCTCTCCCATGTGCGTTCTTCCTTTCCCCGTTCCATGCTTCTCTCTCCCATGTGCGTTCTTCCTTTCCCCGTTCCATGCTTCTCTCTCCCATGTGCGTTCTTCCTTTCCCCGTTCCATGCTTCTCTCTCCCATGTGCGTTCTTTCCTTTCCCCGTTCCATGCTTCTCTCTCCCATGTGCGTTCTTCCTTTCCCCGTTCCATGCTTCTCTCTCTCCCATGTCCGTTCTTCCTTTCCCCGTTCCATGCTTCTCTCTCCCATGTAGCGTTCTTCCTTTCCCCGTTCCATGCTTCTCCTCTCCCATGTGCGTTCTTCCTTTCCCCGTTCCATGCTTCTCTCTCCCATGTGCGTTCTTCCTTCCCCGTTCCATGCTTCTCTCTCCCATGTGCGTTCTTCCTTTCCCCCGTTCCATGCTTCTCTCTCCCATGTGCGTTCTTCCTTTCCCCGTTCCATGCTTCTCTCTCCCATGTGCGTTCTTCCTTTCCCCGTTCCATGCTTCTCTCTCCCATGTCGTTCTTCCTTCCCCGTTCCATGCTTCTCTCTCCCATGTGCGTTCTTCCTTTCCCCGTTCCATGCTTCTCTCTCTCCATGTGCGTTTCCTTCCTTTCCCCGTTCCATGCTTCTCTCTCCCATGTCCGTTCTTCCTTTCCCCGTTCCATGCTTCTCTCTCCCATGTGCGTTCTTCCTTTCCCCGTTCCATGCTTTCTCTCTCCCATGTGCGTTCTTCCTTTCCCCGTTCCATGCTTCTCTCTCCCATGTGCGTTCTTCCTTTCCCCGTTCCATGCTTCTCTCTCCCATGTGCGTTCTTCCTTTCCCCGTTCCATGCTTCTCTCTCCCATGTGCGTTCTTCCTTTCCCCGTTCCATGCTTCTCTCTCCCATGTGCCGTTCTTCCTTTCCCCGTTCCATGCTTCTCTCTCCCATGTGCGTTCTTCCTTTCCCCGTCCATGCGTTCTCTCTCCATGGCTTCTTCCTTTCCCCCGTTCAGTTCCTCTCCATGTCCGTTCTTCCTTTCCCCGTTCCATGCTTCTCTCTCCCATGTGCGTTCTTCCTTTCCCCGTTCCATGCTTCTCTCTCCCATGTGCGTTCTTCCTTTCCCGTTCCATGCTTCTCTCTCCCATGTGCGTTCTTCCTTTCCCCGTTCCATGCTTCTCTCTCCCATGTGCGTTCTTCCTTTCCCCGTTCCATGCTTTCTCTCTCCCATGTGCGTTCTTCCTTTCCCCCGTTCCATGCTTCTCTCTCCCATGTGCGTTCTTCCTTTCCCCGTTCCATGCTTCTCTCTCCCATGTGCGTTCTTCCTTTCCCCGTTCCATGCTTCTCTCTCCCATGTGCCGTTCTTCCTTTCCCCGTTCCATGCTTCTCTCTCCCATGTGCGTTCTTCCTTTCCCCGTTCCATGCTTCTCTCTCCATGTGCGTTCTTCCTTTCCCCTTCCATGCTTCTCTCTCCCATGTCGTTCTTCCTTTCCCCGTTCCATGCTTCTCTCTCCATGTGCGTCTTCCTTTCCCCGTTCCATGCTTCTCTCTCCCATGTGCGTTCTTCCTTTCCCCGTTCCATGCTTCTCTCTCCCATGTGCGTTCTTCCTTTCCCCGTTCCATGCTTCTCTCTCCCATGTCCGTTCTTCCTTTCCCCGTTCCATGCTTCTCTCTCCCATGTCCGTTCTTCCTTTCCCCGTTCCATGCTTCTCTCTCCCATGTGCGTTCTTCCTTTCCCCGTTCCATGCTTCTCTCTCCCATGTGCGTTCTTCCTTCCCCGTTCCATGCTTCTCTCTCCCATGTGCGTTCTTCCTTTCCCCGTTCCATGCTTCTCTCTCCCATGTCCGTTCTTCCTTTCCCGTTCCATGCTTCTCTCTCCCATGTGCCGTTCTTCCTTTCCCGTTCCATGCTTCTCTCTCCCATGTGCCGTTCTTCCTTTCCCCCGTTCCATGCTTTCTCTCTCACATGTGCGTTCTTCCTTCCCCCGTTCCATGCTTCTTTCCCATGTGCGTTCTTCCTTCCCCGTTCCATGCTTCTCTCTCCCATGTGCGTTCTTCCTTTCCCCGTTCCATGCTTCTCTCTCCCATGTGCGTTCTTCCTTTCCCGTTCCATGCTTCTCTCTCCCATGTGCGTTCTTCCTTTCCCCGTTCCATGCTTCTCTCTCCCATGTGCGTTCTTCCTTTCCCCGTTCCATGCTTCTCTCTCCCATGTGCCGTTCTTCCTTCCCCGTTCCATGCTTCTCTCTCCATTGTGCCGTTCTTCCTTTCCCCGTTCCATGCTTCTCTCTCCCATGTGCGTGCTTCCTTTCCCCGTTCCATGCTTCTCTCTCCCATGTGCGTTCTTCCTTTCCCCGTTCCATGCTTCTCTCTCCCATGTGCGTTCTTCCTTTCCCCGTTCCATGCTTCTTCTCTCCCATGTGCGTTCTTCCTTTCCCCGTTCCATGCTTCTCTCTCCCATGTGCGTTCTTCCTTTCCCCGTTCCATGCTTCTCTCGCCCATTGGCGTTCTTCCTTTCCCCCGTTCCATGCTTCTCTCTCCCATGTGCGTTCTTCCTTTCCCCGTTCCATGCTTCTCTCTCCCATGTGCGTTCTTCCTTTCCCCGTTCCATGCTTCTCTCTCCCATGTGCGTTCTTCCTTTCCCCGTTCCATGCTTCTCTCTCCCATGTGCGTTCTTCCTTTCCCCGTTCCATGCTTCTCTCTCCCATGTCCGTTCTTCCTTTCCCCGTTCCATGCTTCTCTCTCCCATGTGCGTTCTTCCTTTCCCCGTTCCATGCTTCTCTCTCCCATGTGCGTTCTTCCTTTCCCGTTCCATGCTTCTCTCTCCCATGTGCGTTCTTCCTTTCCCCGTTTCCATGCTTCTCTCTCCCATGTGCGTTCTTCCTTTCCCCGTTCCATGCTTCTCTCTCCCATGTGCGTTCTTCCTTTCCCCGTTCCATGCTTCTCTCTCCCATGTGCGTTCTTCCTTTCCCCGTTCCATGCTTCTCTCTCCCATGTGCGTTCTTCCTTTCCCCGTTCCATGCTTCTCTCTCCCATGTGCGTTCTTCCTTTCCCCCGTTCCATGCTTCTCTCTCCCATGTGCGTTCTTCCTTTCCCCGTTCCATGCTTCTCTCTCCCATGTGCGTTCTTCCTTTCCCCGTCCATGCTTCTCTCTCCATGTCGTTCTTCCTTCCCGTTCCATGCTTCTCTCTCCCATGTGCGTTCTTCCTTTCCCCGTTCCATGCTTCTCTCTCCCATGTGCGTTCTTCCTTTCCCCGTTCCATGCTTCTCTCTCCCATGTGCGTTCTTCCTTCCCGTTCCATGCTTCTCTCTCCCATGTGCGTTCTTCCTTTCCCCGTTCCATGCTTCTCTCTCCCATGTGCGTTCTTCCTTTCCCCGTTCCATGCTTCTCTCTCCCATGTGCGTTCTTCCTTTCCCCGTTCCATGCTTCTCTCTCCCATGTCGTTCTTCCTTTCCCCGTTCCATGCTTCTCTCTCCATGTGCGTTCTTCCTTTCCCCGTTCCATGCTTCTCTCTCCCATGTGCGTTCTTCCTTTCCCCGTTCCATGCTTCTCTCTCCATGTGCGTTCTTCCTTTCCCCGTTCCATGCTTCTCTCTCCCATGTGCGTTCTTCCTTTCCCCGTTCCATGCTTCTCTCTCCATGTGCGTTCTTCCTTTCCCCGTTCCATGCTTCTCTCTCCCATGTTCGTTCTTCCTTTCCCCGTTCCATGCTTCTCTCTCCCATGTCCGTTCTTCCTTTCCCCGTTCCATGCTTCTCTCTCCCATGTGCGTTCTTCCTTTCCCCGTTCCATGCTTCTCTCTCCCATGTGCCGTTCTTCCTTTCCCCGTTCCATGCTTCTCTCTCCCATGTGCGTTCTTCCTTTCCCCGTTCCATGCTTCTCTCTCCCATGTGCGTTCTTCCTTTCCCCGTTCCATGCTTCTCTCTCCCATGTGCGTTCTTCCTTTCCCCGTTCCATGCTTCTCTCTCCCATGTGCGTTCTTTCCGTTCCCCGTTCCATGCTTCTCTCTCCCATGTGCGTTCTTCCTTTCCCCGTTCCATGCTTCTCTCTCCCATGTGCCGTTCTTCCTTCCCCGTTCCATGCTTCTCTCTCCCATGTGCGTTCTTCCTTTCCCCGTTCCATGCTTCTCTCTCCCATGTGCGTTCTTCCTTTCCCCGTTCCATGCTTCTCTCTCCCATGTGCGTTCTTCCTTTCCCCGTTCCATGCTTCTCTCTCCCATGTGCGTTCTTCCTTTCCCCGTTCCATGCTTCTCTCTCCATGTGCGTTCTTCCTTTCCCCGTTCCATGCTTCTCTCTCCCATGTGCGTTCTTCCTTTCCCCGTTCCATGCTTCTCTCTCCATGTGCGTTCTTCCTTTCCCCGTTCCATGCTTCTCTCTCCCATGTGCGTTCTTCCTTTCCCCGTTCCATGCTTCTCTCTCCCATGTGCGTTCTTCCTTCCCCGTTCCATGCTTCTCTCTCCCATGTGCGTTCTATCCTTTCCCCGTTCCATGCTTCTCTCTCCCATGTGCGTTCTTCCTTTCCCCGTTTCCATGCTTCTCTCTCTCCCATGGTGCGTTCTTCCTTTCCCCGTTCCATGCTTTCTCTCTCCCATGTGCGTTCTTCCTTTCCCCGTTCCATGCTTCTCTCTCCCATGTGCGTTCTTCCTTTCCCCGTTCCATGCTTCTCTCTCCATGTGCCGTTCTTCCTTTCCCGTCCATGCTTCTCTCTCCCATGTGCGTTCTTCCTTTCCCCGTTCCATGCTTCTCTCTCCCATTGCGTTCTTCCTTTCCCCGTTCCATGCTTCTCTCTCCCATGTGCGTTCTTCCTTTCCCCGTTCCATGCTTCTCTCTCCCATGTGCGTTCTTCCTTTCCCCGTTCCATGCTTCTCTCTCCCATGTGCGTTCTTCCTTTCCCCGTTCCATGCTTCTCTCTCCCATGTCCGTTCTTCCTTTCCCCGTTCCATGCTTCTCTCTCCCATGTCCGTTCTTCCTTTCCCCGTTCCATGCTTCTCTCTCCCATGTGCGTTCTTCCTTTCCCCGTTCCAATGCTTCTACTCTCCCATGTGCGTTCTTCCTTTCCCCGTTCCATGCTTCTCTCTCCCATGTGGCGTTCTTCCTTTCCCCGTTCCATGCTTCTCTCTCCCATGTCCGTTCTTCCTTTCCCCGTTCCATGCTTCTCTCTCCCATGTGCGTTCTTCCTTTCCCCGTTCCATGCTTCTCTCTCCCATGTGCGTTCTTCCTTTCCCCGTTCCATGCTTCTCTCTCCCATGTGCCGTTCTTCCTTTCCCCGTTCCATGCTTCTCTCTCCCATGTGCGTTCTTCCTTTCCCCGTTCCATGCTTCTCTCTCCCATGTGCGTTCTTACTTTCCCCCTTCCCATGTGCGTTCTTCCTTTCCCCGTTCCATGCTTCTCTCTCCCATGTGCGTTCTTCCTTTCCCCGTTCCATGCTTCTCTCTCCCATGTGCGTTCTTCCTTTCCCCGTTCCATGCTTCTCTCTCCCATGTGCGTTCTTCCTTTCCCCGTTCCATGCTTCTCTCTCCCATGTGCGTTCTTCCTTTCCCCGTTCCATGCTTCTCTCTCCCATGTGCGTTCTTCCTTTCCCCGTTCCATGCTTCTCTCTCCCATGTGCGTTCTTCCTTTCCCCGTTCCATGCTTCTCTCTCCCATGTGCGTTCTTCCTTTCCCCGTTCCATGCTTCTCTCTCCCATGTGCGTTCTTCCTTTCCCCGTTCCATGCTTCTCTCTCCCATGTGCGTTCTTCCTTTCCCCGTTCCATGCTTCTCTCTCCCATGTGCGTTCTTCCTTTCCCCGTTCCATGCTTCTCTCTCCCATGTGCGTTCTTCCTTTCCCCGTTCCATGCTTCTCTCTCCCATGTGCGTTCTTCCTTTCCCCGTTCCATGCTTCTCTCTCCATGTCCGTTCTTCCTTTCCCCGTCCATGCTTCTCTCTCCCATGTGCGTTCTTCCTTTCCCCGTTCCATGCTTCTCTCTCCCATGTGCGTTCTTCCTTTCCCGTTCCATGCTTCTCTCTCCCATGTGCGTTCTTCCTTTCCCCGTTCCATGCGTCTCTCTCCCATGTGCGTTCTTCCTTTCCCCCGTTCCATGCTTCTCTCTCCATGTGCGTTCTTCCTTTCCCCGTTCCATGCTTCTCTCTTCCCATGTGCGTTCTTCCTTTCCCCGTTCCATGCTTCTCTCTCCCATGTGCGTTTCCTTCCTTTCCCCGTTCCATGCTTCTCTCTCCCATAGTGCAGTTCTTCCTTTCCCCGTTCCATGCTTCTCTCTCCCATGTGCGTTCTTCTGTCCCCGTCCATCTTCTCTCTTCCCGATGGGCTTCTTCCTTTCCCCGTTCCATGCTTCTACTCTCCCATGTGCGTTCTTCCTTTCCCCGTTCCATGCTTCCTCTCTCCCATGTGCCGTTCTTCCTTTCCCCGTTCCATGCTTCTCTCTCCCATGTGCGTTCTTCCTTTCCCCGTTCCATGCTTCTCTCTCCCATGTGCGTTCTTCCTTTCCCCGTTCCATGCTTCTCTCTCCCATGTGCGTTCTTCCTTTCCCCGTTCCATGCTTCTCTCTTCCCCATGTCCGTTCTTCCTTTCCCCGTTCCATGCTTCTCTCTCCCATGTCCGTTCTTCCTTTCCCCCGTTCCATGCTTCTCTCTCCATGTCCGTTCTTCCTTTCCCCGTTCCATGCTTCTCTCTCCCATGTGCGTTCTTCCTTTCCCCGTTCCATGCTTCTCTCTCCCATGTGCGTTCTTCCTTTCCCGTTCCATGCTTCTCTCTCCCATGTGCGTTCTTCCTTTCCCCGTTCCATGCTTCTCTCTCCCATGTGCGTTTCCTTCCCCGTTCCATGCTTCTCTCTCCCATGTCGTTCTTCCTTTCCCGTTCCATGCTTCTCTCTCCCATGTGCGTTCTTCCTTCCCCGTTCCATGCTTCTCTCTCCCATGTGCGTTCTTCCTTTCCCCGTTCCATGCTTCTCTCTCCCATGTGCGTTCTTCCTTTCCCCGTTCCATGCTTCTCTCTCCCATGTGCGTTCTTCCTTTCCCCGTTCCATGCTTCTCTCTCCCATGTGCGTTCTTCCTTTCCCCGTTCCATGCTTCTCTCTCCCATGTGCGTTCTTCCTTTCCCCGTTCCATGCTTCTCTCTCCCATGTGCGTTCTTCCTTTCCCCGTTCCATGCTTCTCTCTCCCATGTGCGTTCTTCCTTTCCCCGTTCCATGCTTCTCTCTCCCATGTGCGTTCTTCCTTTCCCCGTTCCATGCTTCTCTCTCCCATGTGCGTTCTTCCTTTCCCCGTTCCATGCTTCTCTCTCCCATGTGCGTTCTTCCTTTCCCCGTTCCATGCTTCTCTCTCCCATGTGCGTTCTTCCTTTCCCCGTTCCATGCTTCTCTCTCCCATGTGCGTTCTTCCTTTCCCCGTTCCATGCTTCTCTCTCCCATGTGCGTTCTTCCTTTCCCCGTTCCATGCTTCTCTCTCCCATGTGCGTTCTTCCTTTCCCCGTTCCATGCTTCTCTCTCCCATGTGCGTTCTTCCTTTCCCCGTTCCATGCTTCTCTCTCCCATGTGCGTTCTTCCTTTCCCCGTTCCATGCTTCTCTCTCCCATGTGCGTTCTTCCTTTCCCCGTTCCATGCTTCTCTCTCCCATGTGCGTTCTTCCTTTCCCCGTTCCATGCTTCTCTCTCCCATGTGCGTTCTTCCTTTCCCCGTTCCATGCTTCTCTCTCCCATGTGCGTTCTTCCTTTCCCCGTTCCATGCTTCTCTCTCCCATGTGCGTTCTTCCTTTCCCCGTTCCATGCTTCTCTCTCCCATGTGCGTTCTTCCTTTCCCCGTTCCATGCTTCTCTCTCCCATGTGCGTTCTTCCTTTCCCCGTTCCATGCTTCTCTCTCCCATGTGCGTTCTTCCTTTCCCCGTTCCATGCTTCTCTCTCCCATGTGCGTTCTTCCTTTCCCCGTTCCATGCTTCTCTCTCCCATGTGCGTTCTTCCTTTCCCCGTTCCATGCTTCTCTCTCCCATGTGCGTTCTTCCTTTCCCCGTTCCATGCTTCTCTCTCCCATGTGCGTTCTTCCTTTCCCCGTTCCATGCTTCTCTCTCCCATGTGCGTTCTTCCTTTCCCCGTTCCATGCTTCTCTCTCCCATGTGCGTTCTTCCTTTCCCCGTTCCATGCTTCTCTCTCCCATGTGCGTTCTTCCTTTCCCCGTTCCATGCTTCTCTCTCCCATGTGCGTTCTTCCTTTCCCCGTTCCATGCTTCTCTCTCCCATGTGCGTTCTTCCTTTCCCCGTTCCATGCTTCTCTCTCCCATGTGCGTTCTTCCTTTCCCCGTTCCATGCTTCTCTCTCCCATGTGCGTTCTTCCTTTCCCCGTTCCATGCTTCTCTCTCCCATGTGCGTTCTTCCTTTCCCCGTTCCATGCTTCTCTCTCCCATGTGCGTTCTTCCTTTCCCCGTTCCATGCTTCTCTCTCCCATGTGCGTTCTTCCTTTCCCCGTTCCATGCTTCTCTCTCCCATGTGCGTTCTTCCTTTCCCCGTTCCATGCTTCTCTCTCCCATGTGCGTTCTTCCTTTCCCCGTTCCATGCTTCTCTCTCCCATGTGCGTTCTTCCTTTCCCCGTTCCATGCTTCTCTCTCCCATGTGCGTTCTTCCTTTCCCCGTTCCATGCTTCTCTCTCCCATGTGCGTTCTTCCTTTCCCCGTTCCATGCTTCTCTCTCCCATGTGCGTTCTTCCTTTCCCCGTTCCATGCTTCTCTCTCCCATGTGCGTTCTTCCTTTCCCCGTTCCATGCTTCTCTCTCCCATGTGCGTTCTTCCTTTCCCCGTTCCATGCTTCTCTCTCCCATGTGCGTTCTTCCTTTCCCCGTTCCATGCTTCTCTCTCCCATGTGCGTTCTTCCTTTCCCCGTTCCATGCTTCTCTCTCCCATGTGCGTTCTTCCTTTCCCCGTTCCATGCTTCTCTCTCCCATGTGCGTTCTTCCTTTCCCCGTTCCATGCTTCTCTCTCCCATGTGCGTTCTTCCTTTCCCCGTTCCATGCTTCTCTCTCCCATGTGCGTTCTTCCTTTCCCCGTTCCATGCTTCTCTCTCCCATGTGCGTTCTTCCTTTCCCCGTTCCATGCTTCTCTCTCCCATGTGCGTTCTTCCTTTCCCCGTTCCATGCTTCTCTCTCCCATGTGCGTTCTTCCTTTCCCCGTTCCATGCTTCTCTCTCCCATGTGCGTTCTTCCTTTCCCCGTTCCATGCTTCTCTCTCCCATGTGCGTTCTTCCTTTCCCCGTTCCATGCTTCTCTCTCCCATGTGCGTTCTTCCTTTCCCCGTTCCATGCTTCTCTCTCCCATGTGCGTTCTTCCTTTCCCCGTTCCATGCTTCTCTCTCCCATGTGCGTTCTTCCTTTCCCCGTTCCATGCTTCTCTCTCCCATGTGCGTTCTTCCTTTCCCCGTTCCATGCTTCTCTCTCCCATGTGCGTTCTTCCTTTCCCCGTTCCATGCTTCTCTCTCCCATGTGCGTTCTTCCTTTCCCCGTTCCATGCTTCTCTCTCCCATGTGCGTTCTTCCTTTCCCCGTTCCATGCTTCTCTCTCCCATGTGCGTTCTTCCTTTCCCCGTTCCATGCTTCTCTCTCCCATGTGCGTTCTTCCTTTCCCCGTTCCATGCTTCTCTCTCCCATGTGCGTTCTTCCTTTCCCCGTTCCATGCTTCTCTCTCCCATGTGCGTTCTTCCTTTCCCCGTTCCATGCTTCTCTCTCCCATGTGCGTTCTTCCTTTCCCCGTTCCATGCTTCTCTCTCCCATGTGCGTTCTTCCTTTCCCCGTTCCATGCTTCTCTCTCCCATGTGCGTTCTTCCTTTCCCCGTTCCATGCTTCTCTCTCCCATGTGCGTTCTTCCTTTCCCCGTTCCATGCTTCTCTCTCCCATGTGCGTTCTTCCTTTCCCCGTTCCATGCTTCTCTCTCCCATGTGCGTTCTTCCTTTCCCCGTTCCATGCTTCTCTCTCCCATGTGCGTTCTTCCTTTCCCCGTTCCATGCTTCTCTCTCCCATGTGCGTTCTTCCTTTCCCCGTTCCATGCTTCTCTCTCCCATGTGCGTTCTTCCTTTCCCCGTTCCATGCTTCTCTCTCCCATGTGCGTTCTTCCTTTCCCCGTTCCATGCTTCTCTCTCCCATGTGCGTTCTTCCTTTCCCCGTTCCATGCTTCTCTCTCCCATGTGCGTTCTTCCTTTCCCCGTTCCATGCTTCTCTCTCCCATGTGCGTTCTTCCTTTCCCCGTTCCATGCTTCTCTCTCCCATGTGCGTTCTTCCTTTCCCCGTTCCATGCTTCTCTCTCCCATGTGCGTTCTTCCTTTCCCCGTTCCATGCTTCTCTCTCCCATGTGCGTTCTTCCTTTCCCCGTTCCATGCTTCTCTCTCCCATGTGCGTTCTTCCTTTCCCCGTTCCATGCTTCTCTCTCCCATGTGCGTTCTTCCTTTCCCCGTTCCATGCTTCTCTCTCCCATGTGCGTTCTTCCTTTCCCCGTTCCATGCTTCTCTCTCCCATGTGCGTTCTTCCTTTCCCCGTTCCATGCTTCTCTCTCCCATGTGCGTTCTTCCTTTCCCCGTTCCATGCTTCTCTCTCCCATGTGCGTTCTTCCTTTCCCCGTTCCATGCTTCTCTCTCCCATGTGCGTTCTTCCTTTCCCCGTTCCATGCTTCTCTCTCCCATGTGCGTTCTTCCTTTCCCCGTTCCATGCTTCTCTCTCCCATGTGCGTTCTTCCTTTCCCCGTTCCATGCTTCTCTCTCCCATGTGCGTTCTTCCTTTCCCCGTTCCATGCTTCTCTCTCCCATGTGCGTTCTTCCTTTCCCCGTTCCATGCTTCTCTCTCCCATGTGCGTTCTTCCTTTCCCCGTTCCATGCTTCTCTCTCCCATGTGCGTTCTTCCTTTCCCCGTTCCATGCTTCTCTCTCCCATGTGCGTTCTTCCTTTCCCCGTTCCATGCTTCTCTCTCCCATGTGCGTTCTTCCTTTCCCCGTTCCATGCTTCTCTCTCCCATGTGCGTTCTTCCTTTCCCCGTTCCATGCTTCTCTCTCCCATGTGCGTTCTTCCTTTCCCCGTTCCATGCTTCTCTCTCCCATGTGCGTTCTTCCTTTCCCCGTTCCATGCTTCTCTCTCCCATGTGCGTTCTTCCTTTCCCCGTTCCATGCTTCTCTCTCCCATGTGCGTTCTTCCTTTCCCCGTTCCATGCTTCTCTCTCCCATGTGCGTTCTTCCTTTCCCCGTTCCATGCTTCTCTCTCCCATGTGCGTTCTTCCTTTCCCCGTTCCATGCTTCTCTCTCCCATGTGCGTTCTTCCTTTCCCCGTTCCATGCTTCTCTCTCCCATGTGCGTTCTTCCTTTCCCCGTTCCATGCTTCTCTCTCCCATGTGCGTTCTTCCTTTCCCCGTTCCATGCTTCTCTCTCCCATGTGCGTTCTTCCTTTCCCCGTTCCATGCTTCTCTCTCCCATGTGCGTTCTTCCTTTCCCCGTTCCATGCTTCTCTCTCCCATGTGCGTTCTTCCTTTCCCCGTTCCATGCTTCTCTCTCCCATGTGCGTTCTTCCTTTCCCCGTTCCATGCTTCTCTCTCCCATGTGCGTTCTTCCTTTCCCCGTTCCATGCTTCTCTCTCCCATGTGCGTTCTTCCTTTCCCCGTTCCATGCTTCTCTCTCCCATGTGCGTTCTTCCTTTCCCCGTTCCATGCTTCTCTCTCCCATGTGCGTTCTTCCTTTCCCCGTTCCATGCTTCTCTCTCCCATGTGCGTTCTTCCTTTCCCCGTTCCATGCTTCTCTCTCCCATGTGCGTTCTTCCTTTCCCCGTTCCATGCTTCTCTCTCCCATGTGCGTTCTTCCTTTCCCCGTTCCATGCTTCTCTCTCCCATGTGCGTTCTTCCTTTCCCCGTTCCATGCTTCTCTCTCCCATGTGCGTTCTTCCTTTCCCCGTTCCATGCTTCTCTCTCCCATGTGCGTTCTTCCTTTCCCCGTTCCATGCTTCTCTCTCCCATGTGCGTTCTTCCTTTCCCCGTTCCATGCTTCTCTCTCCCATGTGCGTTCTTCCTTTCCCCGTTCCATGCTTCTCTCTCCCATGTGCGTTCTTCCTTTCCCCGTTCCATGCTTCTCTCTCCCATGTGCGTTCTTCCTTTCCCCGTTCCATGCTTCTCTCTCCCATGTGCGTTCTTCCTTTCCCCGTTCCATGCTTCTCTCTCCCATGTGCGTTCTTCCTTTCCCCGTTCCATGCTTCTCTCTCCCATGTGCGTTCTTCCTTTCCCCGTTCCATGCTTCTCTCTCCCATGTGCGTTCTTCCTTTCCCCGTTCCATGCTTCTCTCTCCCATGTGCGTTCTTCCTTTCCCCGTTCCATGCTTCTCTCTCCCATGTGCGTTCTTCCTTTCCCCGTTCCATGCTTCTCTCTCCCATGTGCGTTCTTCCTTTCCCCGTTCCATGCTTCTCTCTCCCATGTGCGTTCTTCCTTTCCCCGTTCCATGCTTCTCTCTCCCATGTGCGTTCTTCCTTTCCCCGTTCCATGCTTCTCTCTCCCATGTGCGTTCTTCCTTTCCCCGTTCCATGCTTCTCTCTCCCATGTGCGTTCTTCCTTTCCCCGTTCCATGCTTCTCTCTCCCATGTGCGTTCTTCCTTTCCCCGTTCCATGCTTCTCTCTCCCATGTGCGTTCTTCCTTTCCCCGTTCCATGCTTCTCTCTCCCATGTGCGTTCTTCCTTTCCCCGTTCCATGCTTCTCTCTCCCATGTGCGTTCTTCCTTTCCCCGTTCCATGCTTCTCTCTCCCATGTGCGTTCTTCCTTTCCCCGTTCCATGCTTCTCTCTCCCATGTGCGTTCTTCCTTTCCCCGTTCCATGCTTCTCTCTCCCATGTGCGTTCTTCCTTTCCCCGTTCCATGCTTCTCTCTCCCATGTGCGTTCTTCCTTTCCCCGTTCCATGCTTCTCTCTCCCATGTGCGTTCTTCCTTTCCCCGTTCCATGCTTCTCTCTCCCATGTGCGTTCTTCCTTTCCCCGTTCCATGCTTCTCTCTCCCATGTGCGTTCTTCCTTTCCCCGTTCCATGCTTCTCTCTCCCATGTGCGTTCTTCCTTTCCCCGTTCCATGCTTCTCTCTCCCATGTGCGTTCTTCCTTTCCCCGTTCCATGCTTCTCTCTCCCATGTGCGTTCTTCCTTTCCCCGTTCCATGCTTCTCTCTCCCATGTGCGTTCTTCCTTTCCCCGTTCCATGCTTCTCTCTCCCATGTGCGTTCTTCCTTTCCCCGTTCCATGCTTCTCTCTCCCATGTGCGTTCTTCCTTTCCCCGTTCCATGCTTCTCTCTCCCATGTGCGTTCTTCCTTTCCCCGTTCCATGCTTCTCTCTCCCATGTGCGTTCTTCCTTTCCCCGTTCCATGCTTCTCTCTCCCATGTGCGTTCTTCCTTTCCCCGTTCCATGCTTCTCTCTCCCATGTGCGTTCTTCCTTTCCCCGTTCCATGCTTCTCTCTCCCATGTGCGTTCTTCCTTTCCCCGTTCCATGCTTCTCTCTCCCATGTGCGTTCTTCCTTTCCCCGTTCCATGCTTCTCTCTCCCATGTGCGTTCTTCCTTTCCCCGTTCCATGCTTCTCTCTCCCATGTGCGTTCTTCCTTTCCCCGTTCCATGCTTCTCTCTCCCATGTGCGTTCTTCCTTTCCCCGTTCCATGCTTCTCTCTCCCATGTGCGTTCTTCCTTTCCCCGTTCCATGCTTCTCTCTCCCATGTGCGTTCTTCCTTTCCCCGTTCCATGCTTCTCTCTCCCATGTGCGTTCTTCCTTTCCCCGTTCCATGCTTCTCTCTCCCATGTGCGTTCTTCCTTTCCCCGTTCCATGCTTCTCTCTCCCATGTGCGTTCTTCCTTTCCCCGTTCCATGCTTCTCTCTCCCATGTGCGTTCTTCCTTTCCCCGTTCCATGCTTCTCTCTCCCATGTGCGTTCTTCCTTTCCCCGTTCCATGCTTCTCTCTCCCATGTGCGTTCTTCCTTTCCCCGTTCCATGCTTCTCTCTCCCATGTGCGTTCTTCCTTTCCCCGTTCCATGCTTCTCTCTCCCATGTGCGTTCTTCCTTTCCCCGTTCCATGCTTCTCTCTCCCATGTGCGTTCTTCCTTTCCCCGTTCCATGCTTCTCTCTCCCATGTGCGTTCTTCCTTTCCCCGTTCCATGCTTCTCTCTCCCATGTGCGTTCTTCCTTTCCCCGTTCCATGCTTCTCTCTCCCATGTGCGTTCTTCCTTTCCCCGTTCCATGCTTCTCTCTCCCATGTGCGTTCTTCCTTTCCCCGTTCCATGCTTCTCTCTCCCATGTGCGTTCTTCCTTTCCCCGTTCCATGCTTCTCTCTCCCATGTGCGTTCTTCCTTTCCCCGTTCCATGCTTCTCTCTCCCATGTGCGTTCTTCCTTTCCCCGTTCCATGCTTCTCTCTCCCATGTGCGTTCTTCCTTTCCCCGTTCCATGCTTCTCTCTCCCATGTGCGTTCTTCCTTTCCCCGTTCCATGCTTCTCTCTCCCATGTGCGTTCTTCCTTTCCCCGTTCCATGCTTCTCTCTCCCATGTGCGTTCTTCCTTTCCCCGTTCCATGCTTCTCTCTCCCATGTGCGTTCTTCCTTTCCCCGTTCCATGCTTCTCTCTCCCATGTGCGTTCTTCCTTTCCCCGTTCCATGCTTCTCTCTCCCATGTGCGTTCTTCCTTTCCCCGTTCCATGCTTCTCTCTCCCATGTGCGTTCTTCCTTTCCCCGTTCCATGCTTCTCTCTCCCATGTGCGTTCTTCCTTTCCCCGTTCCATGCTTCTCTCTCCCATGTGCGTTCTTCCTTTCCCCGTTCCATGCTTCTCTCTCCCATGTGCGTTCTTCCTTTCCCCGTTCCATGCTTCTCTCTCCCATGTGCGTTCTTCCTTTCCCCGTTCCATGCTTCTCTCTCCCATGTGCGTTCTTCCTTTCCCCGTTCCATGCTTCTCTCTCCCATGTGCGTTCTTCCTTTCCCCGTTCCATGCTTCTCTCTCCCATGTGCGTTCTTCCTTTCCCCGTTCCATGCTTCTCTCTCCCATGTGCGTTCTTCCTTTCCCCGTTCCATGCTTCTCTCTCCCATGTGCGTTCTTCCTTTCCCCGTTCCATGCTTCTCTCTCCCATGTGCGTTCTTCCTTTCCCCGTTCCATGCTTCTCTCTCCCATGTGCGTTCTTCCTTTCCCCGTTCCATGCTTCTCTCTCCCATGTGCGTTCTTCCTTTCCCCGTTCCATGCTTCTCTCTCCCATGTGCGTTCTTCCTTTCCCCGTTCCATGCTTCTCTCTCCCATGTGCGTTCTTCCTTTCCCCGTTCCATGCTTCTCTCTCCCATGTGCGTTCTTCCTTTCCCCGTTCCATGCTTCTCTCTCCCATGTGCGTTCTTCCTTTCCCCGTTCCATGCTTCTCTCTCCCATGTGCGTTCTTCCTTTCCCCGTTCCATGCTTCTCTCTCCCATGTGCGTTCTTCCTTTCCCCGTTCCATGCTTCTCTCTCCCATGTGCGTTCTTCCTTTCCCCGTTCCATGCTTCTCTCTCCCATGTGCGTTCTTCCTTTCCCCGTTCCATGCTTCTCTCTCCCATGTGCGTTCTTCCTTTCCCCGTTCCATGCTTCTCTCTCCCATGTGCGTTCTTCCTTTCCCCGTTCCATGCTTCTCTCTCCCATGTGCGTTCTTCCTTTCCCCGTTCCATGCTTCTCTCTCCCATGTGCGTTCTTCCTTTCCCCGTTCCATGCTTCTCTCTCCCATGTGCGTTCTTCCTTTCCCCGTTCCATGCTTCTCTCTCCCATGTGCGTTCTTCCTTTCCCCGTTCCATGCTTCTCTCTCCCATGTGCGTTCTTCCTTTCCCCGTTCCATGCTTCTCTCTCCCATGTGCGTTCTTCCTTTCCCCGTTCCATGCTTCTCTCTCCCATGTGCGTTCTTCCTTTCCCCGTTCCATGCTTCTCTCTCCCATGTGCGTTCTTCCTTTCCCCGTTCCATGCTTCTCTCTCCCATGTGCGTTCTTCCTTTCCCCGTTCCATGCTTCTCTCTCCCATGTGCGTTCTTCCTTTCCCCGTTCCATGCTTCTCTCTCCCATGTGCGTTCTTCCTTTCCCCGTTCCATGCTTCTCTCTCCCATGTGCGTTCTTCCTTTCCCCGTTCCTGCTTTCTCTCTCCATGGTGCCGTTCTTCTTCCCCGTTCCAGTGCTCTCTCTCCCATGTGCGTTCTTCCTTTCCCCGTTCCATGCTTCTCTCTCCCATGTGCGTTCTTCCTTTCCCGTTCCATGCTTCTCCTCTCCCATGTGCGTTCTTCCTTTCCCCGTTCCATGCTTCTCTCTCCCATGTGCGTTCTTCCTTTCCCCGTTCCATGCTTCTCTCTCCCATGTGCGTTCTTCCTTTCCCGTTCCATGCTTCTCTCTCCCATGTGCGTTCTTCTTTCCCCGTTCCATGCTTCTCTCTCCCATGTGCGTTCTTCCTTTCCCCGTTCCATGCTTCTCTCTCCCATGTGCGTTCTTCCTTTCCCCGTTCCATGCTTCTCTCTCCCATGTCAGTTCTTCTTTCCCCGTCCATGCTTCTCTTCTAAACCATGTCGTTCTTCCTTTCCCCGTTCCATGCTTCTCTCTCCCATGTGCGTTCTTCTTTCCCCGTTCATGCTTCTCTCCTCCCATGTGCCGTTTCTTCCTTTCCCCGTTCCATGCTTCTCTCTCCCATGTCCGTTCTTCCTTTCCCGTTCCATGCTTCTCTCTCCCATGTCCGTTCTTCCTTTCCCCGTTCCATGCTTCTCTCTCCCATGTCCGTTCTTCCTTTCCCCGTTCCATGCTTCTCTCGCCATGTGCGTTCTTCCTTTCCCCGTTCCATGCTTCTCTCTCCCATGTGCGTTTCTTCCTTTCCCCGTTCCATGCTTCTCTCTCCATGTGCGTTCTTTCCTTTCCCCGTTCCATGCTTCTCTCTCCCAGGTCGTTCTTCCTTTCCCCGTTCCATGCTTCTCTTCCTCCATGTCCGTTCTTCCTTTCCCCGTTCCAGGCTTCTCTCTCCCATGTCCGTTCTTCCTTTCCCCGTTCCATGTTTCTCTCTATCCATTGTCCGTTCTTCCTTTCAACCCCGTTCCATGCTTCTCTCTCCCATGTCCGTTCTTCCTTTCCCCGTTCCATGCTTCTCTCTCCCATGTGCCGTTCTTCCTTTCCCCGTTCCATGCTTTCTCTCTCCCATGTTCGTTCTTCCTTTCCCCGTTCCATGCTTCTCTCTCCCATGTGCGTTCTTCCTTTCCCCGTTCCATGCTTCTCTCTCCATGTGCGTTCTTCCTTTCCCCGTTCCATGCTTCTCTCTCCCATGTGCGTTCTTCTTTCCCCGTTCCATGCTTCTCTCTCCCATATGCGTTCTTCTTTCCCCGTTCCATGCTTCTCTCTCCCATGTGCGTTCTTCACTTTCCCCGTTCCATGCTTCTCTCTCCCATGTGCCGTTCTTCCTTTCCCCGTTCCATGCTTCTCTCTCCCATGTCCGTTCTTCCTTTCCCCGTTCCATGCTTCTCTCTCCCATGTGCGTTCTTCCTTTCCCCGTTCCATGCTTCTCTCTCCCATGTGCGTTCTTCCTTTCCCCCTTCCATGCTTCTCTCTCCCATGTGCGTTCTTCCTTTCCCCGTTCCATGCTTCTCTCTCCCATGTGCGTTCTTCCTTTCCCCGTTCCATGCTTCTCTCTCCCATGTGCGTTCTTCCTTTCCCCGTTCCATGCTTCTCTCTCCCATGTGCGTTCTTCCTTTCCCCGTTCCATGCTTCTCTCTCCCATGTGCGTTCTTCCTTTCCCCGTTCCATGCTTCTCTCTCCCATGTGCGTTCTTCCTTTCCCCGTTCCATGCTTCTCTCTCCCATGTGCGTTCTTCCTTTCCCCGTTCCATGCTTCTCTCTCCCATGTGCGTTCTTCCTTTCCCCGTTCCATGCTTCTCTCTCCCATGTGCGTTCTTCCTTTCCCCGTTCCATGCTTCTCTCTCCCATGTGCGTTCTTCCTTTCCCCGTTCCATGCTTCTCTCTCCCATGTGCGTTCTTCCTTTCCCCGTTCCATGCTTCTCTCTCCCATGTGCGTTCTTCCTTTCCCCGTTCCATGCTTCTCTCTCCCATGTGCGTTCTTCCTTTCCCCGTTCCATGCTTCTCCATGTCCGTATTCCCCATGCTTCTCTCTCCATGTGCGTTCTTCCTTCCCCGTTCCATGCTTCTCTCTCCTCCATGTGCGTTCTTTCCTTTCCCCGTTCCATGCTTCTCTCTCCCATTTCCGTTCTTCCTTTCCCCGTTCCATGCTTCTCTCTCCCATGTCCTTCTTCCTTTCCCCGTTCCATGCTTCTCTCTCCCATGTCCGTTCTCCTTTCCCCGTTCCATGCTTCTCTCTCCCATGTGCGTTCTTCCTTTCCCCGTTCCATGGCTTCTCTCTCCCATGTGCGTTCTTTCCTTTCCTCCGTTCCATGCTTCTCTCTCCCATGTGCGTTTCTTCCTTTCCCCGTTCCAGGCTTCTCTCTCCCATGTGCGTTCTTCCTTTTCCCCGTTCCATGCTTCTCTCTCCATGTGGCGTTCTTCCTTTCCCCGTTCCATGTGCTCTCTCCCATGTCCGTTCTTCCTTTCCCCGTTCGATGTTCTTCTCTCATCCATGTGCGTTCTTCCTTTTCCCCCGTTCCATGCTTCTCTCTCCCATGTGCGTTCTTCCTTTCCCCGTTCCATGCTTCTCTCTCCCATGTACCGTTCTTCCTTTCCCCGTTCCATGCTTCTCTCTCCCATGTGCGTTCTTCCTTTCCCCGTTCCATGCTTCTCTCTCCCATCCTTTCCCCGTTCCATGCTTCTCTCTCCCATGTGCGTTCTTCCTTTCCCCGTTCCATGCTTCTCTCTCCCATGTCCGTTCCATGCTTCTCTCTCCCATGTGCGTTCTTCCTTTCCCCGTTCCATGCTTCTCTCTCCCATGTCCGTTCCATGCTTCTCTCTCCCATGTGCGTTCTTCCTTTCCCCGTTCCATGCTTCTCTCTCCCATGTGCGTTCTTCCTTTCCCCGTTCCATGCTTCTCTCTCCCATGTGCGTTCTTCCTTTCCCCGTTCCATGCTTCTCTCTCCCATGTGCGTTCTTCCTTTCCCCGTTCCATGCTTCTCTCTCCCATGTGCGTTCTTCCTTTCCCCGTTCCATGCTTCTCTCTCCCATGTGCGTTCTTCCTTTCCCCGTTCCATGCTTCTCTCTCCCATGTGCGTTCTTCCTTTCCCCGTTCCATGCTTCTCTCTCCCATGTGCGTTCTTCCTTTCCCCGTTCCATGCTTCTCTCTCCCATGTGCGTTCTTCCTTTCCCCGTTCCATGCTTCTCTCTCCCATGTGCGTTCTTCCTTTCCCCGTTCCATGCTTCTCTCTCCCATGTGCGTTCTTCCGTTCCCCGTTCCATGCTTCTCTCTCCCATGTGCGTTCTTCCTTTCCCCCGTTCCATGCTTCTCTCTCCCATGTGCGTTCTTCCTTTCCCCGTTCCATGCTTCTCTCTCCCATGCGTTCTTCCTTTCCCCGTTCAGTTCTCCTCCATGTCGTCTTCTTTCCCCGTTCCATGCTTCTCTCTCCCATGTGCGTTCTTCCTTTCCCGTTCCATGCTTCTCTCTCCCATGTGCGTTCTTCCTTTCCCCGTTCCATGCTTCTCTCTCCCATGTGCGTTCTTCCTTTCCCCGTTCCATGCTTCTCTCTCCCATGTGCGTTTCTTCCTTTCCCCGTTCCATGCTTTCTCTCTCCCATGTGCGTGCTTCCTTTCCCCGTTCCATGCTTCTCTCCTCCCATGTGCCGTTCTTCCTTTCCCCGTTCCATGCTTCTCTCTCCCATGTGCGTTCTTCCTTTCCCCGTTCCATGCTTCTCTCTCCCATGTGCGTTCTTCCTTTCCCCGTTCCATGCTTCTCTCTCCCATGTGCGTTCTTCCTTTCCCCGTTCCATGCTTCTCTCTCCCATGTGCGTTCTTCCTTTCCCCGTTCCATGCTTCTCTCTCCCATGTGCGTTCTTCCTTTCCCCGTTCCATGCTTCTCTCTCCCATGTGCGTTCTTCCTTTCCCCGTTCCATGCTTCTCTCTCCCATGTGCGTTCTTCCTTTCCCCGTTCCATGCTTCTCTCTCCCATGTGCGTTCTTCCTTTCCCCGTTCCATGCTTCTCTCTCCCATGTGCGTTCTTCCTTTCCCCGTTCCATGCTTCTCTCTCCCATGTGCGTTCTTCCTTTCCCCGTTCCATGCTTCTCTCTCCCATGTGCGTTCTTCCTTTCCCCGTTCCATGCTTCTCTCTCCCATGTGCGTTCTTCCTTTCCCCGTTCCATGCTTCTCTCTCCCATGTGCCGTTCTTCCTTTCCCGTTCCATGCTTCTCTCTCCCATGTCCGTTCTTCCTTCCCCGTTCCATGCTTCTCTCTCCCATGTCGTTCTTACCTTTTCCCCGTTCCATGCTTCTCTCTCCCATGTGCGTTCTTCCTTTCCCCGTTCCATGCTTCTCTCTCCCTGTGGCGTTCTTCCTTTCCCCGTTCCATGCTTCTCTCTCCCATGTGCGTTCTTCCTTTCCCCGTTCCATGCTTCTCTCTCCCATTGTGCCGTTCTTCCTTTCCCCGTTCCATGCTTCTCTCTCCCATGTCCGTTCTCTTCCTTTCCCCGTTCCATGCTTTCTCTCTCCCATGTCCGTTCTTCTTCCCCGTTCCATGCTTCTCTCTCCATGTGCGTTCTTCCTTTCCCCGTTCATGCTTCTCTCTCCCATGTGCGGTCTTCCTTTCCCCTTCCATGCTTCTCTCTCCATGTGCGTTCTTCCTTTCCCGTTCCATGCTTCTCTCTCCCATGTGCGTTCTTCCTTTCCCGTTCCATGCTTCTCTCTCCCATGTGCGTTCTTCCTTTCCCCGTTCCATGCTTCTCTCTCCCATGTGCGTTCTTCCTTTCCCCGTTCCATGCTTCTCTCTCCCATGTCGTTCTTCCTTTCCCCGTTCCATGCTTCTCTCTCCATGTGCGTTCTTCCTTTCCCCGTTCCATGCTTCTCTCTCCCATGTGCGTTCTTCCTTTCCCCGTTCCATGCTTTCTCTCTCCCATGTGCCGTTCTTCCTTTCCCCGTTCCATGCTTCTCTCTCCCATGTGCGTTCTTCCTTTCCCCGTTCCATGCTTCTCTCTCCCATGTGCGTTCTTCCTTTCCCCGTTCCATGCTTCTCTCTCCCATGTGCGTTCTTCCTTTCCCCGTTCCATGCTTCTCTCTCCCATGTGCGTTCTTCCTTTCCCCGTTCCATGCTTCTCTCTCCATGTGCGTTCTTCCTTTCCCCGTTCCATGCTTCTCTCTCCCATGTGCGTTCTTCCTTTCCCCGTTCCATGCTTCTCTCTCCCATGTGCCGTTCTTCCTTTCCCCGTTCCATGCTTCTCTCTCCCATGTGCCGTTCTTCCTTTCCCCGTTCCATGCTTCTCTCTCCCATGTGCGTTCTTCCTTTCCCCGTTCCATGCTTCTCTCTCCCATGTGCGTTCTTCCTTTCCCCCGTTCCATGCTTCTCTCTCCCATGTGCCGTTCTTCCTTTCCCCGTTCCATGCTTCTCTCTCCCATGTCCGTTCTTCCTTTCCCCGTTCCATGCTTCTCTCTCCCATGTGCGTTCTTCCTTTCCCCGTTCCATGCTTCTCTCATCCCATGTGCGTTCTTCCTTTCCCGTTCCAGTGCTTTCTCCATTGCGTTCTCCTTCCGTTACATGCCTTTCTCTCCCATGTGCGTTCTTCCTTTCCCCGTTCCATGCTTCTCTCTCCCATGTGCCGTTCTTCCTTTCCCCGTTCCATGCTTCTCTCTCCCATGTGCGTTCTTCCTTTCCCCGTTCCATGCTTCTCTCTCCCATGTGCGTTCTTCCTTTCCCCGTTCCATGCTTCTCTCTCCATGTGCGTTCTTCCTTTCCCCGTTCCATGCTTCTCTCTCCCATGTGCGTTCTTCCTTTCCCCGTTCCATGCTTCTCTCTCCCATGTGCGTTCTTCCTTTCCCCGTTCCATGCTTCTCTCTCCCATGTGCGTTCTTCCTTTCCCCGTTCCATGCTTCTCTCTCCCATGTGCGTTCTTCCTTTCCCCGTTCCATGCTTCTCTCTCCCATGTGCGTTCTTCCTTTCCCCGTTCCATGCTTCTCTCTCCCATGTGCGTTCTTCCTTTCCCCGTTCCATGCTTCTCTCTCCCATGTGCGTTCTTCCTTTCCCCGTTCCATGCTTCTCTCTCCCATGTGCGTTCTTCCTTTCCCCGTTCCATGCTTCTCTCTCCCATGTGCGTTCTTCCTTTCCCCGTTCCATGCTTCTCTCTCCCATGTGCGTTCTTCCTTTCCCCGTTCCATGCTTCTCTCTCCCATGTGCGTTCTTCCTTTCCCCGTTCCATGCTTCTCTCTCCCATGTGCGTTCTTCCTTTCCCCGTTCCATGCTTCTCTCTCCCATGTGCTTTCTTCCTTTCCCCGTTCCATGCTTCTCTCTCCCATGTGCGTTCTCTTCCTTTCCCCGTTCCATGCTTCTCTCTCCCATGTGCCGTTCTTCCTTTCCCCGTTCCATGCTTCTCTCTCCCATGTGCGTTCTTCCTTTCCCCGTTCCATGCTTCTCTCTCCCATGTGCGTTCTTCCTTTCCCGTTCCATGCTTCTCTCTCCCATGTGCCGTTCTTCCTTTCCCCTTCCATGCTTCTCTCTCCATGTGCGTTCTTCCTTTCCCCGTTCCATGCTTCTCTCTCCCATGTGCGTTCTTCCTTTCCCCGTTCCATGCTTCTCTCTCCCATGTGCGTTCTTCCTTTCCCCGTTCCATGCTTCTCTCTCCCATGTGCGTTCTTCCTTTCCCCTTCCATGCTTCTCTCTCCCATGTGCGTTCTTCCTTTCCCCGTTCCATGCTTCTCTCTCCCATGTGCCGTTCTTCCTTTCCCCGTTCCATGCTTCTCTCTCCCATGTGCGTTCTTCCTTTCCCCGTTCCATGCTTCTCTCTCCATGTGCGTTCTTCCTTTCCCCGTTCCATGCTTCTCTCTCCCATGTGGCGTTCTTCCTTTCCCCCGTTCCATGCTTCTCTCTCCCATGTGCCGTTCTTCCTTTCCCCGTTCCATGCTTCTCTCTCCCATGTGCGTTCTTCCTTTCCCCGTTCCATGCTTCTCTCTCCCATGTGCGTTCTTCCTTTCCCCGTTCCATGCTTCTCTCTCCCATGTGCGTTCTTCCTTTCCCCGTTCCATGCTTCTCTCTCCCATGTGCGTTCTTCCTTCCTTTCCCTGTTCCATGCTTCTCTCTCCCATGTGCGTTCTTCCTTTCCCCGTTCCATGCTCTCTCTCCCATGTCCGTTCTTCCTTTCCCGTTCCATGCTTCTCTCTCCCATGTGCGTTCTTCCTTTCCCCGTTCCATGCTTATCTCTCTCCCATGTGCGTTCTTCCTTTCCCCTTCCATGCTTCTCTCTCCCATGTGCGTTCTTCCTTTCCCCGTTCCATGCTTCTCTCTCCCATGTGCGTTCTTCCTTTCCCCGTTCCATGCTTCTCTCTCCCATGTGCGTTCTTCCTTTCCCCCGTTCATGCTTCTCTCTCCCATGTGCAGTTCTTCTTTCCTTTTCCTCCGTTCCATGCTTCTCTCTCCCATGTGCCGTTCTTCCTTTCCCCGTTCCATGCTTCTCTCTCCCATGTGCGTTCTTCCCTTTCCCCGTTCGCATGCTTCTCTCTCCCATGTGCGTTCTATCCGTTCCATGCTTCCTCTCCCATGTGCGTTCTTCCTTTCCCCGTTCCATGCTTCTCTCTCCCATGTGCGTTCTTCCTTTCCCCGTTCCATGCTTCTCTCTCCCATGTGCGTTCTTCCTTTCCCCGTTCCATGCTTCTCTCTCCCATGTGCGTTCTTCCTTCCCCGTTCCATGCTTCTCTCTCCCATGTGCGTTCTTCCTTTCCCCCGTTCCAATGCTTCTCTCTCCCATGTGCGTTCTTCCTTTCCCCGTTCCATGCTTCTCTCTCCCATGTGCCGTTCTTCCTTTCCCCGTTCCATGCTTCTCTCTCCCATGTGCCGTTCTTCCTTTCCCCGTTCCATGCTTCTCTCTCCCATGTGCGTTCTTCCTTTCCCCGTTCCATGCTTCTCTCTCCCATGTGCGTTCTTCCTTTCCCGTTCCATGCTTCTCTCCTCCCATGTGCGTTCTTCCTTTCCCGTTTCCATGCTTCTCTCTCCCCATGTCGTTCTTCCTTCCCCGTTCCATGCTTCGCTCTTCCATGTGCGTTCTTCCTTTTCCACGTTCCATGCTTCCTCGTCCTTCCTGTGCCTTCTTCTTTCCCCTTCCATGCTTCTCTCTCCCATGTGCGTTCTTCCTTTCCCCGTTCCATGCTTCTCTTCTCCCATGTGCGTTCTTCTTTCCCGTTCCATGCTTCTCTCTCCATGTCCGTTCTTCCTTTCCCCGTTCCTGCTTCTTTCTCCATGTGCGTTCTTCCTTTCCCCGTTCCATGCTTCTCTCTTTCCCATGTGCGTTCTTCCTTTCCCCGTTCCATGCTTCTCTCTCCATGTGCGTTCTTCCTTTCCCCGTTCCATGCTTCTCTCTCCCATGGTCGTTCTTCCTTTCCCCGTTCCATGCTTCTCTCTCCATGTGCGTTCTTCCTTTCCCCGTTCCATGCTTCTCTCTCCATGTGCGTTCTTCCTTTCCCCGTTCCATGCTTCTCTCTCCCATGTCGTTCTTCCTTTCCCCGTTCCATGCTTCTCTCTCCAATGTGCGTTCTTCCTTTCCCCGTTCCATGCTTCTCTCTCCCATGTGCGTTCTTCCTTTCCCGTTCCATGCTTCTCTCTCCCATGTGCGTTCTTCCTTTCCCCGTTCCATGCTTCTCTCTCCCATGTCGTTCTTCCTTCCCGTTCCATGCTTCTCTCTCCCATGTGCGTTTCTTCCTTTCCCCCCCGTTCCATGCTTCTCTCTCCCATGTGCGTTCTTCCTTTCCCGTTCCATGCTTCTCTCTCCCATGTGCGTTCTTCCTTTCCCCGTTCCATGCTTCTCTCTCCCATGTGCCGTTCTTCCTTTCCCCGTTCCATGCTTCTCTCTCCATGTGCGTTCTTCCTTTCCCCGTTCCATGCTTCTCTCTCCCATTTGCGTTCTTCCTTTCCCCGTTCCATGCTTCTCTCTCCCATGTGCGTTCTTCCTTTCCCCGTTCCATGCTTCTCTCTCCCATGTGCCGTTCTTCCTTTCCCCGTTCCATGCTTCTCTCTCCATGTGCGTTCTTCCTTTCCCCGTTCCAGCTTCTCTCTCCCATGTGCGTTCTTCCTTCCCCGTTCCATGCTTCTCTCTCCCATGTGCGTTCTTCCTTTCCCCGTTCCATGCTTCTCTCTCCCATGTGCGTTCTTCCTTTCCCCGTTCCATGCTTCTCTCTCCATGTGCGTTCTTCCTTTCCCCGTTCCATGCTTCTCTCTCCCATGTGCGTTCTTCCTTTCCCCGTTCCATGCTTCTCTCTCCCATGTGCGTTCTTCCTTTCCCCGTTCATGCTTCTCTCCCATGTGCGTTCTTCCTTTCCCGTTCCATGCTTCTCTCTCCCATGTGCGTTCTTCCTTTCCCCGTTCCATGCTCTCTCTCCCATGTGCGTTCTTTCCTTTCCCCGTTCCATGCTTCTCTCTCCCATGTCCGTTCTTCCTTTCCCCGTTCCATGCTTCTCTCTCCCATGTGCGTTCTTCCTTTCCCCGTTCCATGCTTCTCTCTCCATGTCCGTTCTTCCTTTCCCCGTTCCATGCTTCTCTCTCCCATGTGCGTTCTTCCTTTCCCCGTTCCATGCTTCTCTCTCCCATGTGCGTTCTTCCTTTCCCCGTTCCATGCTTCTCTCTCCCATGTGCGGTTCTTCCTTTCCCCGTTCCATGCTTCTCTCTCCCATGTGCGTTCTTCCTTTCCCCGTTCCATGCTTCTCTCTCCCATGTGCGTTCTTCCTTTCCCCGTTCCATGCTTCTCTCTCCCATGTGCGTTCTTCCTTTCCCCGTTCCATGCTTCTCTCTCCATGTGCGTTCTTCCTTTCCCCGTTCCATGCTTCTCTCTCCCATGTGCCGTTCTTCCTTTCCCCGTTCCATGCTTCTCTCTCCCATGTGCGTTCTTCCTTTCCCCGTTCCATGCTTCTCTCTCCCATGTGCGTTTCTTCCTTTCCCCGTTCCATGCTTCTCTCTCCCATGTGCGTTCTTCCTTTCCCCGTTCCATGCTTCTCTCTCCCATGTGCGTTCTTCCTTTCCCCGTTCCATGCTTCTCTCTCCCATGTGCGTTCTTCCTTTCCCCGTTCCATGCTTCTCTCTCCCATGTGCGTTCTTCCTTTCCCCGTTCCATGCTTCTCTCTCCCATGTGCGTTCTTCCTTTCCCCGTTCCATGCTTCTCTCTCCCATGTGCGTTCTTCCTTTCCCCGTTCCATGCTTCTCTCTCCCATGTGCGTTCTTCCTTTCCCCGTTCCATGCTTCTCTCTCCCATGTGCGTTCTTCCTTTCCCCGTTCCATGCTTCTCTCTCCCATGTGCGTTCTTCCTTTCCCCGTTCCATGCTTCTCTCTCCCATGTGCGTTCTTCCTTTCCCCGTTCCATGCTTCTCTCTCCCATGTCCGTTCTTCCTTTCCCCGTTCCATGCTTCTCTCTCCCATGTGCGTTCTTCCTTTCCCCGTTCCATGCTTCTCTCTCCCATGTGCGTTCTTCCTTTCCCCGTTCCATGCTTCTCTCTCCCATGTGCGTTCTTCCTTTCCCCGTTCCATGCTTCTCTCTCCCATGTGCGTTCTTCCTTTCCCCGTTCCATGCTTCTCTCTCCCATGTGCGTTCTTCCTTTCCCCGTTCCATGCTTCTCTCTCCCATGTGCGTTCTTCCTTTCCCCGTTCCATGCTTCTCTCTCCCATGTGCGTTCTTTCCTTTCCCCGTTCCATGCTTCTCTCTCCATGTGCGTTCTTCCTTTCCCCGTTCCATGCTTCTCTCTCCCATGTGCGTTCTTCCTTTCCCCGTTCCATGCTTCTCTCTCCCATGTGCGTTCTTCCTTTCCCCGTTCCATGCTTCTCTCTCCCATGTGCGTTCTTCCTTTCCCCGTTCCATGCTTCTCTCTCCCATGTGCGTTCTTCCTTTCCCCGTTCCATGCTTCTCTCTCCCATGTGCGTTCTTCCTTTCCCCGTTCCATGCTTCTCTCTCCCATGTGCGTTCTTCCTTTCCCCGTTCCATGCTTCTCTCTCCCATGTGCGTTCTTCCTTTCCCCGTTCCATGCTTCTCTCTCCCATGTGCGTTCTTCCTTTCCCCGTTCCATGCTTCTCTCTCCCATGTGCGTTCTTCCTTTCCCCGTTCCATGCTTCTCTCTCCCATGTCGTTCTTCCTTTCCCCGTTCCATGCTTCTCTCTCCCATGTGCGTTCTTCCTTTCCCCGTTCCATGCTTCTCTCTCCCATGTGCGTTCTTCCTTTCCCCGTTCCATGCTTCTCTCTCCCATGTGCGTTCTTCCTTTCCCCGTTCCATGCTTCTCTCTCCCATGTGCGTTCTTCCTTTCCCCGTTCCATGCTTCTCTCTCCCATTGCGTTCTTCCTTTCCCCGTTCCATGCTTCTCTCTCCCATGTGCGTTCTTCCTTTCCCCGTTCCATGCTTCTCTCTCCCATGTGCGTTCTTACGTTCCATGCTTCTCTCTCCCATTCCGTTCCATGCTTCTCTCTCCCATGTGCGTTCTTCCTTTCCCCGTTCCATGCTTCTCTCTCCCATGTGCGTTCTTCCTTTCCCCGTTCCATGCTTCTCTCTCCCATGTGCGTTCTTCCTTTCCCCGTTCCATGCTTCTCTCTCCCATGTGCGTTCTTCCTTTCCCCGTTCCATGCTTCTCTCTCCCATGTGCGTTCTTCCTTTCCCCCGTTCCATGCTTCTCTCTCCCATGTGCGTTCTTCTTCCCGTTCCATGCTTCTCTCTCCCATGTGCGTTCTTCCTTTCCCCGTTCCATGCTTCTCTCTCCCATGTGCGTTCTTCTTTCCCCGTTCCATGCTTCTATCTCCCATGTGCGTTCTTCCTTTCCCCGTTCCATGCTTCTCTCTCCCATGTCCGTTCTTCCTTTCCCCGTTCCATGCTTCTCTCTCCCATGTGCGTTCTTCCTTTCCCCGTTCCATGCTTCTCTCTCCCATGTGCGTTCTTCCTTTCCCCGTTCCATGCTTCTCTCTCCCATGTGCGTTCTTTCCTTTCCCCGTTCCATGCTTCTCTCTCCCATGTGCCGTTCTTCCTTTCCCCGTTCCATGCTTCTCTCTCCATGTCCGTTCTTCCTTTCCCCGTTCCATGCTTCTCTCTCCCATGTGCGTTCTTCCTTTCCCCGTTCCATGCTTCTCTCTCCCATGTGCGTTCTTCCTTTCCCCGTTCCATGCTTCTCTCTCCCATGTGCGTTCTTCCTTTCCCCGTTCCATGCTTCTCTCTCCCATGTGCGTTCTTCCTTTCCCCGTTCCATGCTTCTCTCTCCCATGTGCGTTCTTCCTTTCCCCGTTCCATGCTTCTCTCTCCCATGTGCGTTCTTCCTTTCCCCGTTCCATGCTTCTCTCTCCCATGTCCGTTCTTCCTTTCCCCGTTCCATGCTTCTCTCTCCCATGTGCGTTCTTCCTTTCCCCGTTCCATGCTTCTCTCTCCATGTGCGTTCTTCCTTTCCCCGTTCCATGCTTCTCTCTCCCATGTGCGTTCTTCCTTTCCCCGTTCCATGCTTCTCTCTCCCATGTGCGTTCTTCCTTTCCCCGTTCCATGCTTCTCTCTCCCATGTGCGTTCTTCCTTTCCCCGTTCCATGCTTCTCTCTCCCATGTGCGTTCTTCCTTTCCCCGTTCCATGCTTCTCTCTCCCATGTGCGTTCTTCCTTTCCCCGTTCCATGCTTCTCTCTCCCATGTGCGTTCTTCCTTTCCCCGTTCCATGCTTCTCTCTCCCATGTGCGTTCTTCCTTTCCCCGTTCCATGCTTCTCTCTCCCATGTGCGTTCTTCCTTTCCCCGTTCCATGCTTCTCTCTTCCCATGTGCGTTCTTCCTTTCCCCGTTCCATGCTTCTCTCTCCCATGTCCGTTCTTCCTTTCCCCGTTCCATGCTTCTCTCTCCCATGTGCGTTCTTCCTTTCCCCGTTCCATGCTTCTCTCTCCCATGTGCGTTCTTCCTTTCCCCGTTCCATGCTTCTCTCTCCCATGTGCGTTCTTCCTTTCCCCGTTCCATGCTTCTCTCTCCCATGTGCGTTCTTCCTTTCCCCGTTCCATGCTTCTCTCTCCCATGTGCGTTCTTCCTTTCCCCGTTCCATGCTTCTCTCTCCCATGTGCGTTCTTCCTTTCCCCGTTCCATGCTTCTCTCTCCCATGTCCGTTCTTCCTTTCCCCGTTCCATGCTTCTCTCTCCCATGTGCGTTCTTCCTTTCCCCGTTCCATGCTTCTCTCTCCCATGTGCGTTCTTCCTTTCCCCGTTCCATGCTTTCTCTCTCCCATGTGCGTTCTTCCTTTCCCCGTTCCATGCTTCTCTCTCCCATGTGCCGTTCTTCCTTCCCCGTTCCATGCTTCTCTCTCCCATGTGCGTTCTTCCTTTCCCCGTTCCATGCTTCTCTCTCCCATGTGCGTTCTTCCTTTCCCCGTTCCATGCTTCTCTCTCCCATGTGCGTTCTTCCTTTCCCCGTTCCATGCTTCTCTCTCCCATGTGCGTTCTTCCTTTCCCCGTTCCATGCTTCTCTCTCCATGTGCGTTTCTTTCACTTTCCCCGTTCCATGCTTCTCTCTCCCATGTGCGTTCTTCCTTTCCCCGTTCCATGCTTCTCTCTCCCATGTCCGTTCTTCTTTCCCCGTTCCATGCTTCTCTCTCCCATGTGCGTTCTTCCTTTCCCCGTTCCATGCTTCTCTCTCCCATGTGCGTTCTTCCTTTCCCCGTTCCATGCTTCTCTCTCCCATGTGCGTTCTTCCTTCCCGTTTCCATGCTTCTCTCTCCATGTGCGTTCTTCCTTTCCCGTTCCATGCTTCTCTCTCCCATGTGCGTTCTTCCTTTCCCCGTTCCATGCTTCTCTCTCCCATGTGCGTTCTTCCTTTCCCCGTTCCATGCTTCTCTCTCCCATGTGCGTTCTTCCTTTCCCCGTTCCATGCTTCTCTCTCCCATGTGCGTTCTTCCTTTCCCCGTTCCATGCTTCTCTCTCCCATGTGCGTTCTTCCTTTCCCGTTCCATGCTCTCTCTCCCATGTGCGTTTCTTCCTTTCCCCGTTCCATGCTTCTCTCTCCCATGTCCGTTCTTCCTTTCCCCGTTCCATGCTTCTCTCTCCATGTGCGTTCTTCCTTTCCCCGTTCCATGCTTCTCTCTCCCATGTGCGTTCTTCCTTTCCCCGTTCCATGCTTCTCTCTCCCATGTGCGTTCTTCCTTTCCCCGTTCCATGCTTCTCTCTCCCATGTGCGTTCTTCCTTTCCCCGTTCCATGCTTCTCTCTCCCATGTGCGTTCTTCCTTTCCCCGTTCCATGCTTCTCTCTCCCATGTGCGTCTTCCTTTCCCCGTTCCATGCCTTCTCTCTCCCATGTGCGTTCTTCCTTTCCCCGTTCCATGCTTCTCTCTCCCATGTCCGTTCTTCTTTCCCCGTTCCATGCTTTCTCTCTCCCATGTGCGTCTTCCTTCCCCGTTCCATTCTTCTCTCCTCCCATGGTCTCCTCCCCGTTCCATGCTTCTCTCTCCCATGTGCGTTCTTCCTTTCCCCGTTCCATGCTTCTCTCTCCCATGTGCGTTCTTCCTTTCCCCGTTCCATGTTTCTCTCTCCCATGTCCGTTCTTCCTTTCCCCCGTTCCATGCTTCTCTCTCCATGTGCGTTCTTCCTTTCCCCGTTCCATGCTTCTCTGCTCCCATGTGCGTTCTTCCTTTCCCGTTCCCTGCTTCTCTCTCCCATGTGCGTTCTTCCTTTCCCCGTTCCATGCTTTCTCTCCCATGTGCGTTCTTCCTTTCCCCGTTCCATGCTTCTCTCTCCCATGTGCGTTCTTCCTTTCCCCGTTCCATGCTTTCTCTCTCCCATGTGCGTTCTTCCTTTCCCCGTTCCATGCTTCTCTCTCCCGATGTGCGTTCTTCCCTTTCCCCGTTCCATGCTTCTCTCTCCCATGTGCGTTCTTCCTTTCCCCGTTCCATGCTTCTCTCTCCCATGTCCGTTCTTCCTTTCCCGTTCCATGCTTCTCTCTCCCATGTGCGTTCTTCCTTTCCCCGTTCCATGCTTCTCTCTCCCATGTGCGTTCTTCCTTTCCCCGTTCCATGCTTCTCTCTCCCATGTGCGTTCTTCCTTTCCCCGTTCCATGCTTCTCTCTCCCATGTGCGTTCTTCCTTTCCCCGTTCCATGCTTCTCTCTCCCATGTGCGTTCTTCCTTTCCCCGTTCCATGCTTCTCTCTCCCATGTGCGTTCTTCCTTTCCCCGTTCCATGCTTCTCTCTCCCATGTGCGTTCTTCCTTTCCCCCGTTCCATGCTTCTCTCTCCCATGTGCGTTCTTCCTTTCCCCGTTCCATGCTTCTCTCTCCCATGTGCGTTCTTCCTTTCCCCGTTCCATGCATTCTCTCTCCCATGTGCGTTCTTCCTTTCCCCGTTCCATGCTTCTCTCTCCCATGTGCCGTTCTTCCTTTCCCCGTTCCATGCTTCTCTCTCCCATGTCCGTTCTTCCTGCTTCCCGTTCCATGCTTCTCTGCATCCCATGTGCGTCTTCCTTTCCCCGTTCCATGCTTCTCTCTCCCATGTGCGTTCTTCCTTTCCCCGTTCCATGCTTCTCTCTCCCATGTGCGTTCTTCCTTTCCCCGTTCCATGCTTCTCTCTCCCATGTGCGTTCTTCCTTTCCCCGTTCCATGCTTCTCTCTCCCATGTGCGTTCTTCCTTTCCCCGTTCCATGCTTCTCTCTCCCATGTGCGTTCTTCCTTTCCCGTTCCATGCTTCTCTCTCCCATGTGCGTTCTTCCTTTCCCCGTTCCATGCTTCTCTCTCCCATGTGCGTTCTTCCTTTCCCCGTTCCATGCTTCTCTCTCCCATGGCCGTTCTTCCTTTCCCCGTTCCATGCTTCTCTCTCCCATGTGCGTTCTTCCTTTCCCCGTTCCATGTTCTCCTCCATGTCTTCTTTCCCCGTTTCCATGCTTCTCTCTCCCATGTGCGTTCTTCCTTTCCCCGTTCCATGCTTCTCTCTCCCATGTGCGTTCTTCCTTTCCCGTTCCATGCTTCTCTCTCCCATGTCCGTTCCATGCTTCTCTCTCCCATGTGCGTTCTTCCTTTCCCCGTTCCATGCTTCTCTCTTCCCATGTCCGTTCCATGCTTCTCTCTCCCATGTGCGTTCTTCCTTTCCCCGTTCCATGCTTCTCTCTCCCATGTGCGTTCTTCCTTTCCCCGTTCCATGCTTCTCTCTCCCATGTCCGTTCTTCCTTTCCCCGTTCCATGTTTCTCTCTCCCATGTCCGTTCTTCCTTTCCCCGTTCCATGCTTCTCTCTCCCATGTGCGTTCTTCCTTTCCCCGTTCCATGCTTCTCTCTCCCATGTGCGTTCTTCCTTTCCCCGTTCCATGCTTCTCTCTCCCATGTCCGTTCTTCCTTTCCCCGTTCCATGCTTCTCTCTCCCATGTGCGTTCTTCCTTTCCCCGTTCCATGCTTCTCTCTCCCATGTGCGTTCTTCCTTTCCCCGTTCCATGCTTCTCTCTCCCATGTGCGTTCTTCCTTTCCCCGTTCCATGCTTCTCTCTCCCATGTCCGTTCTTCCTTTCCCCGTTCCATGCTTCTCTCTCCCATGTCCGTTCTTCCTTTCCCCGTTCCATGCTTCTCTCTCCCATGTGCGTTCTTCCTTTCCCCGTTCCATGCTTCTCTCTCCCATGTGCGTTCTTCCTTTCCCCGTTCCATGCTTCTCTCTCCCATGTGCGTTCTTCCTTTCCCCGTTCCATGCTTCTCTCTCCCATGTGCGTTCTTCCTTTCCCCGTTCCATGCTTCTCTCTCCCATGTGCGTTCTTCCTTTCCCCGTTCCATGCTTCTCTCTCCCATGTCCGTTCTTCCTTTCCCCGTTCCATGCTTCTCTCTCCCATGTCCGTTCTTCCTTTCCCGTTCCTGCTTCTCTCTCCCATGTCCGTTCTTCCTTTCCCGTTCCATGCTTCTCTCTCCCATGTGCGTTCTTCCTTTCCCGTTCCATGCTTCTCTCTCCCATGTTCGTTCTTCCTTTCCCCGTTCCATGCTTCTCTCTCCCATGTTGCGTTCTTCCTTTCCCCGTTCCATGCTTCTCTCTCCCATGTGCGTTCTTCCTTTCCCCGTTCCATGCTTCTCTCTCCCATGTGCGTTCTTCCTTTCCCCGTTCCATGCTTCTCTCTCCCATGTGCGTTCTTCCTTCCCCGTTCCATGGCTTCTCTCTCCCATGTGCGTTCTTCCTTTCCCCGTTCCATGCTTCTCTCTCCCATGTGCGTTCTTCCTTTCCCCGTTCCATGCTTCTCTCTCCCATGTCCGTTCTTCCTTTCCCCGTTCCATGCTTCTCTCTCCCATGTGCGTTCTTCCTTTCCCCGTTCCATGCTTCTCTCTCCCATGTCCTTTCCCCGTTCCATGCTTCTCTCTCCCATGTACGTTCTTCCTTTCCCCGTTCCATGCTTCTCTCTCCCATGTCCGTTCCATGCTTCTCTCTCCCATGTGCGTTCTTCCTTTCCCCGTTCCATGCTTCTCTCTCCCATGTCCGTTCCATGCTTCTCTCTCCCATGTGCGTTCTTCCTTTCCCCGTTCCATGCTTCTCTCTCCCATGTGCGTTCTTCCTTTCCCCGTTCCATGCTTCTCTCTCCCATGTCCGTTCTTCCTTTCCCCGTTCCATGCTTCTCTCTCCCATGTCCGTTCTTCCTTTCCCCGTTCCATGCTTCTCTCTCCCATGTGCGTTCTTCCTTTCCCCGTTCCATGCTTCTCTCTCCCATGTGCGTTCTTCCTTTCCCCGTTCCATGCTTCTCTCTCCCATGTGCGTTCTTCCTTTCCCCGTTCCATGCTTCTCTCTCCCATGTGCGTTCTTCCTTTCCCCGTTCCATGCTTCTCTCTCCCATGTGCGTTCTTCCTTTCCCCGTTCCATGCTTCTCTCTCCCATGTGCCGTTCTTCCTTTCCCCGTTCCATGCTTCTCTCTCCCATGTGCGTTCTTCCTTTCCCCGTTCCATGCTTCTCTCTCCATGTGCGTTCTTCCTTTCCCCGTTCCATGCTTCTCTCTCCCATGTGCGTTCTTCCTTCCCCGTTCCATGCTTCTCTCTCCCATGTGCGTTCTTCCTTTCCCCGTTCCATGCTTCTCTCTCCCATGTGCGTTCTTCCTTTCCCCGTTCCATGCTTCTCTCTCCCATGTGCGTTCTTCCTTTCCCCGTTCCATGCTTCTCTCTCCCATGTGCGTTCTTCCTTTCCCCGTTCCATGCTTCTCTCTCCCATGTGCGTTCTTCCTTTCACCGTTCCATGCTTCTCTCTCCCATGTGCGTTCTTCCATTCCCCGTTCCATGCTACTCTCTCCCATGTGCGTTCTTCCTTTCCCCGTTCCATGCTTCTCTCTCCCATGTCCGTTCTCCTTTCCCCGTTCCATGCTTCTCTCTCCCATGTGCGTTTCTTCCTTTCCCCGTTCCATGCTTCTCTCTCCCATGTGCGTTCTTCCTTTCCCCGTTCCATGCTTCTCTCTCCCATATGCGTTCTTCCTTTCCCCGTTTCATGCTTCTCTCTCCCATGTGCGTTCTTCCTTTCCCCGTTCCATGCTTCTCTCTCCCATGTGCGTTCTTCCTTTCCCCGTTCCATGCTTCTCTCTCCCATGTCCGTTCTTCTTTCCCCGTTCCATGCTTCTCTCTCCCATGTGCGTTCTTCCTTTCCCCGTTCCATGCTTCTCTCTCCCATGTCCTTTCCCCGTTCCATGCTTCTCTCTCCCATGTGCGTTCTTCCTTTCCCCGTTCCATGCTTCTCTCTCCCATGTCCGTTCCATGCTTCTCTCTCCCATGTGCGTTCTTCCTTTCCCCGTTCCATGCTTCTCTCTCCCATGTGCGTTCTTCCTTTCCCCGTTCCATGCTTCTCTCTCCCATGTGCGTTCTTCCTTTCCCCGTTCCATGCTTCTCTCTCCCATGTGCGTTCTTCCTTTCCCCGTTCCATGCTTCTCTCTCCCATGTGCGTTCTTCCTTTCCCCGTTCCATGCTTCTCTCTCCCATGTGCGTTCTTCCATTCCCCGTTCCATGCTTCTCTCTCCCATGTCCGTTCTTCCTTTCCCCGTTCCATGCTTCTCTCTCCCATGTGCGTTCTTCCTTTCCCCGTTCCATGCTTCTCTCTCCCATGTGCGTTCTTCCTTCCCCGTTCCATGCTTCTCTCTCCCATGTGCGTTCTTCCTTTCCCCGTTCCATGCTTCTCTCTCCATGTGCGTTCTTCCTTTCCCCGTTCCATGCTTCTCTCTCCCATGTGCGTTCTTCCTTTCCCCGTTCCATGCTTCTCTCTCCCATGTGCGTTCTTCCTTTCCCCGTTCCATGCTTCTCTCTCCCATGTGCGTTCTTCCTTTCCCCGTTCCATGCTTCTCTCTCCCATGTGCGTTCTTCCTTTCCCCGTTCCATGCTTCTCTCTCCCATGTGCGTTCTTCCATTCCCCGTTCCATGCTTCTCTCTCCCATGTGCGTTCTTCCTTTCCCCGTTCCATGCTTCTCTCTCCCATGTCCGTTCTTCCTTTCCCCGTTCCATGCTTCTCTCTCCCATGTGCGTTCTTCCTTTCCCCGTTCCATGCTTCTCTCTCCCATGTGCGTTCTTCCTTTCCCCGTTCCATGCTTCTCTCTCCCATATGCGTTCTTCCTTTCCCCGTTTCATGCTTCTCTCTCCCATGTGCGTTCTTCCTTTCCCCGTTCCATGCTTCTCTCTCCCATGTGCGTTCTTCCTTTCCCCGTTCCATGCTTCTCTCTCCCATGTCCGTTCTTCCTTTCCCCGTTCCATGCTTCTCTCTCCCATGTGCGTTCTTCCTTTCCCCGTTCCATGCTTCTCTCTCCCATGTCCTTTCCCCGTTCCATGCTTCTCTCTCCCATGTGCGTTCTTCCTTTCCCCGTTCCATGCTTCTCTCTCCCATGTCCGTTCCATGCTTCTCTCTCCCATGTGCGTTCTTCCTTTCCCCGTTCCATGCTTCTCTCTCCCATGTGCGTTCTTCCTTTCCCCGTTCCATGCTTCTCTCTCCCATGTGCGTTCTTCCTTTCCCCGTTCCATGCTTCTCTCTCCCATGTGCGTTCTTCCTTTCCCCGTTCCATGCTTCTCTCTCCCATGTGCGTTCTTCCTTTCCCCGTTCCATGCTTCTCTCTCCCATGTGCGTTCTTCCATTCCCCGTTCCATGCTTCTCTCTCCCATGTGCGTTCTTCCTTTCCCCGTTCCATGCTTCTCTCTCCCATGTCCGTTCTTCCTTTCCCCGTTCCATGCTTCTCTCTCCCATGTGCGTTCTTCCTTTCCCCGTTCCATGCTTCTCTCTCCCATGTGCGTTCTTCCTTTCCCCGTTCCATGCTTCTCTCTCCCATATGCGTTCTTCCTTTCCCCGTTTCATGCTTCTCTCTCCCATGTGCGTTCTTCCTTTCCCCGTTCCATGCTTCTCTCTCCCATGTGCGTTCTTCCTTTCCCCGTTCCATGCTTCTCTCTCCCATGTCCGTTCTTCCTTTCCCCGTTCCATGCTTCTCTCTCCCATGTGCGTTCTTCCTTTCCCCGTTCCATGCTTCTCTCTCCCATGTCCTTTCCCCGTTCCATGCTTCTCTCTCCCATGTGCGTTCTTCCTTTCCCCGTTCCATGCTTCTCTCTCCCATGTCCGTTCCATGCTTCTCTCTCCCATGTGCGTTCTTCCTTTCCCCGTTCCATGCTTCTCTCTCCCATGTCCGTTCCATGCTTCTCTCTCCCATGTGCGTTCTTCCTTTCCCCGTTCCATGCTTCTCTCTCCCATGTGCGTTCTTCCTTTCCCCGTTCCATGCTTCTCTCTCCCATGTCCGTTCTTCCTTTCCCCGTTCCATGCTTCTCTCTCCCATGTCCGTTCTTCCTTTCCCCGTTCCATGCTTCTCTCTCCCATGTGCGTTCTTCCTTTCCCCGTTCCATGCTTCTCTCTCCCATGTGCGTTCTTCCTTTCCCCGTTCCATGCTTCTCTCTCCCATGTGCGTTCTTCCTTTCCCCGTTCCATGCTTCTCTCTCCCATGTGCGTTCTTCCTTTCCCCGTTCCATGCTTCTCTCTCCCATGTGCGTTCTTCCTTTCCCCGTTCCATGCTTCTCTCTCCCATGTGCGTTCTTCCTTTCCCCGTTCCATGCTTCTCTCTCCCATGTGCGTTCTTCCTTTCCCCGTTCCATGCTTCTCTCTCCCATGTGCGTTCTTCCTTTCCCCGTTCCATGTTTCTCTCTCCCATGTCCGTTCTTCCTTTCCCCGTTCCATGCTTCTCTCTCCCATGTCCGTTCTTCCTTTCCCCGTTCCATGCTTCTCTCTCCCATGTCCGTTCTTCCTTTCCCCGTTCCATGCTTCTCTCTCCCATGTGCGTTCTTCCTTTCCCCGTTCCATGCTTCTCTCTCCCATGTGCGTTCTTCCTTTCCCCGTTCCATGCTTCTCTCTCCCATGTCCGTTCTTCCTTTCCCCGTTCCATGCTTCTCTCTCCCATGTGCGTTCTTCCTTTCCCCGTTCCATGCTTCTCTCTCCCATGTGCGTTCTTCCTTTCCCCGTTCCATGCTTCTCTCTCCCATGTGCGTTCTTCCTTTCCCCGTTCCATGCTTCTCTCTCCCATGTCCGTTCTTCCTTTCCCCGTTCCATGCTTCTCTCTCCCATGTGCGTTCTTCCTTTCCCCGTTCCATGCTTCTCTCTCCCATGTGCGTTCTTCCTTTCCCCGTTCCATGCTTCTCTCTCCCATGTGCGTTCTTCCTTTCCCCGTTCCATGCTTCTCTCTCCCATGTGCGTTCTTCCTTTCCCCGTTCCATGCTTCTCTCTCCCATGTGCGTTCTTCCTTTCCTCGTTCTATGCTTCTCTCTCCCATGTCCGTTCTTCCTTTCCCCGTTCCATGCTTCTCTCTCCCATGTCCGTTCTTCCTTTCCCCGTTCCATGCTTCTCTCTCCCATGTCCGTTCTTCCTTTCCCTGTTCCATGTTTCTCTCTCCCATGTCCGTTCTTCCTTTCCCCGTTCCATTCTTCTCTCTCCCATGTGCGTTCTTCCTTTCCCCGTTCCATGCTTCTCTCTCCCATGTGCGTTCTTCCTTTCCCCGTTCCATGTTTCTCTCTCCCATGTCCGTTCTTCCTTTCCCCGTTCCATGCTTCTCTCTCCCATGTGCGTTCTTCCTTTCCCCGTTCCATGCTTCTCTCTCCCATGTGCGTTCTTCCTTTCCCCGTTCTATGCTTCTCTCTCCCATGTCCGTTCTTCCTTTCCCCGTTCCATGCTTCTCTCTCCCATGTCCGTTCTTCCTTTCCCCGTTCCATGCTTCTCTCTCCCATGTCCGTTCTTCCTTTCCCCGTTCCATGCTTCTCTCTCCCATGTCCGTTCTTCCTTTCCCCGTTCCATGCTTCTCTCTCCCATGTGCGTTCTTCCTTTCCCCGTTCCATGCTTCTCTCTCCCATGTGCGTTCTTCCTTTCCCCGTTCCATGCTTCTCTCTCCCATGTGCGTTCTTCCTTTCCCCGTTCCATGCTTCTCTCTCCCATGTTCGTTCTTCCTTTCCCCGTTCCATGCTTCTCTCTCCCATGTGCGTTCTTCCTTTCCCCGTTCCATGCTTCTCTCTCCCATGTGCGTTCTTCCTTTCCCCGTTCCATGCTTCTCTCTCCCATGTGCGTTCTTCCTTTCCCCGTTCCATGCTTCTCTCTCCCATGTGCGTTCTTCCTTTCCCCGTTCCATGCTTCTCTCTCCCATGTGCGTTCTTCCTTTCCCCGTTCCATGCTTCTCTCTCCCATGTCCGTTCTTCCTTTCCCCGTTCCATGCTTCTCTCTCCCATGTCCGTTCTTCCTTTCCCCGTTCCATGCTTCTCTCTCCCATGTGCGTTCTTCCTTTCCCCGTTCCATGCTTCTCTCTCCCATGTCCTTTCCCCGTTCCATGCTTCTCTCTCCCATGTGCGTTCTTCCTTTCCCCGTTCCATGCTTCTCTCTCCCATGTCCGTTCCATGCTTCTCTCTCCCATGTGCGTTCTTCCTTTCCCCGTTCCATGCTTCTCTCTCCCATGTCCGTTCCATGCTTCTCTCTCCCATGTGCGTTCTTCCTTTCCCCGTTCCATGCTTCTCTCTCCCATGTGCGTTCTTCCTTTCCCCGTTCCATGCTTCTCTCTCCCATGTCCGTTCTTCCTTTCCCCGTTCCATGCTTCTCTCTCCCATGTCCGTTCTTCCTTTCCCCGTTCCATGCTTCTCTCTCCCATGTGCGTTCTTCCTTTCCCCGTTCCATGCTTCTCTCTCCCATGTGCGTTCTTCCTTTCCCCGTTCCATGCTTCTCTCTCCCATGTGCGTTCTTCCTTTCCCCGTTCCATGCTTCTCTCTCCCATGTGCGTTCTTCCTTTCCCCGTTCCATGCTTCTCTCTCCCATGTGCGTTCTTCCTTTCCCCGTTCCATGCTTCTCTCTCCCATGTGCGTTCTTCCTTTCCCCGTTCCATGCTTCTCTCTCCCATGTGCGTTCTTCCTTTCCCCGTTCCATGTTTCTCTCTCCCATGTCCGTTCTTCCTTTCCCCGTTCCATGCTTCTCTCTCCCATGTGCGTTCTTCCTTTCCCCGTTCCATGCTTCTCTCTCCCATGTGCGTTCTTCCTTTCCCCGTTCCATGCTTCTCTCTCCCATGTGCGTTCTTCCTTTCCCCGTTCCATGTTTCTCTCTCCCATGTCCGTTCTTCCTTTCCCCGTTCCATGCTTCTCTCTCCCATGTGCGTTCTTCCTTTCCCCGTTCCATGCTTCTCTCTCCCATGTGCGTTCTTCCTTTCCCCGTTCCATGCTTCTCTCTCCCATGTGCGTTCTTCCTTTCCCCGTTCCATGCTTCTCTCTCCCATGTGCGTTCTTCCTTTCCCCGTTCCATGCTTCTCTCTCCCATGTGCGTTCTTCCTTTCCCCGTTCCATGCTTCTCTCTCCCATGTGCGTTCTTCCTTTCCCTGTTCCATGCTTCTCTCTCCCATGTCCGTTCTTCCTTTCCCCGTTCCATGCTTCTCTCTCCCATGTGCGTTCTTCCTTTCCCCGTTCCATGCTTCTCTCTCCCATGTGCGTTCTTCCTTTCCCCGTTCCATGCTTCTCTCTCCCATGTGCGTTCTTCCTTTCCCCGTTTCATGCTTCTCTCTCGCATGTGCGTTCTTCCTTTCCCCGTTCCATGCTTCTCTCTCCCATGTGCGTTCTTCCTTTCCCCGTTCCATGCTTCTCTCTCCCATGTCCGTTCTTCCTTTCCCCGTTCCATGCTTCTCTCTCCCATGTGCGTTCTTCCTTTCCCCGTTCCATGCTTCTCTCTCCCATGTCCTTTCCCCGTTCCATGCTTCTCTCTCCCATGTGCGTTCTTCCTTTCCCCGTTCCATGCTTCTCTCTCCCATGTCCGTTCCATGCTTCTCTCTCCCATGTGCGTTCTTCCTTTCCCCGTTCCATGCTTCTCTCTCCCATGTCCGTTCCATGCTTCTCTCTCCCATGTGCGTTCTTCCTTTCCCCGTTCCATGCTTCTCTCTCCCATGTGCGTTCTTCCTTTCCCCGTTCCATGCTTCTCTCTCCCATGTCCGTTATTCCTTTCCCCGTTCCATGCTTCTCTCTCCCATGTGCGTTCTTCCTTTCCCCGTTCCATGCTTCTCTCTCCCATGTGCGTTCTTCCTTTCCCCATTCCATGCTTCTCTCTCCCATGTGCGTTCTTCCTTTCCCCGTTCCATGCTTCTCTCTCCCATGTGCGTTCTTCCTTTCCCCGTTCCATTCTTCTCTCTCCCATGTGCGTTCTTCCTTTCCCCGTTCCATGCTTCTCTCTCCCATGTGCGTTCTTCCTTTCCCCGTTCCATGCTTCTCTCTCCCATGTGCGTTCTTCCTTTCCCCGTTCCATGCTTCTCTCTCCCATGTCCGTTCTTCCTTTCCCCGTTCCATGTTTCTCTCTCCCATGTGCGTTCTTCCTTTCCCCGTTCCATGCTTCTCTCTCCCATGTGCGTTCTTCCTTTCCCCGTTCCATGCTTCTCTCTCCCATGTGCGTTCTTCCTTTCCCCGTTCCCTGTTTCTCTCTCCCATGTCCGTTCTTCCTTTCCCCGTTCCGTGCTTCTCTCTCCCATGTGCGTTCTTCCTTTCCCCGTTCCGTGCTTCTCTCTCCCATGTGCGTTCTTCCTTTCCCCGTTCTATGCTTCTCTCTCCCATGTCCGTTCTTCCTTTCCCCGTTCCGTGCTTCTCTCTCCCATGTCCGTTCTTCCTTTCCCCGTTCCGTGCTTCTCTCTCCCATGTCCGTTCTTCCTTTCCCCGTTCCATGCTTCTCTCTCCCATGTCCGTTCTTCCTTTCCCCGTTCCATGCTTCTCTCTCCCATGTGCGTTCTTCCTTTCCCCGTTCCATGCTTCTCTCTCCCATGTGCGTTCTTCCTTTCCCCGTTCCATGCTTCTCTCTCCCATGTGCGTTCTTCCTTTCCCCGTTCCATGCTTCTCTCTCCCATGTGCGTTCTTCCTTTCCCCGTTCCATGCTTCTCTCTCCCATGTGCGTTCTTCCTTTCCCCGTTCCATGCTTCTCTCTCCCATGTGCGTTCTTCCTTTCCCCGTTCCATGCTTCTCTCTCCCATGTGCGTTCTTCCTTTCCCCGTTCCATGCTTCTCTCTCCCATGTCCTTTCCCCGTTCCATGCTTCTCTCTCCCATGTGCGTTCTTCCTTTCCCCGTTCCATGCTTCTCTCTCCCATGTCCGTTCCATGCTTCTCTCTCCCATGTGCGTTCTTCCTTTCCCGTTCCATGCTTCTCTCTCCCATGTCCGTTCCATGCTTCTCTCTCCCATGTGCGTTCTTCCTTTCCCCGTTCCATGCTTCTCTCTCCCATGTGCGTTCTTCCTTTCCCCGTTCCATGCTTCTCTCTCCCATGTCCGTTCTTCCTCTCCCCGTTCCATGCTTCTCTCTCCCATGTGCGTTCTTCCTTTCCCCGTTCCATGCTTCTCTCTCCCATGTGCGTTCTTCCTTTCCCCGTTCCATGCTTCTCTCTCCCATGTGCGTTCTTCCTTTCCCCGTTCCATGCTTCTCTCTCCCATGTGCGTTCTTCCTTTCCCCGTTCCATGCTTCTCTCTCCCATGTGCGTTCTTCCTTTCCCCGTTCCATGCTTCTCTCTCCCATGTGCGTTCTTCCTTTCCCCGTTCCATGCTTCTCTCTCCCATGTGCGTTCTTCCTTTCCCCGTTCCATGCTTCTCTCTCCCATGTGCGTTCTTCCTTTCCCCGTTCCATGTTTCTCTCTCCCATGTGCGTTCTTCCTTTCCCCGTTCCATGCTTCTCTCTCCCATGTGCGTTCTTCCTTTCCCCGTTCCATGCTTCTCTCTCCCATGTGCGTTCTTCCTTTCCCCGTTCCATGTTTCTCTCTCCCATGTCCGTTCTTTCTTTCCCCGTTCCATGCTTCTCTCTCCCATGTGCGTTCTTCCTTTCCCCGTTCCATGCTTCTCTCTCCCATGTGCGTTCTTCCTTTCCCCGTTCTCTGCTTCTCTCTCCCATGTCCGTTCTTCCTTTCCCCGTTCCGTGCTTCTCTCTCCCATGTCCGTTCTTCCTTTCCCCGTTCCATGCTTCTCTCTCCCATGTCCGTTCTTCCTTTCCCCGTTCCATGCTTCTCTCTCCCATGTCCGTTCTTCCTTTCCCCGTTCCATGCTTCTCTCTCCCATGTGCGTTCTTCCTTTCCCCGTTCCATGCTTCTCTCTCCCATGTGCGTTCTTCCTTTCCCCGTTCCATGCTTCTCTCTCCCATGTGCGTTCTTCCTTTCCCCGTTCCGTGCTTCTCTCTCCCATGTGCGTTCTTCCTTTCCCCGTTCCGTGCTTCTCTCTCCCATGTCCGTTCTTCCTTTCCCCGTTCCGTGCTTCTCTCTCCCATGTCCGTTCTTCCTTTCCCCGTTCCATGCTTCTCTCTCCCATGTCCGTTCTTCCTTTCCCCGTTCCATGCTTCTCTCTCCCATGTGCGTTCTTCCTTTCCCCGTTCCATGCTTCTCTCTCCCATGTGCGTTCTTCCTTTCCCCGTTCCATGCTTCTCTCTCCCATGTGCGTTCTTCCTTTCCCCGTTCCATGCTTCTCTCTCCCATGTGCGTTCTTCCTTTCCCCGTTCCATGCTTCTCTCTCCCATGTGCGTTCTTCCTTTCCCCGTTCCATGCTTCTCTCTCCCATGTGCGTTCTTCCTTTCCCCGTTCCATGCTTCTCTCTCCCATGTGCGTTCTTCCTTTCCCCGTTCCATGCTTCTCTCTCCCATGTCCTTTCCCCGTTCCATGCTTCTCTCTCCCATGTGCGTTCTTCCTTTCCCCGTTCCATGCTTCTCTCTCCCATGTCCGTTCCATGCTTCTCTCTCCCATGTGCGTTCTTCCTTTCCCCGTTCCATGCTTCTCTCTCCCATGTCCGTTCCATGCTTCTCTCTCCCATGTGCGTTCTTCCTTTCCCCGTTCCATGCTTCTCTCTCCCATGTGCGTTCTTCCTTTCCCCGTTCCATGCTTCTCTCTCCCATGTCCGTTCTTCCTCTCCCCGTTCCATGCTTCTCTCTCCCATGTGCGTTCTTCCTTTCCCCGTTCCATGCTTCTCTCTCCCATGTGCGTTCTTCCTTTCCCCGTTCCATGCTTCTCTCTCCCATGTGCGTTCTTCCTTTCCCCGTTCCATGCTTCTCTCTCCCATGTGCGTTCTTCCTTTCCCCGTTCCATGCTTCTCTCTCCCATGTGCGTTCTTCCTTTCCCCGTTCCATGCTTCTCTCTCCCATGTGCGTTCTTCCTTTCCCCGTTCCATGCTTCTCTCTCCCATGTGCGTTCTTCCTTTCCCCGTTCCATGCTTCTCGAGAGCTGCCTCGTTCTCCTCCAGTGCTGTACGTAGACAACAAGGCCATGCTGGCCTTGTGTCGGAAGCAGCGACTGGAGCACAGAACGAAGCACATTGCTCTCCGCTACTTTCTTGCTCATGAGCTGCAGCAGCGTGGTCAGCTGCGTCTTGCGTACGTGGCCTCTGAGGCCAACACTGCTGATATCTTCACCAAGGCGCTTGCGCCTTGTGACCATTAGCGCTTCTGTACTCAGCTGGGCCTTGTGCCTACCTTGCCTCACTTGCTCACCTCTTGACCTTGCTTGTGCTGTTACATATATATATACCTGCTCTTGCTTGTCTAGCCTTTATATATATATGTACTCCTGCATGTGAACTGGCCTTGTGGCCTTGAACTTGTGCTCGGAATGTGTGGTGACTTTGTGATCCACCCTGAGCTTGCTTTGCTTTACTTTGCTTGACTGGTCTTGTGACCCCTTGTTCTCCCCCACTTTGCCTATGGGGGTGTGTCAGAATATTATAGCTCATGCATATTGTGTAGGCTATAGTGGGGTAGCCCATAAGGGGTACAACCCAATTAGGGTTAGTACTTGTACCCAATTCATTCATAGTTCATTCATTCCTTGTTTCTTATCACAAGGGTTCCAAGTGCGAGTTTTTTCAGGACAGGTTAGAGTTTCTGGGGCACGTTATTTCGGAGGCTGGGGTTGAGATCGACCCAAAGAAGCTGGACACGGTAAAAGCATGGCACCCCCCGACAAATATCACGGAGCTGCAGAGTTTTTTAGGGTTCGTTAATTACGGGCGTCGGTTCGTCCCCGACATGGCGAAGTTAACAGCCCCACTGACGGATCTGCTGCGGAAGGGGGTCACTTTTACGTGGGGGGAGAAAGAGCATGCTGCCTTCTCTTCCCTGAAAAATGTTCTCTGTTCACCGCCCGTCCTGCGCATCGCCGACCCACACCGCCCATTCGAAGTAGTTACAGACGCAAGCGACATCGCCATTGGAGCCGTACTGCTACAGGACTTCGGCAACGGTTTACAACCCATCGCATACGAGTCACGAAAACTGCATCCGCCCGAGAAGAATTACCCGATACACGACCGCGAAATGCTCGCGATCGTGCATGCGTTCAAAGTGTGGCGCTGTTACTTGACCAGCGCAGATGTGACAGTACGGACAGACCACAAATCACTACAGTACCTACGCGCACAGCCCCACCTCAACCCACGACAAATCCGTTGGCTCGATTTTCTCGAGTCAAATTTCCACTACACGGTCACTTACAAAAAAGGGGCATCGAACATCGCCGACGCACTGACCCACCCCACTGCCCAAATCCACGCCATACTACTCGCCCATACCAGCCCACTACTAACAGGACTATTCACCCACGGCTATCAAACCGACCCGTTCTTCACAGGTGGAAATTCGCAGCAGTTCGCAGCAGCAAAGGGGGTTTATTACGTAAAAGCCGGCACCGACCGCATCTGGGTACCGGGCTACACTTTACTAAGGGAGTTGTTACTACAGGAGGCACACGACGGGGTTACCTCAGGACATTTCGGAGTAGAGAAAACACGGAAGCAGCTGCAGCGGTATTACTACTGGCCCGAAATGCTGACTGACGTACAACGACACGTGGCATCGTGTCCCACCTGCCAAATAATGAAGTCATCACGGAAACGGCCGGCAGGGCAGTTGCGACCGATACCACCCCCAGAGCGTGCTTAGCAGCAGGTGACGATGGACTTTGTCACGGGGTTACCGGCTGGAGCAAGTGGGAACGACGCGATCCTGGTCGTCGTCGATCGGCTGACGAAAATGGCACACTTCGCAGCCTGCAAGAAATCAATCACAGCCGAAGAAATAGCCCGCCTCTTCATCTCCACCGTCGTTCGACTGCACGGGATACCAGCATCAATTATCAGCGACCGCGACACGAAATTCACCGGCAAATTCTGGCGGAACCTGTGGCAGCAGTTCGGCACGCGACTACAGTTCAGTTCTTCGTACCACCCCGAGACCGACGGACAGACAGAACGGACAAACCAGACCATGGAGCAACTCATCCGAGCCACGTGCGACGACCCGACCACCTGGGAACAGCAACTGCCACTCATCGAATTCGCGTACAACAACTCGCCATCCGCCACAACCCAACAGTCACTGTTTTACGTGAACTACGGACAAGACCCCACAGTACCCATGACTCCGAATCCCGACAACCCGGTGCCACGCGCGCAACAGTTTGCAGAAATCTTACAAGCAGCACGGACCCGAGCAGCAGAAACAATAAAAAAATCAAACGCCATCGCTAAGCGCAACGCCGACCGCCACCGCCGCCCCGCCACTTACCAACCAGACGACCTGGTATTACTCGACGCTCAAAACCTCCGCCTACCCATCACTCCAAAACTCCGCCCCCGATATTGCGGGCCATTTCGCATCAGCCACATGATCACACCCGTCACCGCCCACCTCCTCCCTGCTGACTGGTACGTCAGCCCATCATTCCACGTCAGCCTGCTTCGCCCATATATCCCATCCACCAGCCAACTGCCTCGCAACCGCCCCGCCAGCATGACACGACCGCCAACAGAACCAATCATCACGCCCGAAAAAATACTGAGCCACCGAGTTCGTGACCCACGGGGAGCCCGCAGAATCGAATTCCTGATCCGCTGGAAAGACCGCACGCCCACCGAAGACAACTGGGTCCCCCTGGATAGAATTGAGAATCACCCTGTCCTCACTGAGTATCTGCGCAGCCGAAACTTTCGAGATGTACACGCACTCTCGTAAGGAGGGCCTCCTTGGGGAGGGGGGTAGTGTAAGGAAAATTCCTTTTCCTTACTTCACGCCCCTGCTTACCGCGTACATGACCACTCCCGCCATCGGCACCCACAGTGAAACGTTACCCGCTCACAGCACTCGCCTCGGCCACGACCCCCGCCACTGTTCGCGATGCGACCCAACCTAACGGTTCGGTTGGTAATCCGCGCTCCGGACCTCCGCCTCGACAATTCCCAAACCTCGGCGCTAGGCTCGTAGCGCACCCCAATTTCCCGCATTACCGTTACCACACTAGCTTCGCTATATAACTTCGCTCATGCTTTTCGCTCAACTGGATTGTTTTGCTTCGATAGTGCAATTCTCGCTCGCTCACTCAATTGCACTCGTAACATCGGTCGATCAAACTATCATCAGCCTACGTTAGAAGCCTAGTGCAACTCTGTTTTACAACTCATAACAGTTCAACTAATAACATGTACAGTCTCGTCATTTGTTATTACGACACTCCGTTACAGCTCGCCGTAACACTCAGCTTCGTCTCTGACTTCCTGTCATTCCCGACACGTCGTCGCGGTTTTCCTACGTCTTTGGATTCATCCTCGCCAACGGTCACGATTTGCCATCGTTGCATCCAACTTCGATGGTTGGTTGCGATTTTGTCAGCAGCACACCACCAAGGGCGGCACCTCCACCACATGCTAGTGTCAATCTCAGTCATGACGAATGTAGTAGTCTCAACCTGTGTCAATCTCAGTCTTGCCGAGTTAGTCTTAGGCTGTTGTAATTCCTTGCATAGGTAATAGCGGTGCTGCTGGTCGGAGCCTGACAAAGTTCGTGTTTCTCTCGCCACCTGTATATCTTCCTGCTTGCTTAAAGACCTGATTTAAAAAAATTGACAAAAGAGGGAGTATGTTGACTAAAACACCGCCGGCGGCATTAAGCGGTTTTCGAAGAGCGAGAACAGCCTCACCCCGCCTTTCGCCTCCGCATCGGCACATTATTTTCCCTTGTGTTGGGGTCCGCCATGGATCCCGTACAGGCTTTCGCCGACCTTATCGGCACTCCCCGTCCAGCGGCGACTTTCCTGCTAGCTAGCTTCGCGTTTGTCCCAATCGCGTGGCTTCACAGATTCATATCATCGCCTACACTCCGCCACCTGTACTGCACAGTAACGGGACTGCTTCTATCGGCGTTCGTGTTCGGATGGACGGCGGACGCGCACTTCTTCGTGTGCATGCTCTACTCTATGGCCGTAATGCGACTGTTTCGTAGACACTGCGGCGTCCTAACGTTCTTCGGAACGTTCGCGTACTTTATTGGTTTGTAAGTTTCCCTTCCTTGTCTTTCTCTGCTTCTTGGTGTTTCTTTGGTTTTGGAATCGCGAGTCAAAGCCAAAAGTTCAGGACGGTAGCAGCCTTTGGTGCAAACGCAAAGCGCCTTTATTTTCTTTGCATCCTCTCCCTTCTAACCGTACTTTCATGCAAACATCCCTCCGTCTCCGCATTCCCCGTTCACATTTTCCATTTCTTACGTGCATTTCCCTCGTTCGATGATGATTGAATCAATGATGCGATCCGACCGACCTCCTGCAGCCACATCATCATGCGCACCCACGAGACCCGCACGGAAGGCGTGCTTGACTGTACAGGCGCGCTCACCGTCCTCGCTACAAAGCTCACCGCTGTGGCGTATAACTACCAGGACGGGCTCACGCTGCTCGAGGAGAAGGACGAAGGCGCGCAAGCCAAGGACGAGAAGGAGAGGAAGGGATTGACCGAGGAGCAGAGGCGGCGGGAGGAGCGGATGGAGCGCTCACGATTGGAGCGGCGAAAGGCGGCGCTGGTTACCATGCCGTCGGTGGTGCAGGTGATGGGGTACCTGTTCTGCCTCGGGCTGCACATGACGGGCCCCTTCTTCGAGTTCACGACATACGACCACTGGACCCAAAGACAAGGGGTGCGTTCCTTCAGGGTTGCCACATTTCCCGTCTACCCCCCTCTCCACTGGTCGCCTTTCCTCACCTTCACGCTCAAGCAGCCGTCCGTCCTTCAGCCATCCTTCCCGTCATCTCCCCGCGCCTCACCACTCTGCACGTTCCCGCCCATCCCCGTCCTTCCTCACCACCTGCAGATCTGGTCCGCGGGTGTCAAGCAGCCGCCCATCTTGCCGCCATTCTGCCGCGCGTTCATCCAGGGCGTGCTCTCAGCGCTCGTCTTCCTGCTCGTGTCCCCCTCGCTGGACCTCACGCGCATCAGCGACCGCCACAAGAACCGCGCCTACCCCTTCCACCGCCGCTGGCTCTTGGCGTACCACGCGTGCATCGTGTGGCGCTTCCGCGCCTACATCCTCTGGAGCATCACCGAGGCTGCCATGATCACCGCCGGGCTCGGCTTCAGCGGCTGGGAGACCCCCACGGGGGACCCTGGGAAGGCCGGGGACGTGAAGTTGAATGGGGGGGAATTGGAGGGGGCGAGGGGGAATGGGAAGGGCGGTGAGGATGGGGATGTGGGAAAGCAGGAGGGTGATAGGACGTGTGCGGCGCCTGCAGGGGAGGGGAAGGCGCTGTGGAGTCGGGCTCGCAACGTGGACATACTGGGGGTTGAGTTCCCCAAGAGCTGCCTCGACTTTGCCACCAAGTGGAACATCTCCTACGGTCTCTGGCTCAGGCTCTGTGAGTCTTGGTTCGACTCAACAGTCACCTGGCTCTGGCTCTGTAAGTCTTGATATGGATTTTAAGTCGACTCAAGAGTCGAATTCGCCACCACGTGAAAGATCTCCTACGGCCTTTGGCTTATGCTCTGTGAGTCCACGCCACACTGCACCTCCACCTCTCGACCTCCCTGAGTCTCTTTGAACCGTTCCAGGACCTCTGCGCATTCGAAGCTCGCGCTTCTCTCGTTCGTGTGCATGTGCTCCCAGCATTCTAGTCGTTTCCTCATTGGCTGGCTTCACATGCTCCATGCTTCAGCTTCATGCTTCATGTATCATGCTTGCCTCATGCTTTACCATGCGTCATTGCTTCGTTCTTCATGTGTCATGCGGCGTGCTTGGCGTGCTTGGCGTGCTTAACGTGCTTGTCCGCTGCTCTCTCGTGACTCCCCCATCCACCCACCCCTGGTCACCTGCGCCCCGCACAGACGTGTACGAGCGCATGGTGCCGCCCGGCAGGAAGCCCACCTTCTTCCACATGCTCGCCACCATGTTCGTCAGCGCCGTCTCCCATGTGAGTTCCTTTCCCCGTTCCATGCTTCTCTCTCCCATATACATTCTCTCTTAACCCCTCCCGTGTGCATTCTTCCTTACCCCGTTCCATGTGCTTACTGCCTCCCATGTGCGTTCTTCCTTACCCTGTTCCATGCTTTTCCTGCGTCACCCCTACCACCCATGTTTCTGTCTCTTTTTCTGCTTTTTGTTGATTTCAAAGACTGTGTCCCACTCCATAGTCTCTCGACCGTGTGCATTTTTCCCAACCCCGCACTCTGTGTTACGCGCAGGGCTTGAATTGGGGTGACTTCATATTCTTTGCCAATTGGCGCTTGTTGTTGCCAGCTCTAAAGGTGTGTTGCCAGCTCTAAAGGCGTGTTGCCAGCTCTAAAGGTGTGTTGCCAGCTCTAAAGGTGTGTTGCCAGCTTTAAAGGTGTGTTGCCAGCTCTAAAGGTGTGTTGGCCAGCTCTAAAGGTGTGTTGCCAGCTCTAAAGGTGTGTTGCCAGCTCTAAAGGTGTGTTGCCAGCTCTAAAGGTGTGTTGCCAGCTCTAAAGGTGTGTTGGCCAGCTCTAAAGTTGTGTTGCCAGCTCTAAAGGTGTGTTGCCAGCTTTAAAGGTGTGTTGCCAGCTCTAAAGGTGTGTTGCCAGCTCTAAAGGTGTGTTGCCAGCTGTAAAGGTGTGTTGCCAGCTCTAAAGGTGTGTACCCACACATCCCAAAACAGCCAGTTTTTTCTTCGATGGAGCCTGATTGTTGCATGCATAGAATTTAAAGACCACTACAATCCCGCAATCTGCTGCACTTCTGACGAGTTTTTTTATTTCCCCTTACATCAGTTTCCATTTTCGTTCGTGCACTTCCATCCCATTTCTATTCCTTCTTCCGAGCCTGTTTTCTTTTCCATACCCATCCGATTCTACTGTGCATTCCCATTCCTCTCGCCATATCCATTTTCCATTCCCATTCCCACTACCACTCCCATCACCATTCCATACCCAAATCCCATACCCATTTCCCATTCCCCTTTCTCCACCATGGGATCAAAACCCGTTATTCGGGCTCACCAGTTTCTGTGAACTTGCGCTCTAATCCATCCTTCTCAAATCTATCCCTGCTCCCCTTCCCTTCATGTCTCTTCCCCTCCATGCAGCCATCTACCAGCTAACAGTTGGAATCCCCAAGGGCACCAGTACCCACCGCATTGTGGCACTTCTTCATACCCTCTATAGCATCTTCGTCTGCACCTACATGGCCAGCGCCTTCTGCGTGAGTGTGCATGTTATACTAAAATTTTATGGACTCTCCAGTATGTATTGCTGCTGGGGCCGTAAAGCTCGCTCTGGGCCGCCACGCATCTCCGCTGCCCACTCCTTTATGTGCATTGCCTCTCGTTTGACTGTGTTTGCTATGGCTGTTCTTGCTGCAGGTGATGACACTATCGGGTGCATTCTCAGCCTATAGTGGCATGTACTATAGTGGTACTGTCATCCCAATTCTCCTAATTATTTTGTCAATGATGTACAAGCCTCGCCGCCCAAAGACTGTCAAGACAGAGTAGCACATGACTGTTTAATGGGCATGAGATAGGGACTATCTATGAGCTTTGATACTATTGAGAAGCACCGCATGCTTCTGCACAGATTTGCTCCAGTCATATGCCACATGCCTCCATGGCAGTGAGACGTGTTTGTAAGCAGTCCCTGGAAATCAGCAGAACGCATGACGTGGTGGCAAAAAATGAGAGGAAAGAGGAGAGGAGCCACAAGTACGGTAGTGTTTTGCCTGTTTGAAATGTTCTGTTTTCGCGGTTTCTTTTTGCAGCTGGTAACTAGGATTGTGAGTCGTCGTCAATGTTGTCGTCAATGTTGTCGTCAATGTTGTCGTCAATGTTGTTGTCGTCAATGCTGTCGTCAATGCTGGAACAATGAGAGAAGGGTACGGAACGGACACATCGAGAAATACTTGCTGTGCAAACTGTTCGAGAAGACCGAGAATTTAAAGCTTTCGTATACATTTGCAAGTACTGTTTGGACTTGCACTGTAGCCAGGGAAAAATTCGCCAGAACGAAACAACTGAGCGTGGCGAGAGGTTTGGCGAAAAATTGCAGCTTTGAGGAGTTCCAAACACAGGAAACTCCCCCGTCACCCAACCTTGGAGTCAGATTTCACTAGGAACCATGATATGTGACTAACATACGCTAAGCATAGATAGAGGAACCGGGGCGCGACAAAGAACATGCGGAGCATCGACACCGCTCAGATATTCTCATGTGAGATGAGTTTAGGTAACATTATAGGCTTGTGCGAGTGGGAAAATACATCTAGCTTGCACGCCAGCTCCTTTCCACTGCTGCGCCGTTCAGCGGCAATCGGAGAGGGAAAGGCTCTGCATTCGTCGAGCGCGTCGTGCTGCATTGATGGGCCCCGTCGAAGCCCTGTCAAGGGCGCCTCGACGGGTTGCATCACCACGCTGGGTAGGTGCGATCGAGTAAGCCGATTGAAAATTACGGAGCCGACGGCGGGATCGCATCGTTCCATGCGTTGGCCACGCCGCCACTCTCAACACCCGCTCGGTAGGCATTTCCCGCTTAGCGCCTCACCCACTGCGCGGGTCTCCCGCTTACCGCCTCCAATGCTGGGAGCTCTCCCGCTTAGCGCCTCACCCTCTGCGCGCCATGCCGCTTAGCGTATCACTCGCCGCGCGCCTTTCCCGCTTAGCGCCTGACCCGCTGCGCGCCTCTCCCGCTTAGCTCCGCAACCGCTGCGCGCCTCTCCCGCGCAACGAATCACTCGCTGCGCGCCTCTCTCATTTCGCGCCTCACCCCCTGTGCGCCTTTCCCGCGTGTCGCTCACCCTCTCCCGCTTAGCGCCGCACCCGCTGCGCGCCTTTCCCGCTTAGCGCCCGCATAGCGCCTCTCCCGCTAAGCACATCCTCTTCTAATTACCCCCCCTCCCCCCTTCTCCCCCTCACAACCCCCCCTACTCCCTCTCCACTTGCCTCCCTGCTCCCCTTCATTTCCCCTCCTGCTCCTTCTCACTTCCCCCACTGCTCCCCTTCATTTCCCCTCCTGCTCCTTCTCACTTCCCCCACTGCTCCCCTTCATTTCCCCTCCTGCTCCTTCTCACTTCCCCCACTGCTCCCCCTCATTTCCCCTCCTGCTCCTTCTCATTTCCCCCCTTGCTCCTCTCATCTCTCCCCCTCCTCCCTCTCATTTCCCCCCTTGCTCCTCTCATCTCTCCCCCTCCTCCCTCTCATTTCCCCCCTTGCTCCTCTCATCTCTCCCCCTCTCCCTCTCATTTCCCCCCTTGCTCCTCTCATCTCTCCCCCTCCTCCCTCTCATTTCCCCCCTTGCTCCTCTCATCTCTCCCCCTCCTCCCTCTCATTTCCCCCCTTGCTCCTCTCATCTCTCCCCCTCCTCCCTCTCATTTCCCCCCTTGCTCCTCTCATCTCTCCCCCTCCTCCCTCTCATTTCCCCCCTTGCTCCTCTCATCTCTCCCCCTCCTCCCTCTCATTTCCCCCCTTTGCCGCCTCTCATCTCTCCCCCTCCTCCCTCTCATTTCCCTTCCATTCTCCCTTCCACGCTCTCCCATCGCCATGCCTTAATTTCTCATCCCCCCTCCTTCCAGGGTCATCTCACCTCCCATGAGATCCCACTCGCTCCTTCAGTCCCTGCCCATACTGCCGCCGCTGCTGCCTTTGCCGGAGCTGCCTCTGCTGCCACACCCAGTGTTCCTTCCTTTGGTGTTCCCCCCGGAGCAGGAGGTAGCTCAGGAAAGGAGGGGAAGGCATGGTGGAGGAGGAGGAGACATGAGGCGAGGAGCAGCCAGTGGGGAGGATTGTTCGCCCCACTCCTTTGACTATGGACTGCCGACGCCGGCTGTTGGCCCCAACCCGTGTGACTCTGCAACTGCCCCGGTTCTGACCATACTTCTGCTCCTGCGGATTGAGCTCCTACTGGACCTAGCATTTGTGGAGCAAATGTAGCAGCAGCTCCCACGAGGAGTTGGAGCTGGGATGATCTTGCAAGAACAGCGGCAGGTGCATGGGCAGCAACAGCTGAACCAAGAGCGAGTGGACCCTGCTGCGGTCTCACAGCCGAGCGCGCTCATGAGTGCGCAAGCCGCAGGAGATGCAGCATGCCGGGTCTCTCACGCTGGGTGCACACTATCGAAGCAGCCATGTCAGCAGTGGACTGGGGAGCGAGCAGGGTGTGAGGCTCGATGAGGAAGCGAGGCGGAGGGAGAGGGAGAAGGAGGAGGTAGTGAGGCTGTTGCGGCAGATGGTGCGTGCAAGCGAGCTCGACTCATCTCAAGTTTTGTCCCATCGTTCACGCCTCTCAGGTACTGTGCGCGTCCCATCGCATGCCTTGGGACTTGCCTAGACAACCGTTTTCACGCCACTTGGATGACTAAGGGCACTCTCTCCAGGCTTTGGTTGAGCTCACCCTGATATGTGCCTTCTTTTTCCCCTTCCTCGTCCCTTTCTCAGCCCTGACCCCCCCCACTCCTCTCACCGGCAGGTCCACCAAGCAGCACACAATGCATCGCTCCCCTCTGCTGCACACCAACGCCAGGCATACAACAGCAGCCGCCAACTTGTGCGGCAGCTCCCTGCGTATTTATTACTATGCACTTGTGATTCAAGAAGCATGCATACACTCCCAACTCTAGTACATTTTTGGCACTTCAGGACCAAAATCAAGCTCGTAGCCTCACAACATGTTTTATAAAAAAAGTCCTTACAATTGTATCACTATATACATAACCTTTATCACCCAACCCTGGATTCTTCGATACCAATCACGTGACTAGTCATATGCCTGTGCACGAATGCAGGGAATGGAAGGGAATGGCAGGGAATGGAAGTGTATGGAAGGGAATGGAAGTGTATGGAAGGGAATGGAAGGGTATGGAAGGGTATGGCTGGGGTATGGAAGGGAATGGTAGGTATGGAAGGGTATGGAAGGGAATGGAAGGGTATGGAAGGGAATGGAAGGGTATGGAAGGGAATGGAAGGGTATGGAAGGGAATGGAAGGTATGGAAGGGTATGGAAGGGAATGGAAGGGTATGACAGGGGATGGATGGGTATGGCTGGGGTATGGAAGGGAATGGTACACTTACGCTAGGGAAGGAAAGGTATGGCAGAGTATGGCAAGGTATGGCAGAATGAGGGACGGGCTTGGCTGGCGTATGGAAGGGTATGGGAGGAGATGGAAGGGTGTGGCGGTGTATGGCAGCGGATGGATGAGTATGGCATGCGATCATCCAAGGGTACGGTAGGGGTTAGAAGCATATGAGAGGGAGAAGGGGGGAAAATGAAAGGAGATGGGGGGAAATGAGCGGGGGGGAAACGAGATGGAGAAGGGGGGGGGAATGAGAAGGAGCACGTGGGGAAAGGAGAGGGAGATGGGGGGAAACGAGAGGGGGAAGGGGGGGGGAATGCGGGGAAATGAGAGGGAGGTTATGTGGCATTTAACTGAGTGGTTAAGGGGGGAATGAGAAGGAGCAGGGGGGAGAATGAGAGGGATAAGGGGGGGAAATGAGAGGAAGAAGGGGGGTACATGAGCGAGAGAAGGGGGGACATAACAGTGAGCAGGGGGGAGGATGAGAGGGAGAAAGGGGGGGAATGAGGGGCTTCATGGGGGGAATGAGAGGGAGTAGGGGGAGATATAAGAGGGGGAAGGGGAAGAAATGAGAGGGAGAATGGGGGGGAATGAGCGGGAGAAGGGGGTGACATGAGAGAGAGAAGGTGGGGACATGACAGGGAGCAGGGGGGGAGATGAGAGGGAGAAAGGGGGGGATGAGGGGCTTCATGGGGGGAATGAGAGGGAGAAGGGGGGAGGAATGAGGGAGAGCATGGGGGGGAAATGAGAGTGAGCAAGGGGGAAAATGAGAGTCTGCAAGGGGGGAAATGAGAGTGCGGCTGCCGCGGCTAGTGCGGAAACGTGGTAGCGAGGCTGTGCGATCGGGCGGCGACTGTGATGTGTGTTCGGCAGTTTGAGAAGGGAGGCGAGAAGGGATAATCGGGAGTGGGAAGGGGAAGCGGGGAGGCGGGAAGGGGAATTGGGGAGGCGGGAAGGGGAAATGGGGAGTGGGAAGGGGTAATGGGGAAGCGGGAAGGGGTCACGGGGAGGAGGGAAGGGGTAATGGGGAGCGGGAAGGGGAATTGGGGAGGCGAGAAGGGGTAATGGGGAGCGGGAAGGGGAATTGGGGAGGCGGGAAGGGGTAATGGGGAGCGGGAAGGGGAATTGGGGAGGCGGGAAAGGGTAATGGGGAGCGGGAAGGGGAAACGAGGAGGCGGGAAGGGATAATGGGGAGCGAGAAGAGGAAATGGGGTGGCGGGAAGGGGAATTGCAGAGGCAGGAAGGGGTAATGGGGAGCGGGAAGGGGAAACGAGGAGGCGCGAAGGGGTAATGGGGAGCGGGAAGAGGAAATGGGGTGTCGGGAAGGGGAATTGGGGAGGCGGGAAGGGGAAACGGGGAGGCGGGAAGAGGTAATGGGGAGCAATCGTTTCTGATTACCCTCGCGACACCTCAATTGCGGCTGCCGCCGCTACTGCGGAAACGTGGTAGCGAGGTCGCGCGATCGGGAAGCGACTGTGATCGTGCGTGTTCGGCAGTTTGAGACGCAGCGTGCGCGTTCATGGTGGCGTGAGGAGGCCGCGTGGTGAGGCAACGCGACGGACGACGAGGCGAGGCTGTGAGAAGGGGTCCGGCGGGCTCGCCGTGTTAGAGGGCGGAACTGACGTTGGCTCGGACGTGTAATTACACTAAACTGCCCCACGCGTCTAAGTTTGTGTCGGAAACGGGAGTGATTTGCGCTGGCTGTTGTCGCGATGTGCTTTGCTACGATTTATGCTGCCTGTTGAGCGTAGTGGCGTAGATCTCACATGGACTGGATTTCGTATACTTTTGTTATTCCAAAAGTTTTGAATCACCAGTGAGCCCTGGGTGACGGGGAGATCACCTCCCTTGTGAAGCGAGTGAAACTAGCTGTTTCTGGGTTACCAATATTTCAAATTTCAAAACTTTTGAACCTCCCTTTTTCAAATGTATACGAAAGCTTTAAAACCCGAAGCCTGAATTACAAAAAGTGAACAGAGGTGTTAACACTTTCCCTCCCGAACCAGGGTGGTAACTAGGTGTCCAACTGGAAAACGTTGTGAAGTCGCAGCCAGCACAGGGAAGAATCGCTCGGGTCTCTGGCAAAGAGTGCACACCTAGCTGAAAAACGGTAATTCAGGTCGACTCAAAACGGATAGTTCTCAAGCCAACTATTACCTACCTCCTTAGCTTAGAACAGCAACTTTGTGTTGTCCGTCATTTCTCCGCCTTGGTGTCAGCCATACGCTTGGGACCATTCCGTCAGATCCGCCGCCAAGACTTCCGCTTGCCTTATATCAACAATTAGGTTTCCATGCCTCGTAGCTAGCCATGCGAATTCTTACGCATATGCCCATCGTCTAGCAGATTCACTTCCCCATAGCCGTCCGCATCGTTGTCGCCACTGTTCCTAGCCGCATCTCAGTCCATCCTTCCGCATTTCGCGTTTCAAGTTTGGTTTTCCCATATTCTTCTTCGCCATCGCGTTCTACACAATCTGAAGCCTTCGAGCTCTCAAGCGAGTGCCGCTCCGTGGTCCATGCTCACTTTCTCCCGTCGCCTTCTCCCACTCCTCTCCGCCGCCATAGCTCACTCCCTCCCGTCGCCCACGCTCCCCGCCACCGAACGATCACGCTCACTCCCCTCCCGTCGCCTTCACTCCCCTCCATCGCCAACGCGCACTCCCCTCCGTCGCCAACGCGCACTCCCCTCCGTCTCCCACGCGCACTCCCCTCCGTCTCCCACGCGCACTCCCCTCCGTCTCCCACGCGCACTCCCCTCCGTCTCCCTCGCGCACTCCCCTCCGTCTCCCACGCGCACTGCCCCCCGACTCCCACGCGCACTCCCCTCCGTCTCCCACGCGCACTACCCTCCGTCTCCCACGCGCACTCCCCTCCGTCTCCCACGCGCACTCCCCTCCGTCTCCCACGCGCACTCCCCTCCGTCTCCCACGCGCACTCCCTCCGTCTCCCACGCGCACTCCCCTCCGTCTCCCACGCGCACTCCCCTCCGTCTCCCACGCGCACTCCCCTCCGTCTCCCACGCGCACTCCCTCCGTCTCCCACGCGCACTCCCCTCCGTCTCCCACGCGCACTCCCTCCGTCTCCCACGCGCACTCCCTCGCGAGATGCTTCGCTCACTTCGCTCCGTCACCCACAATCTCTCCCCTCCCGTCGAACGATGTCACTCCCGCCCGTCGCACAGGCTCACTACCCCCCTTCACACACTCACTCCCCTCCGTCGCACACGCTCACTCCCCTCCAGTCGCCCACGCTCGCCCACGCATCCCCATCCCGTCGCCCAAGCATCCCCATCCCGTCGCCCACACTACACCCATCCCGTCGCCCACGCATCCCCAACCCGTCGCCCACGCATCCTCATCCCGTCGCCCACGCATCCCCATCCCGTCACCCTCTTATGCCGTCCCTCCCCCCCCTCTCTTACCTACCCCTCAGCTCCTCACCCGCGCCTTGCACCTCCCCCTCCTCCTGCTGCCCCACACCCCACACTCCCGTCCGCCTGACGCGGACCAGTTCTTGTGCTCAGGGGTGGGGCCGGCGGATCCATCCCCTCCCCATCCTTCACCTCCCCATCCTCCACCTTCCCATACCTCACCTCCCCATCCTTCACCTTCCCATCCCTCACCTCCCCATCCCTCACCACTCCATCCCTCACCTCCCCATCCCTCACCCCTCCATCCCTCACCTCCCCATCCCTCACCACTCCATCCCTCACCACTCCATCCCTCACCACTCCATCCCGTCGCCCATGCTCACTCCCATTCCATCGCCTTCGCGCAATCCTTCGATCGCACACGCGATCCCCCGCTCGTCGCACACAGCCTATTCTCCGCCTCACCCCATCTCCTCCTCACCCCATCTCCGCCTCACCCCATCTCCGCCTCACCCATCTCCTCCTCACCCATCTCCACCTCACCCATCTCCTCCTCAGCCATCTCCTCCTCAGCCATCTCCTCCTCACCCCATCTCCTCCTCACCCATCTCCTCCTCACCCGCCCCCACACCCCATTCTGCAACTGCATCCAGAATAGCGTGCTACAGCTGTTGCTGTGGCGAGTGGGTGTGGCTGCAGACGGGGGTCACAAGGTGAGGCACACCACAACCTGCTCTGTTGTGTGGGGTTTAGGATGCTCTGCTCTGCTCTGCGAATCTGCGGTGCTGTGCTGTGCTCTGCTTTGCACACACCCCTCCTCTCCCTTCGCATAACCTTTGTTTCTCTTTCTGTCTCATCTCATTCACCACCAGGTGGATGTGCAACGAATCAAGCTCAAGACATCAGTTCGTGGACCATCGTTATATGATACTAGCATATTCTGTCCTGGATGCACTGACATGATGACCCCCTTGACTCGTATATTGTCCCTCACGAGGTAAACCTTGATTCAACTCATCGGGTTTCGCGAATATGCCGACGGCGTTGGGTTGTAATATTGGATGGTAAAAATCGAGTCACATGAGGGCACAAAACATAGCGCACAAAAGCGCTACCGTACTAGTCTAGGCGGGAATCACGCCCAACACATCATATACATGAGTATTTCATGGTTGAGATCAGGGCTCAGGTTTGGTTTTTACCTACTCACGATTAGCAGTGTAGACATTTTCAAAACCCTTCTGAGCAGTGTGTATTTTTTGGTAACACTGATGGATCAGTGTAACTTTAAAACCCGCAGCCTGAATTACAAAAGCAAGTCAACGCTTGGTTTGGGTTTGGTTTGGGGTCAAGCAAACTGTGGTTCGGAAGTTTAAAGGCCACACCCCGAATTACACAACCAAGTCAGCGAAAAAAAAGTAGGTTCGGGAAACCCCAGGATTAGGTTCGGTGGGAAAATCCTGAACCAATCGCGTCAAAAACCCACACATAACTTTCGACCAATCACATGAAAGTGATGACAGTTTTGAGGCCGACACGGTAATTCTGGATGTGTCCTTTAACGAAAGTTGCACCCTAGCGAAAACAACTTGGTGTCGCACCAAGCAAACGACTCAAGAGGGGAATGTGCCTGCATATGCTATATGAGAGTGAACAAAAGCACCTCGACATACCTTACACCAGGTTAGAAGCTAATACTTAGACTTCAAGTAGGAAAACGTCACCATGCGACTAAAACTACGGCATACCATCCGCGTTTCCCCTATACATCGCACACAGGTTCAAGCCCCGTCGCCACCCAATTTTAGGCTTACAGCGCGTGCAGTTCCGATATACGGCGACGCCCGCATTTAGCCTTCCCGTCGCCCGCATTTAGCATTTTCGTCGCGTGAACATGCCATTCCCGTAGCGCTAATATCCCCTACCCGTCACACGCAGGTCCCGTTCTACCCGCCCGCGTTTCCCCTACGATTCGGATGCGCGACGCCCCTTCGCTTCACCCACATTTCCGCGTCGATTTAGACGCATTTCCTCTTCGATGCGCGAACTATGGGCGATCCCATCGCCATAATTTCGCCAGCCCGTCGACTGCAGATCCCCTTCTCGTCGGCCGCCTTACCCTTTCCCGTCGACCCCACATCTCATTCCCGTCGACTTCCCTGTGATCCTCCCCGTCGTCCGCACCGCACAGCACTGTCTCCCGTGAAAGGTCAGCTTCTCACCTTCCCTATCGGATGGGCAGCCACGATGCCTCTAAGCTGCTGCGAAATTACTTCCACAGCCCCCATACCCTCTTCCACAGCGCCCCCATACCCTCTTCCACAGCGCCCCCATACCCTCTTCCACATCGCCCCCATACCCTCGTCCACAACGCCCCCATACCCTCTTCCACAGCGCCCCCATACACTCTCCCACAGCGCCCCCATACCCTCTTCCACAGCGCCCTCATACACTCTCCCACAGCGCCCCCATACACTCTCCCACAGCGCCCCCATACACTCTCCCACAGCGCCCCCATACACTCTCCCACAGCGCCCCCATACACTCTCCCATAGCGCCCCCATACACTCTCCCACAGCGCCCCCATACACTCTCCCACAGCGCCCCCATACACTCTCCCACAGCGCCCCCATACACTCTCCCAAAGCGCCCCCATATTCTCTCCCACAGCGCTCTCATATTCTCTCCCACAGCACTCTCATATTCTCTACCCCGGCGCCATTGCCGTGCCTACCCCATCTCCCTCAGATTCACAGCCCCGAGCCCCCCATCTCACCTCCCCTCCCTCTTACCACTTATTCCCTCTCTCCCCCCATCCCCATCTCTCCCCCCTTCGCACTACACCCATCTCACCTCCCCTCCCTCTTACCACTTATTCCCTGCTCTCCCCCCTTCAATCATCCAGTTTCGGCACATCTCACTCACTTTCCCCCATCACTCATCCCATCCCATTTCCGTCCCTCACTTTCCGTCATTCGCTTCTGCTCACTCCCTTTCCCCCTTTACACATCCCATATCCCCCGTGCTCCCTCTATTGCCCCCTTCATTCATCCCATTTCCACACAGATCCTTCGCATTTCAGCCTTCGCTCGCCCCATTTTCCACCTGCACAAGGCCCTTCCACCTTGCACTCATCCCATTTCCCCCAGCGCCCTCACAATCCTTTCCAAATTTCCCTTGACTTCTTCTACCGCGGCGGCATCTTGTTCCCTACCCCATCGCCCTCAGATTCACAGACCCCCCCCCCCCCCATTTCCCCCATCTCACCTCCCCTCCCTCTTACCACTTATTCCCTCCTCTCCGCCCATCCCCATCTCTCCCCCCATCACATTGCACCCAACTCACCTCCTCTCCCTCTTACCACTTATTCCCTCTCTCCCCCCATCCCCATCTCTCACCAAGTCCTGAATTACACTCCCTCCCCAGTGCCTCACCAAGTCCTGAATTACCTCGCAGCTATCCTCCCCCTCCCATACCGCATACTCCAAGCCCACCTCCCCTCCCCCACCACTTACTCCCATCTCACATCCTCTCCCACTAACCACTAACACCCATCTCACCTCCCCTCTCCTTACCACTTGGTCCCATATCACCTCCTCTCTCCCCTTACCACCAAGTCTTATCTCACCCTCCCTTCCCCCACCACTTACTCCCATCTCATCTCCTCTCCCCATACCACGTACTCCCAGCTCACATCCTCTACTCATACCACTTACTCCCAGCTCACATCCTCTACCCATACCACTTACACCCATCTCACCTCCCCTCGCCCTTACCACTTATTTCCCATTCACCTTTCCTCCCCCGACAACCAACTCCCATCTCACCTCCCCTCCCTCCACCAGTTAGTCCCAACTCCATTCCCTCCCCCCACCACTTATTCACATCTCTCCTCCCCACCCCCTACCACTTGGTCCCATGTCACCTCCTCTCCCCTTACCACTTAGACTCATCTCACCACACCCTCTTCCCACCACATACTCCCATATCACCTCTTCTCCCCATAACCCCCCCACACACCCGAATCACTTCCCCACCCTCTTGCCACAGATTCTGACTTCACCTCTCCTCCCCCTACCACTTGGTCCCCTTTCATCTCAACTCCTCTTACCACCACTTCTCATCTCACCCTCGCTTCTCACACCACTTACTCCCAGCTCACATCCTCTACCCATACCACTTACTACCTTGTCACATCCTCTCCCCCTTACATCTTACTCCATCATCACCTCCCTTCCCCCGTACCACTTATCCCCAGTGCACCTCTCCTACCCATGCCCATTACTCCCACGTAACCTACCCTCCCTTCAGACCTACTCCCAGCCCTACTTCCCCTCCACCCACCACAGACTCTTAATTCAGTTCTCCCCGCCCCCACCCCCCAACCACTTGATACCTTCTTATTTCAACTCCCTCCTCCTACCACTTATTACCACCTGACCTCCTCTCCTCATACCACTTGGTCAAATCTCACCACCCCTCCCTGTACCATTTACTCCCAGCTAACCTCCCCTCCCACAACCTCATACTCCCAGCTCCCCTCAGCTCCCCCCATACCACTTACTCCCACCTCACCTTCCCTCCCCCTACAACTCTACTGAGTTAGGAGCACCGCAATTAGGTACAGACAAAATGGCTTGGTCATTCAATTCCGCATCGTGTTTGGCAAACGCAAAGTGTGTATATCTGCGTTACTATGTAATTTTCCAATTCGTTTGTTTCTCTGGGCCTGACCACGATGTAGTGATCTCAACCTAGAAAGACTCATGTACATGATGTTGTATGCAGGATTCCAATAAAGACTAGTACGGTAATACTCACGTGCGCTATGTTTTGTGCCCTCATGTGACCCGTTTCTTACAATTCAATATTAGAATCAAGAGTTGGCATAATTAGGAACCAAATGAGATCAAATAAAGGTATATTAGTCGAGGGACAATGTATAACGCTTCGAGACACCATGTCAGTGCATCCTTGTCAGAATCTGCTAGTATGATATAGCGGATGGTCCACAAACGGATTCTTTTAGCTTACCCCGTTGCACAGCACCTGGAAGTGAATGAGAGGAGACAGAAAGAGAGAAACAGAGGAGATGAGGTGTGGTGACGGGAGAGAGTAAGGGAGAGGAGGGAGGTGAGGGAAAAGAGGAAAGTGAGGGAGGAGAGAATAAAGGAAAGAGAGGCAGGAGAGGAAGGTGAGCAGCGGAGAGCCGCAGAGTAGCGCAGAGCACTGGTTCTTGCGTAGCACTGCACAGCAGAGCAGAGCACAGAACCGCACAGCAGAGCATGTTGTGGTGTGGCTCACCATGTGACTCTTGTGAGCAGAAACACACGCTCGCCACAGCAGTAGCTGTAGCACGTGCTTCCGGTTGCCCCTGCAGAAGAGGGTGTGGGGGCGGGAAGGGGGGAAACAGGGGAGAGGGGGATGGGGAAGAATAGGATCGAGGCTATGGAGGGAAAAAAGGGAGAAGGCGATCGGGAAGGGAAACAGGGTCAGCGTGTTGAGACGTAATGGAGTGAGGCGGAAAGGGGTGAGGAGGAGATGGGGTGGGGCGGAATGGGGTGGGGCGGAATGGGTTTAGGAGGAGATGGGATGGGCTACGCCTGGGGTGGGGCGGAATGGGGTGGGGTGGAATCGGGAGGAGACAAGGGGGAGGGGGATGGGGAAAACATTTGTGAGGGTATGGGACGAAACAGGGGGGACGTAGATGACCAGCTGTAGCTCGCGAAGTTGCAGCTGGAGAGAGCAGCAGAGGGTGATAGGAGGTGTGGACAGCAGAAGAGGAGACAAGAGGAGGGATACACAGGTGGCTTTACCCACAACCTCCCTCCTGCACTCTCTTTTCACCGTCGAATCATCCTCTTCCCCTACCCGTCGCCTTACTCTCCTCCCTTTCCCCTTCTTTCCGTGCGATGAGTCCCTGCAATGAGGCCGCGCAGAGCGATCGGGGGAGGGGTGGGGGAGGTGAAGAGCGCCGCAAACAGGAAGGGATGCAGGGAGGAAGGGAGGAACAGACGACGGGAGGGACGGATGGAAGGATTGATGGTTGAAGGGAGGAACAGAGGTTCTCAGGACGGAAGGGCGGAAGGGAGGAATGCAGGAAGAGAGGGAGTGATGAATGGAGGAAGAGAGGTTCTCAGGACGGGGGAAAGGGACCCCCACAGCACCACGTAGGCCTCTGCTGGGCGACTCTGCGCGCCACCATCTGCCCACAGAGCTTCAAGCAGATGCCAGGTGCAGCTAAACACACCGGATGAGGAGGTGCCGCAAGGCCGAGGACGGTGTTGGAAACACCTGGAGGGGAGGGGGAGAGGATCGGATGGGGAGAGGATCGGATGGGGAGAGGACCGGATGGGGAGAGGATCGATGGGGAGAGAATCGAATGGGGAGAGGATCGAATGGGGAGAGGATCGATGGGGAGAGGATCGGATGGGGAGAGGATCGGATGGGGAGAGGATCGGATGGGGAGAGGATCGATGGGGAGAGGATCGGATGGGGAGAGGATTGAATGGGGAGAGGATCGATGGGGAGAGGATCGGATGGGGAGAGGATCGGATGGGGAGAGGATCGGATGGGGAGAGGATCGGATGGGGAGAGGATCGGATGGGGAGAGGATCGAATGGGGAGAGGATCGGATGGGGAGAGGATCGGATGGGGAGAGGATCGATGGGGAGAGGATCGGATGGGGAGAGGATCGAATGGGGAGAGGATCGGATGGGGAGGGGATCGAATGGGGAGAGGATCGGATGAGGAGAGGATCGGATGGGGAGAGGATCGATGGGGAGAGGATCGGATGGGGAGAGGATCGAATGGGGAGAGGATTGGATGGGGAGAGGATCGGATGGGGAGAGGATCGGATGGGGAGAGGATCGAATGGGGAGAGGATCGGATGAGGAGAGGATCGGATGGGGAGAGGATCGATGGGGAGAGGATTGGATGGGGAGAGGATCGAATGGGGAGAGGATCGGATGGGGAGAGGATCGGATGGGGAGAGGATCGGATGGGGAGAGGATCGATGGGGAGAGGATCGAATGGGGAGAGGATCGGATGGGGAGAGGATCGATGGGGAGAGGATCAGATGGGGAGAGGATCGGATGGGGAGAGGATCAAATGGGGAGAGGAGAGGATGGGGAGAGGATCGGATGGGGAGAGGATCGATGGGGAGAGGATCGGATGGGGAGAGGATCGAATGTGGAGAGGAGAGGATGGGGGAAAGGACGGATGGGGAGAGGATCGGATGGGGAGAGGATTGAATGGGGAGAGGATCGGATGGGGAGAGGATCGAATGGGGAGTGGAGAGGAGAGGATGGGGGAAAGGACGGATAGGGAAAGGACGGACCCTAAGAGGAGGGGTTGGGGAAAGATGAGGAGGGTTGGGTTTGGAAGAGGAGGGGAGGGCGTGAGGATGGGAGGTGGAATGGGGTGAGGCGGAATGGGGTGAGGCGAATGGTGAGATGAGCGACGGAAAGAGAGTTTGCGTGGGCGACGGGGGTGAGGGAGTGAGCGTGGACGAAAGGGGAATTGCGCAACACAAGGGTCGGGGAGGGAGAGTGATCGTTCGAGATGAGGAGATGAGGCATGGGGTGGGGAGGCATGGGGAGATGAGGGAAGGGGAGGTGAGGGATGGGGAGATGCGGGATGGTCAGATGCGGGATGGGGAGGTGAGGGATGGGGAGATGCAAGATGGGGAGCAGAGGCAAGTGGGGTGAGGGATGAGGAGATGAGGGATGGGGATGGGAAGAGGAGAGATGGGGGGTGGAGGGAGGGTTGGAGGAGGGATGGGAAGAGGAGGAGATGGGATGAGGATACGAAAAGAGAGGACATGCCGTCGTGATTTGGGGGAACGGGAAGAGATGGAAAGGGAGAGCGAGAGTGCCAGTGTGCGACGGGAGGGAATCGGCCGTGCGGCCCAAGCGGTGTGCGGCGGAAGGGAATGCGCGAAGGCGACGGGAAGGTCACGAGCGCTAACGACGGAAGGGAGAGCGCGCACACGATGGAAGGGAGTGCGTGCACACGACGGAAGGGAGAGCGCGCACACCACGGAAGGGAGTGCGCGCACACGACCGTAGGGAGAGCGCGTGGGCGACGGAGGGAGTGCGCGTGGGCGACGGAAGTGGAGTTACCGAGCGCGACAGAGGGGAGTGAGCTTGGCGACGGAGGGGAGTGTGCTGGGCGACGGAAAGGAGTGGAGAGGGGCGAAAGAAGCGTTGCGCGAAGGCGACGGGAGGGGAGGGAGCGTGATCGCACGTCGGGAAGGAAGCGTGAGTGACGGGAGGGAGTGCTCATCCTCTAATGAGGGGTGTGCGCGAAGGCGACGGGAGGGGAGTGCGCGAAGGCAACGGGAGGGGAGTGCGCGAAGGCGACGGGAGGGGAGTGCGCGAAGGCGACGGGAGGGGAGTGCGCGAAGGCGACGGGAGGGGAGTGCGCGTAGGCGACGGGAGGGGAGTGCGCGAAGGCGACTGGAGGGGAGTGCGCGAAGGCGACGGGAGAAGAATGCGCTCTTGCGACGGGAGGGGAGTGCGGTATGGCGGTGGAGGGAAGTGTGCGACGGCGGCCTTACCGTGTGGGCGACGGAGGGGAGTGAACGAAGGCGACGGCGACGATATAAATGGACCAAAATCTGTGTAAGGCGGAATGCTCTACCCTGGACAGAGAACCGGGCGCGGCTAGGAACAACCGCGACATCGATGCGCCTGGCGAAGGGGCAGTGAATCAGCAGACGACGATGGGCATATGCGCGTGAATGGGCATGGCTAGCTACGTGCAGTGAAAACGAGATGTAAGGCGCGCGGCTCAGCAAGGGCGACTGATCGCGTCGGAATGGAGGCATGGTCCCAGAGCGTAAAGCGGAACCCTAAACCGGCGTGGAAGTCGGCGCGGTGACTCTCTTCTAAGCTATGACTTCCCCAAGTTTGGCCCTGAACTCTACGTTTTTTGTCGACCTGAATTACAGATTTCGAGATTGGTGTGCACACCTCAGCCAAGAGTGGTGGTGAGACCCCTGCGATCCTTCCCTACGCACCCTGCGACTTTCCTCACGTTTTGAAGGTGAGACCTGGTAACCACCCTGGTTCGGGAGGGGAGGTTTAACACCTCCCAACCTTTTTTGTAATTCAGGCTGCGGGTTTTAACCATGTCAGTGAGCGTAAGCTCCCTGGTGGCCAGTTCTCCTCTATACAATCGCCCATTGCATGGGTTTGTAAGCAGGACCTTTTTGACCTTATGCTTATCCATTTAAAAAGTCAGCCCTGGTTCCCACCCTCAGGCGTCAGGTGTCACTCACTGCTCTTGCCATTGGTCAATCTTGGCTTCATCAGCAAATGTTTTCAACCCAGAAGGGAGAGTGTAGTAGAATTCAATACCGAAATATAGTATTCACCCCTGTAGTAAAGACCCGGGGGTCTTCAACTGGGGAGGGGGGGGGGGTTTATCCGAGGGAGCATGGTACCAGGAATTGTTTTTTTCACATTTTGAACTTCAGTAACAAGTGTAAAAAATAAAAATAAAACGTGGAAGTGTGTGTCTGCATTGTTGTGACACACTACCGTATTGTCTTGTTGACTCATCACATCATCAGTGCATCTTCCAATCTTGTCTTGACTCATGCTGTTGATTACTGAGTCATGCAATTGCCACATATTATCGTTGCCCACAGACACATGCAGTGCAGCTGGTCGATGGTTATGCAGTCGCGCTATTTACATTGATTCTGCTGTCCATTTCTCCTCCTGCGGGCAAGAATTGTGTCAAGTATGTAGCGCATTCGCGGGTCAAGAACAGGAGGGCGGACTCTTGGGGCTGCTGAGGAAGATGGTGTGTTCGAGGATGCAAGAAAGGTGGATGCAAGAGGGGTGGATGCAGGAGGCCTTGAGAAAGTTGGTGCGTTGGAAGCAGGTGAGCAGTGTGGCAGCCCTAGTTGCACTCTTGGTACCACTCTATGCATTGCAGTGTGCTGGTCTCCAAGGATGGCAGCAGGTGTGACACCTGATACTGCAGTAGGACGTGCAATATCAGGCCTGGCAGGAGGAGGTACTGAAGTACTTGCAAGAGGTGACCTGATAGTGGTTGCAAGAGGTGTGGCAGCAGGTGATGTGACTGCGGGTGCGACAGCCAACCAAGGTGTAGAGCAGGGCTGCAGGTTGAGAAACAAATGCGGTCTACATGCCCTGTTGCTCCTTTGCCTTTGCCACGGCCTTCAACCCCCTTCCCCTCCTTCCTCTGCCCTTCCTTGCCCTGCTCTCGATTCTGATGCTCTCCCTTCTTCTGCTCCCCCTTCTTCTGCTCTCACTTGTACTGCCCTCCCTCCACCAGCTCTCCCTTCCTCTGCTCTCCCTTTCCTAGATCCACCTTCCCTTACTCCCTCATCTCCTGATCTTGCTTCCCATCCTCTCTGCTCCTCCATGCTCTTTCGTTTCCTCCCATCCCCCTGTGGTCTTGCATGTTGCCTACCAAACTCCGTCCCTCCACTCCTCTTTCTGACCTCCCTCCCACAGTCGCCCCTCTCACCAGCCCCCCTCCCACTGTCCCTCCACCCACCGTCTCCCCTCACACCAGCCCTCCGTCCACCGTCCCCCATCTCACCAGCCCCTCTCTCACCAGCCCCTCTCTCACCAGCCCCCCTATCACCACCCCTCCTCCCAGAAACCCTCCTCCCACCATAGCCTCCCTGGCAAAGCTCCCCACCGTCCACCCCAACGCCCACCCTCCAACTATCCCATGCTACCACTTCTTCTCCCTCCAACCCCCCCTCCTCTTTCCCCTCATTGCCCTCTCTTCCTGCCTGGTCCTCATCCTGCTCCTGTCCCCCAATCTCCTCGTCTTCCTGAGTCTCCTCCTTCTCCTCCTGCTCTTTCACCTCCCCGTCCTCCTCATTCTCCTCCCCTTCTTCCCCATTCTCCTGCTCCTCTCTCACCTCCCCTTCTTCCTCCTCAATCTCCTCTGCTTCTTCCTGCTTCTCCTCCTGTTCACCCTCTCTCACCTCTCCTTCCTCAGTATCCCCTGCTTCTTCCTGCTTGTCCTCCTGTTCCTCCTCTCTCACCTCTTTTTCTTCCTCAGCCTCTTCCCATTCGTCCTCTTTCTCTAAATTCCCCTCCTCCTCCACTTCTGCCATTTCCCCCTCTTCTAACTGCTCTTCCTCCTCTTCTGGCACCTCTCCTTCTTCTAACTCTTCTTCTGCCAACCCCATCTCTTCTTCCTCCCCACTCTCCTCTTTCTCTCCCTCAGAAAGTATGGTAGCAGTTTCAGCAGGGGAGGGAGCTGCAGCACTGAAAGGAGCAGCAGCAGGGGAGGGAGCTGCAGCAGGGGAGGGAGCTGCAGTGTCATTACCATCCGCAGCAGCAGCAGCATCCGCAGCAACATCATCAGCATCAGCACCATCGGCACCATCATAATCAGCAGCATCCACGGCACCAATAACAACAGCATCAGAAGCACAGGCACCGTCATTACCAGTCGCAACACCATGAGTGATTGCCGTGGCAGAATCAGTGATTGCATTATCAGTAAACTCGACAGCAGCAGCAGCAGCAGCAGCATCGCCATCAGCAGCATCAGCATCACCATCAGCAGCATCATCATCAGCAGCATCCACACCACCAGTGGCAACATCATCAGCAGCATAAGCACTATCATCATCCATTGCAGCCCGATGAGCAATGGCTGCGGCAGAATCAGTGAGAGCAGTATCAGCAGACCCAACAGCAGCATCAACAGACCCAGCAGCAGCATCAGTAGACCCAGCAGCAGCATCAGTAGACCCAGCAGCAACAACAGCATCAACAGACCCGGCAGCTGCAGCAGCATCAGCAGCAGCAGCACCACCACCACTACCACCACCATCAGAAACACTAGTATCACCACCACCACCACCACCACCAACAGCATCATCAGCAACACTGGCAGAAGCATTATCGGAGAGAACAAGAGGAAAGTCAGGATCATCACCTATGCTGACAGTGGCACCAGCACCAGCACTAGTAGCATCAGCACCATCAGCAGCAGCAGCACCACCAGAAGCCCCACCAGCAGTACCAGCAGCAGCAGCAGCCCTTGCAGCGGACGGCAGGGGCCCAGACCAGGAGTACGGGGCATTAACCCTCCAGTCCTCCCAGCCCCAACCCCTCTCCACCACCATCCCTTCCCCCACCCGAACCTCCCTCTGCTCTACCCACGGAATCGGATAAGGCTGTCCGAGCGAAGCCACGTGCTGCTCCCGCAGCACTGGCAATGGATGGAGAGGATTAATCCTGACACAGAGGCAGGATATCTGGCAACGCACCTCTGTTCCATCCAGCCAGCTCCCCCGGCCGTCATCCGGAACAAACCGAGTGGGGTTAGGGAAACTGGCGGTGAGCTCTGTAACTCCAGCGCCAGAGAACACGCCCTCTCTGCTGCTTGCTCCGTCCCTGCCATTTATGGGAGAGGCTGCTGTTGCTGATGATGACATGGTTGCGAGAGGCAACGGCGAATGGTCATTGGTATGAGATGTAGGATGGGCTGTGTCGTTGGAGGAGGTTAGGGTGAAGCGGTGGCGAAAGATCTGCACGTGGAAGGTGCAGTGGCAGCTTTCCTCCTCTGCTCGTGGCACCTTGTGGCTTCGACGCCTTATTGTCACAACTCGTCCATCGTAATGTGCCTGCGGAAGGGGAGGGAAGGAAACAACATGAATTTCTGAGGTTCTTTCTAAAACTGTCATCCTCAGCCCGTCAGACCTTGTGGCTTCGACGCCTTATTGCCACAACTCGTCCATCGTAGTGTGCCTACGGAAGGGGAGGGAAGGAAACAACATGAATTTCTGAGGTTCCTTCTAAAACTGTCATCCTCTGCCCGTCGGATCTTGTGGCTTCGACGCCTTATTGCCACAACTCTTCCATATTGTGTGCCTGCGGAAGGGAGGGAATGACAAGAATGCACTAAATGAGGCAGTGATGCGTGGTGAAGGGGTTGACAGACAAGAGGAGATGGAGGGTTGGGGGAAAGGCAGGGCGAAGCAGTAGCAAAGGAGCTGCATGTAGAAGGTGCAGTGGCAGCTGCCCTCCTCTGCTCTTCAGACCTTGTGGCTCCGACACTTGCCCATCATAGTGTGCCTGCGGAAGGGGATGGAACAACATGAAGACACATGCAATCGCGCTATTCATGCTACGAGAAGATGCCACTGGTTTCACTTTCAGATTTGAATGCAACATAATTAAAGTGTGCATTAGGATTCAGAATCATGAGAGCTCATGCAAGTGACAACTATAGTGCATGACGAGTCACAAGGTTAGAAGCATATTTCAAGTATTTGTCCATATGTCAGGCAATCAAAGAACGTACGTATACGGACATACACTAGCGTATGTAACTTGCATATCATACGCCATACATGTGTGTGGTCACGACGCCTATGAAAATGAATTGACTATATACTTTTTTAGATGCTTATATGCTTCTTTATACTGGAATTTGATTTGTTTGTTCTTCCAGCGACATGATTTTTAGGGTATACGCGCATCAACATGGTTCTCCTGGTGCACTTATATCCTATTCGGTGCCGGCGTTCCTTACTAGAGCTGTACCCCATTTACCGGTTCTACACTCCCCATTGGCGACACATTGCTTATAAAACAAATCTCGCGAGCTTCATGAAAAAAAAATAATAACGTGTTTTTTGTTGGCGCATGTAGGCATGAGCAAAACCTGGACGGACCTCACACATGGCGAACACCATGTAGGGTCTAACCGAACATGATCGGTGTGTCCCGATCATTTTTTTGGAGTGTGGTGTTTGAGTGATTGTCAATTTTGTCGAACACTTACATGTTCGACACAAACACTTACATGTTAGTTAGTGGCGCACATGTTCGTGTTCGTAAGGTACATTCGTTATAGTCACATGGTAATGCAGTGTAAAAGTTTCACCGGTATAGTATGGCTACTTGCATGGAGAGTTTGGGAGTTTTGTGAACAGCACAAATTTATGTGGTGGCAGCCCAAAACCGTCCACCAAACCAATTCCCACAAGGGAGTTGGTATCAGGTGCAGTAGGGTCGATTCTGGTAAAGAAATGGGTGGGGAGGCGGTTAGGGTAAACAACCATGTTTCGCCATGAAACGGAGCCTAAGCGGCTATCGTGGTGTCTACGATTGTTCAAACCTGTGGTGGATTTAAGATTCTTAATCCAATAGGACGGTGGTCCAACTAGGTAGGAGAGCGACTCAGCTCGAAAATGAGATAAACCGTCGAAGTTAAATCTGCTGTCACACGACCATCGCGTCGAACACATTCAACACCCAAACAAGCCCAAACATGGCTCGATCATTTCACCGTTCCAAACGAAACATGTACATGTTCTGCAGTTAGTGATGATTTTCATTTTCCTCATTGTGTTGGACGACCGATAGTTTGCTCTGCACCTGCTTCTTTCATTTTGTCGCACCAGTCTGGATTCGAGGCGATTTTTTGTTTAAGTGAGCTAGAAACGAACCGATTTCTGTTCGTTCTCCACCTTGCGTCAGGTGACCATCACTGAGGCGTCTCCTTCAGGGTGTTCGGTGAATGCCACCACCAGCATGCCCGCCCAAACCTTTACGCAATCGCTTGAACCCAACCCGCGTGAGCGCAGCCGCAGCCTCTTACTGTTAACCACCTCCTCATACCCCCCAAATCTCTCATATGCCACAGAATAGCGTGGCAAGCCAAGATCCCGATCCTCGCCTCTCGTGTGCGTATCAGTATCATCTCCTTTGCCTACCACTGTGACGTCCCATAGAGAGTCACCGTGGAAACACTCAAACTCTGTGGGAGGGGTAAGACGGGCGGATAGGTGGCATGGCTGCAGAACTACAGTGCACCGGACATTTTAGTAGGGTTGAGCAAGCAACTCAACACCTGAACTAGGCCTGAGCATAGGTGGGGCCGCTGGGTTGAAACACCCAGTCCAGCCTGGCACGGCCCGCTTCTTAGCCGGGCTAGGCAGATGCCGACTGACTCTGTAGGGGGGAGGTTCGTGGTTTGTCTAGTTAATTATAAACCAAACCGATTTGCCCCAAACGGGTGCAATTGGGTGGTGAAACAAACCAGCTCGGTTCAGTTAGTAGCGTTCCTTATAGCTGGTGCTTATCTCTTCACACTACTTTCAATGAACCGAATTGACAAACAAACTGGTTCTGTTTGTGGCGAACCGGTTTCAGAAGAAAATGTCGATTCAGATCAGGTATAACCGAGCCAAACCGGACTCTAACATGTTCCGAACACTTGATATGGTCGAACCGAACACGTTCGATTTCAATCCAGCCGTATCCAATACCGCTGGTCCTTACCTTCTCACCCTCCCCTTCCCTGCTGGTGTTTGGGCTGGAACAACCGACTCACCAATCCCACCCCCCCTCAACTTCCCCTCCCCACTTTCCTGACCCTTCTCCCCCTTCCATCCCCTTCCACTGTCGTAATCTCACACACCCCACTATTCACCTCCACCACCGTCTCAGCCATACTAACTTTGCTACCCTTTGCCAATCCGTCTCCACTAAACCTCATTCATTATTATTTTGACGCACCCTATGATTCTATCAACGAGACCATCTTCGGTTACTCGGAGCGGCAGCAGCCACTAATCATCGAGGCGCTCTGCAAAGGGCGACGCCTCCAGGCAATGATGGAGAGTAGTGCGCCCCACTCGGTG